TTCTCCCCGTAGGTAGTCGCGCACTCGTGAGTGCCAGAGAGAATGTATTCCTCTGGTATACATCAGTGAGCCCCATGTACATCTTTGTTCATCCAAAATTGAGCGTACCTCCCGAAGTATGTTTCGTTGACATTACGGAGACCACTACGTTGAAAATGGTATCAGCCAGGAAGATGACAATGAGAAATATCAGCATCTTTCTAGATTGTTGATACATGGCATGTAACCGAGTGATCACGATGACTTGTAAAATGATTCAGTGTCAATATCACTGGGATTTTGCAACCGTGCTCACTCCGCAACATTGCAAATATCACAACATACATCCAATTCACTACGATATACAGAATCCAGCCTGATGGATCCGGTTAATAATCAGCCTCGGGTGGATCACACACTGCAAACAGACTCACATCTAGGGGGGATCATTATAATGAACCAAGAAGCTGGTCAAGAATCATACTCACCTCTACAGGGCGCCGCAGTTAGTGGCAGAGGTGATAGTAAACATGGGTACAGAAGACTCACTGCGTCTGTCAACAGGATCGTCGGAACATTGACTGTATGCCGTAGGTCAGAAGAAACGAAGACATTTAATATCAGAAGACATACTCAATATGTTCAAGCTGATTGCGATACATAGTTCATTAGCACAACGACAACGCCGAGCGTTTCAAACGTACACAGCAAATAATATTCCAAGATAGCGCACCTAAGATATTCTCAAGAGTAAGCAAGAGTTGCCAAGCATAGCTATGATGCAAGCCACATACACTCAGATACAGAAAGGTCATCAGGGACCAACGTTGCCTCTGTCGCAAATCAATATTTGTGCTCTTCTAAGTCCTGACGTGGTTTCTCACCCAGACCAGTTCGACCTATAAAACCTTTCTTAGCGAGATGGGTGTTCCGGTCATAGCATCAACATACCTCTTGTCCAAACGTAAGTGCTGGAAATATTTGTAGGTTATCAGTACTTCTTCGATATTATCATGCTCACCCCAATCATATGTCACTCCAACAGAGGCGGCAACTGCGGAATCGCAGTCAAGGTTAGATCGAGATATCAGCGTTGAAAGCCGGCTGCTACGAACCTACAAAATAGCTAGAAATGCGCCACGAAGTGATCCACAGCCACCAACTAGGGTCGTCTGAGACTACAGTCATTTTGTTGGAGGATGGATCTGAGGGTGCGGCGGACTTGGTGGACGTATGTCGATGCCATTTGTGCTAGATATACCACCATCCAGCGCTTGGATCCCCAAACAGAGGAATGATTGAACACAGCAAACGACAGAACAACTTTAGAACCGTCTGTTCCTTCGGTTCTGATGCCATTTCGCTGCACGTGCATCAGTCCATCAATCCAATACCGCCGATCTGTCATGAGAGGCCTGTAATCTCGGGCTCCCTGCGCTCGGAAAGCATGATAGATCTTCCCAGGTACTATCAAAACATGAAATAGGGGAGATCTACGTGGAGTAAAGAGAAAACTCACGTCCTGCCCCGGGTGCGAGCACATATCTCAATGTTTGATCTCCCTAGGCCTGTTCCTCGTCCTCGTCCTCGGGCAGTTTGTCGTTTCATGCGCACCTTCTCGCACTTTGCTTCGAATATAGAACTATAATATTGAAACGTAAGGATGAGCATCATGATAGAAGTTTTGATTTGCATTTGACTCGGAAGTGGTGCCTGTGACAGGCATCAGTTTGCACAGCCAGAGATCTAGACAACCTACACCGTGATTGCCAAGGTATCGAAATCTCGGAGAAAAGATTATTAGTATAATTTAATTAGAGTTTGGACGCACCGTCACAGCTGTGTGTTATCCAAAAATGTAGCATAGCCCATATTTGAAATTCACCTCGAGAGTCATCGTAGGTGCATGTGGTTCATCGTGACCATGCCGGCCGACCACGCTGGCTAACGACTAAGATCCGAGAATGCGGTTGCACAAAGGCTGTGAATCAGACGGCAAATGGATATAAATCGGTTATAGTGAACGGTCGTTGTGATATGAAGGCAGTGTAAGACTTTTAAGCGTATCATTGATTGAACAACATCAATCAACAACCCGTCAAGAGCCTAGATCGGCGAGTACACAACGATCGAGGATATAGTACGCACCAGGACCCAGATCTAAGTTGTCTCCGGAAATACAACAAGCACTGCTGCCAACAACGGATTCAAGTAATACAAATTGTACATGTGCGCAACGCGCATACCAATGCCCCTGCCAATTACTACATAAATCGGTACTCCGAGTCCCGCGCAAATTCACCCAGGTTGAAATGGAAAGCATGAGCGCAGCATTTCCCTAGTGCCTTGTTACCAGGCATACGGTGTTCATTGATGATATCATGGAGCTGATTTCGTTGGCACTCTTGGTTCTACGATGCCCACACTGGCTAGCCGCAGAGTACAGTCGTGGTATGACGAAGCGACTCGACTAATTAGATGGGGGTGGCCAGGCGCGGATGACCTGCAGATGGGTGATGGTGAACTGCCTCGTGTCTGTGTCTTAGGCGTCTATGGAAATGAGGATGGTTAGCGTGGTGAAGCAACCTAAAAACCCACAATACACGCACCTTTAGAGAAAGACACCCACAGTCCCCCGGCCGTGCTCAACACCATCAACCTCCAGTAAAATGTCGGGGGTCATTCCAAGCACCACACCCATTCGAGCTTTTGAAGATCATGAGGACGCCGTAAGGGCAGTCGCAGTGTTCCCTGATAAACGACGAATGATTACGGGTTCGGACGACAATACACTTCGTCTTTGGGACTTGGAGACAGGTGTTGTGTTGAAGAAGATGGAAGGGCATGGCAGTGCGGTGTGGACATTGACGAGATCGCGAAATGGTAAAATAATAGCAAGCGCTGATTGGAAGGGAGAGGTCATTGCCTGGCACGGTGAAACTGGCGAATCCATCACCCAACCCATCAAAGCCCACTCAAATCAGATCACCTCGGTGGATTTTGCTCCAGATGGTATGGTGCTGGCAACTGGTTCATGGGACTACACGGTGAAGTTTTGGTGTACCAAAACGTGGCAGATACAAGGAGAACCAATCGAGTGTGGTCATATTGTCCTCTGCGTTCGATATTCGCCTTCTGGTGAATTTCTTGCCATCGCGACAGACCAGAATATCCAAATTTATAATCCAGACACAAGGGAATGCGTCGCATATTGCACAGGCCACACAACAATATGGAGGACTCGGATGTCACTCGCGTGGACGCCCGATGGCAAACGCCTTCTTTCAGGAGGTGGTGATTACATATTGGAGTGGGACACATCAACCTGGCAGCAGATTGGTCATCGCTGGGAAGGCCACACTAACACCATCAACGCCATTGCCATTCATCCCGCTGGTACCCTCGTCGCTTCTGCATCTCGTGACAAGCATGTCCATCTCTGGCGGCTCTCAGATCGGCGAACCATCGCCGTCTTCCAGCATTCATCCTACGCCGAAGGTATCACGTTCTCTGTGGACGGCAACCACATCCTCAGCGGAGGTCATGATAACAAGATTTCGGAATGGGCAGTACCCAGCGACGTCAATTTAAAGGCGAGTTTCCATTTCTGACTCTCATCACGCAATTCGAGCATCATTCGTACAGATCCTTGACATCACAACAGCCCGCGATGCATGTCTAACTGGAGACTTGTCTGTCGCTGAAGAGCTCCTCACCCAAGAGATCCACGCCAACGCCGACGACTTTACTTCATATGCCAATCGTTCATTCGTTATGTCCCGGAAGCACAACTGGGACAACGCCCTTGAGGATGCAATCAAGGTGAGATGGACCCACCCATCATTGTCCTCTTATAAAATGCTAACTTTTGTCCGTGACATACTAGTCACTCAACATTAGACCATCATTGATTGGCTTTATCTCCAAAGGCATCGCCTTCTGCGGAAAAGGTCACGTCCGTGAAGCAAGGATATCATTCGACGTCGCATCCATGTTCACCAACCAAAACTCAGAAACCAACCAATTCCTTCTCTTGATCAAGGTACATCTAATTCGTCTCGCATGCTATCTGCTTCATCAGGTATTCCAGGTCATCGCACTCTTCAACGCAGATCAACACGACGAAGCAATGCTGCTCATAAAAGACCTGGATGCCGCTTGTCCGAATGTCGATCCTCTCGCGCGTCGTGTTGTAGAAGTATGTATCATGTGGCCACACTTGGTCATCGATCCTGATCTTTTTAACTCACACAATAGACATATCTACGTGTTCAACTCGGAACCAAAGCTTTCGATGGCGCGCGTCACGACGAAGCCGCTGATCACTTCACTGCTGCTGTTAACTCAGAAGCTTTCTCATCGAAATACATTCATGTTCCATACCAGGACTTGACAGTGGTGCGTCGACATGATGCATACATGATGCATTTTTATAAACTAATGCTTTGTCCAGCTCTTCGGCTGGGATCTCGGGTCCTTGTTGCTTACGACACACCAGCAACGGTGCCAGGCTTTCCTTTCGGCAGGTAAACACGATGAAGCCCTCGAAGCACACAAATACATGATAGACGCCAACGATGAGATTGCGAAGGCTAGCTGCCTCGATTGGTCCAATGGCGAGTTTCAGTGATGTCACCCGACGCCATCATACTCACCTGCATTTCACTCAGAATTCAAGCAACAATGTAGCGCGCTATGTGCTGCCAACGGAGATTCCGCCCTCGCTGCCAGCGATTATGACAGAGCTATTGACATATACTCGGCGGTAATCGACTCAAACTCTGCATCTGATGTTGTCTTTGCAAATCGTAGCAAGGCAAAGTTAGGCAAAATGCTATGGATGGACGCACTTCTCGATGCGCAGAAGGTGCAATGGGAACTATTGTCCCACAATCAATGCTCATTGTAGCGATACACAGGTCATCGAACTCGACTCTTTGTCTTATCTTGGATACAATTTGAAGCACGCAGCGCTTCATGGCGCGGAGCGCTATGATGAAGCAATCGAAACTTTCCAAACGATGCTCTCGATATTGGACAATGCACCTGATGTTCAGACACGAAGTAAGTCTCTGACAACGCATTCGTCGACATGTTTAACTCTTTCTCCAGAGCTGCGCCAGCAGTATCTCGGACCTTCTGAAGTAGAACGCGCCATTCGACGAGTCATCGATGCCCAACTCGACAACGCTCCGCTCCGTGTGCTCCACACCACCACAGGTCTCTTATGCGATCGAGAGACGCAGATGGACGCATTCAAAATGAGCATGCTGTATAAGGAGCTTGTGTCATCAGCAATCGCGCATGTAGACTTGCACATCGAGCACATCGAAGAAGTGGTCAAGAGATACCTAAAATATGCCATGCTATCACATAGGTGGGAAGGCAAGGAGCCGCTGCTGCAGGATATCCAGGGCAAGTGCGTGTATGACCCAGAGTTGGATCAAGTTGGCGGCATGACGAAGCTGCGGTCGTTCTGCAAAACTGCTCTTGATGCGGGGTATAACTGGGCATGGAGCGATACATGCTGCATCGACAAGAGCAACAATGTCGAAGTGCAAGAATCGGTCAACTCCATGTTTGTATGGTATCATCATTCCACGCTCACGATCGTCTACCTGTCTGATGTTGCACCTTCATCAAACTCTGGCGGGCTGACAAAGAGTGCTTGGAACACGCGTGGATGGACGGCTCAGGAATTCGTCGCTCCCAAAGTCATTCTCTTTTATCAGAACAATTGGACTCTTTATCGTAATGATCGTACTCCCAACCACAAGGATTCCATCGAAATCATGCATGAGATAAAGGACGCAACGGGAATAGACCGACCAGCCGTTGCAGCCTTTCGTCCTAGTATGAATGGCGCCCGAGCCAAACTCCATTGGGCGTCGACCCGCATCACCACACGCCAGGAAGACATCGCATACTCTTTATTTGGCATCTTTGGCGTCCGTCTACCTGTAGACTATGGCGAGAAGCAGGACAAGGCTCTCGGGCGGCTCCTGCAGGAGACCGTGGCTCGGTCGGGCGACATCAGTTGTCTGGATTGGGTCGGAGAATCATCAGAGTTTAACAGCTGTCTACCAGCCTCCATCACTTCATACAAAGCTCCACCATGCGAGCTACCACCCTTACCCGAAGATGACATTCAGTCATCGGTTTCTTTATTGCGAAGAACGGGGGTTGCCGATTTCGCTTCAAACTTTTATACTCGACTTCAGAACACGAGCGCCCCTCGCTTCGCGGCACAAAGACTGCATCTGCCTTGTATTGCATTCAATGTCACAGAAGTCAGACGCCGGGTGGGTAGTCCAATTCCGGAAAGTCATCTCACGTATGGGGTGAAGGCAGACGGACTTCACGACTTACTTATCACTACCGGAGAGACCCTGGTTAAATTCTGGCCGGCAAGGCCCATCGAGCAACAATTTTTCCTCGTCCGTCCCTGGGATCGGTCTCTTCTGGAGCTACCTGACTTTACAGAATTTCCGAAACCGTCTGACTATGGAGATGATACGGAGAGTGAGGAGGATTATGGGACGCCGCCTTCTTCTCCGTCAGACGACTGGTCTGGTGGTTCTCATGTAAAACAGGGGATGTCTGACCTAGAATCACGAGCACTGCGGTTGCTCGTTCACCTTGGGCAGCCTTTCGGCGCATTTTTGCTGGCGCAACAGCGCAGTGGAGAATTCAAGAGGATTGCGACGGATCATGATATCATTGGACAAGTCCAGGACGTGGTTTCTGTTGGAGACTTGATGGACATCAGGACCATAGAAATATTGTAGTGGTATGTTTTTGTTTCAAAGTTTTTGGCCCTCTGAACGCCACGCATCTGTAGTTTAGAGATGATACCATACAGCTGCAGCATACGTATCACACATGCATGTTAGATGTGGTTTTCGCACATACGTAGCAGCTCGGGTACAAATTATGCTCCAAGTCCCGTCGACTCGCTTCCTTATCATTTCTCCCAACCCTTTGTTCGTCCTCAAATATCATTAGAGGGTGGGACCGCGACAAGTTAACAGTGATCCGCACATTGGCATCGTTACGTCTTTCGATGGGTAAACATTCTGAAACTGGCTCGAAAAGCCTGGAATTATCATTAACGAATCGTCCTTCTCCTCAGCACCAGGTTCCCCCTCCGGACGGTCACGTATTATGCTTCGATTTCCTTTACTACATAAGCGCTCGTCATACATGGGAATGGGAATAGTGGATTTTTCTCCGTATGGTATGGTGCTGGCCACAGCTGGTTTTTGGGCTACACGGTGAAGTTTTGGTGTACCAAAACGTGGCAGATGCTTGAAGGAGAACCAATTGGGTGTGACACTTTTCTCAACTGCGTTCGATATTCGCCTTCTGGTGAAAAGTCTTCTTGCCATCGCAATAATCCACAATATCCAATTGTGATACAGTGATTGGAGCGTACTAAGAAGAGACACGCTGTTTTATTATTTGTGCATGATGTGCCAGCCCGAGTGTGCACGTGACTCATACACAGCATCGTACCCTCTAGTACTTGAACCTAACTTGGAAGTTTCAAAACATCGTACCTCGAAATGTCTGTTAACGTTCCTAATAGTGGCACACCATTTTGGGAGAAGATTATGACTGACGCAAAACACAACCTACAACTTCTCGTTTTGAAGCATGGTCAAAAACGGGTCATGGTCAGACGGCAAAGGTCGTATAATGTAGGCAGAACAGCTATCGATAAATGTTCAACAACTCATAGATACGATAAGCTCATGCTCGATACAACCTCCAAATATTTCCCAGCAATTCCGAGAGATCTAATCACGTTGCAGACCAATCAACTCAACATTTGTGGTGGTTACTATGTGGACATCACGGCCGAAATATGGGAGGATGTCGTCGACTTGCTTAACGTAGTCGAGGTAACCCGTGCCGAAATAACATTACCCGTTCCACCACCGATCGATGCTCAGTGGGCTATTCCATCGCCTGACAATCAATCGGTGTCAAATCAAGTTCACAGACAAAACAGCTCGTACGCACCCCGAAAATTTTACAACTATGTTCAGTTCTGAAGTCAAGAGTCAAGACAATACAGCACCAGGAACGATGACAAAATCACAATCAAAGTCGTTTTTCCATTTGGCGAGATCCGTTCTGCCAAAATCTCGAGGACGGTACGGGTGGACGAACTCCTTGCCGAGGCTGGTGATATATTGGGACGTCCTCCCACCAGTGTCAAGGCAGTCTGGGGTGGGTCGATAATGCGTGAGGACCGGAGTATCGGATCGTACAGCATCGAGGATGGTGACTCCATCACTCTTCAGGCGGGGCCATTGTGTTTTGCCAAGCCAGTCATTTATCTACACTCGCCTTCCAATATCGACGTCTCTGTCAAGCTCTCCCTCATTCCGGAGTGGAGCCTCTCTGTAATATATCCCATTGTTCCCATGGATGAGCATAGACAGCATTTAGAATGGAATGTCCGTACCCATGAAGACGGGAGTCTGACTGAACATAATTCCGGTCTACACGTGTCATACTTGTTCTGGGAGGCAGAGTAAGTCCCCCGATAATATAAAAACCACTCTCCTAACTTGTATTACTTATCGCAGAACAAATCTGCAAGCATTTCCCCGTTCACCAGCATCCAAACCGCCACCAGCGGATACATTCAATCCAATAACCAGCAGTCTCGATGATACAGATTCAATCGTCATTCCAGTGGACAGAGTCACTGTTTACCTCGATAAATCGCTCAAGGTTTTGGGACTTCACACCGAGGCTCGAACATCATTCATAACGTGCGTATATATGCGCTACCTCAGCCTCTCAAATCATAAACACATCACTCACACTGTCGCGGTAGCTACTGGCTACCGTCTATCCTCAAGCATGAATATATTGCCCTCCGATTTGTCCCTCAAGCGGCATACGAACGGGCCGCTTCTTTAAACATTTCTCCGCAGCCTGACGTCGTGACTCGCGTATGCATGTTGTTCAAAGGTATATGTAAGGAGCACCTAGCAAATTGGCCTAATGCACAAATGCAAGCAGAGAACGACGTTGCTTGGTGGGTGGATGCAGTTGGAGTTGATCCTACAAGAGCTGGTAATGCGACTTTGTTCAGGGTGTTGGAATGGGGCGGGGTCGAGGTTCTTATTTGATATTCTATCGGATTACTACTCAGGTGTTACCGCGTTTTATCTTGATCGATTTTGCATTCGATGGCTGTGAGGAGAACGGGGGCATATGATTAACAGTTGAAAGGTTAGGCCGGTTAGGGACCAAATATACAATTTTATTGTCTCATGCTGGAGCGTTTTTAGAATCAAATTACATTTGATCGACTTGTAGGAATAAGAATATGCATGGTCTCCCCATTATGCGTGGCCTGACGGAAATCGAAAATCACAACACATCATAGACATGCAGACACTTTATACTATGTAGTCTACAGCGAACTGTAAGGTGAGCGGCCATGAGACGTAAGACTTAAGCCCGAAAGTTTGTTGGAAAGGTGTGATGCTCGCTTGATGTCTTGGTAGGACTTGAAACTGTGAAGACAAATGTCGGACGCATATAGCTAGTGGAGTCGGTTATGACCGGTTGGGAGCATTCTTGCTGAACCGGTGATGGCGAACTGCCTCGTGTCTTGGGCGTCTATGGGGACGAAGAAGGTCAGCGCGTGGTGAAGGTAACATGAAAACGGCGCCTCTGTAACTTGGACACAATCCCTCGGCCGTGCTCCACACCATCAACCTCCAGTAAAATGTCAGAGCTCATTGCAAGCACCACACCAATTCGAACTTTTGAAGATCATGAGAGGGGAATAAACGTAATCGCAGTGTTCCCCGGCGAACGACGAATGATTACGGGTTCGGACGACACGACACTTCGTCTTTGGGACTTGGAGACAGGTGTTGTGTTGAAGAAGATGGAAGGGCACGGCAGTGAGGTGTGGACATTGGCGATATCGCGAAATGGTAAAATAATAGCAAGCGGTGATTATTATGGAGAGGTTAACATCGCCTGGCATGGTGAAACTGGCGAATCCATCGTACAACCCATCAAAGCCCACCCCAGAGATATCACCTCGGTTGATTTTTCTGCGGATGGAACGGTGCTGGCAACTGGTTCATATGATGGCAGGGTGAAGTTTTGGTGTACCAAAACGTGGCAGATGCAAGGAGATCCAATCGAGTGTCGCCGTAGTCTTGTCTTCTGCGTTCGATATTCGCCTTCTGGTGAACTTCTTGCCATCGCAACATCGCGAAATGTCCAAATTTATAATCCAGGCACAAGGGAATGTGTCACATCTTTGACAGGTGCTGGTGAATCTCGATCAGCATTATGGACCACGTCACTCGCGTGGACGCCCAATGGCACACGCCTTCTTTCAGGAGGCAATAAATACATATCAGAGTGGGACACATCAACCTGGCAGCAGTTCGGTCAGCCCTGGGAAGGCCACATTGGTCGTATCAACACCATTGCCATTCATCCCGCTGGCACCCTCGTCGCTTCTGCATCTGACGATAAGGATGTCCATCTCTGGCGGCTCTCAGATCAACGAACCATTGCCATATTCCAGCATTCATCTTTCTTGAGATGTGTCACTTTCTCTGTGGACGGCAAGCACATTCTCAGCGGAGGTTCTGATAAAAAGGTCTCAGAATGGGCAATACCAAAGGGCGCTCATTCAAAGGCGAGTTTTCTTTTCTGACTCTCATTATGCAATTCGAGCATCCTTCGTACAGATCCTTGACATCACAACAGCCCACGATGCATGTATAACTGGGGATTTGTCTATCGCTGAAGACTTCCTCACCCAAGAGATCCACGCCAACGCCGACAACTTTACTTCATATGCCAATCGTTCGTTCGTTATGGCCCGTAAGCACAACTTGGACCACGCCCTTGAGGATGCAATCAAGGTGAGATGGACCCACCCATCTTACGGAAGGCTAACATTCATCCATGACATAGTCAATCAACATTAAACCATCATTGATTGGCTTTATCTCCAAAGGCATCGTCCTCTGCGGAAAAGGTCACGTCCAAGAAGCAAGGGTAGCATTCAACGATGCAGCCACGTTCACGAACGAAGATTCAGAAACCAACCAATTTCTTATCTTGATCAAGGTACATTTAATTCATCTCCCGTGCTATCTGCTTCATCAGGTATTCCAGGCCATCGCACTCTTCAATGCAGATCAACACGAGGAAGCAATGCTGCTCATCAAAGACCTGGCTGCCGCTTGTCCGAATGTCGATCCTCTTGCGCGTCATGTCGTGGAAGTGAGTGTCATGTGGCCACACTCGGTCATCAATCCTGATATTCTCAACTTACACAATAGACATATCTACGTGTTCAACTCGGAATCAAAGCTTTCGATGGCGCGCATCACAACGAAGCCGCTGATCACTTCACTGCCGCTGTTAACTCAGATGCTTTCTCATCGAAATACATTCATTTGATATATGAGGACTTGACCGTGGTGCGTCGACATGATGCATGCATAATGTTTTTTCATAACCAAGTTCTTTTTGCAGCTCTTCGGCTGGGATCTCGAGTCCTTGCTACTCACTACACACCAGATACGGTGCCAGGCTTTCCTTTCGGCAGGTAAACTCGACGAAGCCCTCGAAGCACACAAATACATGATGGATGCTATCGACGACATCACGAAGGCCAGCTGTCGTGATTGGTGCAATGGCAAGTCTTCCGTCATGTCACTCACGACTATCATGCTCACCCGCATGTCACTCAGAGTTCAAGGATAAATGCAGCGCGCTCGCTGCGGACAACAACCGTATTCTTGATGTATGTACCTATTTCCTTACCTCTTTCGATACTGACTATTATGCAGGCAGAGATCCCCGGGCAAGATGACGATGGCTATGATGCAGAACCCAATTTCTTCTATGGAACGCATCAAGTGTGTCCAAGAGCGTATCGTTCTGTTCTCTCTCACATAGTTCATTACAGTATTCTCAGATTTCCCGGCCAAGACTTCAACAGCGAGCTAGGCGCCTTGGGCGTCTAAAAAGACTGAGGCTCGCTATGACGAGGAGGCTTCAGTCAGTTCCTACACCTGCACCTGCGCCACCCGCCACCTCACCACCCGTCGCTGCCATCACCACCTTCAAAACTCACTTACGACGCCTATTTACCCGACCACTCCATCATGCAAAGCCACCTGTTGTCGATGTTCCTTTTGCCCAAGGTCGACAGGTGCGCTCAGTTATTTTGTCATGACTGTTTCTTTGGTGTCTCACGCTTAAATCTACAGCGTAATGCTGCAGCGGGTGCTCCTGGGAGTGAGCACTCCTTGATACCTGATGAAGACCCTCCTTCACAGGATCCCAATACGCAACACCAACATCAACCAGTAGAAGTTCAGGTAGACACCGGCGAACATGGAGGCGGCCTGTCCTGTTGCTGCTGCTAGAAGTATTGGTGAATCTCTATGGGTATTTCAATTTTATCGTTCATTTTGTCGTGATATCCACATTAGCTTGAAGCGGTAGTTTATCGATAAGCAACAGCATCCTTGAGCTCGCTTTTTGTCCTCCTCCGAGTCTATAGCTGATTGTGAACCTTGATTCCTTCAAATGTAGATCTTGACTTGCGTTACTGAATTTCAGATAACAGGGTCATTCCACATTCAAAGATGTCTCATCGACCGTTAGTACTGGCAGGACGTATAGCGGTTCGTTCAAGTCTTCGCCGGCATCATCTTACACAGCACCTCGTATCAGCCCTGCTATTCTTACCTAAAAAAATTGTGTTATCGAGAACATTTCTGAACGGTTTCTAAATACTCTTCGTGCGACGTCTAGACGTGATATGAACTGGCCACTAGCTGCTCAGATGGGTCATGCTCCAACCGGTGCGTAAACTTGACTTCTCCTAATTCTCTGTCATAGTACAGGGCATAAATACTTGGGCTCTGAGGTCAGTTCTGCTGGTTAGTACAACCGGCAGGCAGACCTAACTCCTGTCCGCGTCCAGGTTACATCTCCATGACGCGAGTCTGGAGTTCTGTCAGGTTCTGCCATCATGGTCCGACTGGGTGTCTTGATGTTCTGTGCCATTCCCACGTCGACACATGATGCATCGACGAGCGCTCAGCGGTGAGCTACAGCCCAGGCCTGCCACATCATGGCCTTAGCCGACTCTGCTCGACGATCGATCGATCTTCCCGCTCAGAACTCAGCCTCACCATCCCTTCATTTCTCTTGCAACTTGATTCAATTCCTGCAAGGACCGGAAGGCCTGAGGTTTGTGAGAGCTGAGCGATGGACGACAGTACTAGTATCCAGTTGCCTATCAGTTGCTTGCACCTTTGTGCTACGTTTGAAATCAGGAGACCGGGAACGTCTTCATGAAATGTACTGGAGTTTCGCTTACCGGGAGATCACCCCTGGAGTCGACGTGTTGCTGGTTGAGTCCACTTTCTCCATTATAGGTCAGAATATCAATTCGATGAGGTAGTGGCTTCGCTAGTGACTCCGGTATTTTGCAATGTTCTAGTTCCATTGGCAAGAGGAACTATACCAACGCAACCTACGTGGAAGAATCAATGATATTGTTGCCTGTTCCAAGGAGAAGCCGTCCCCAACAAGGCGCATGGAGCTGGCAGTCGGTTTGCCTTCATCCGTACTAGTGACGCCCGTTACATCCCCTGCTGTCGTTCTTGTCGAGGGAGTGCCATCCTTATTCAGTTTATCTCGTGAAAACTGGTCAGACGAAGGCGTTTGTAATACGGTGGCTGGAGCGTACTAAGAATAGAGATGCGACTGCCATCTGTGGTATTTGTGCATGATGTGCCAGCCTAAACTTGAAGCTTGAGTTCTCAGCGCTCAGCGTCGTACCCTCTAGCGCTTGAACCTAACTTGAAAGTTTCCAAACATCGTACCTCGAAATGTCTGTTAACGTTCCTAGTAGTGGTAATACACCATTTTGGGAGAAGACCATGGCTGAAGCAAAACACAACCCACAACTTCTCGTTTTGAAGTATGGTCAAAAACGGGTCATGGTCAGACGGCAAAGGTCGTATAATGTAGGTGGAACAGCTATTAATAAATCTTCAACGACTCATAGATATAAAATATAAGCTCATGCTCGACACAGCCTGCAAATATTTCCCAGGCATTCCGAGCGATCTAATCACGTTGCAGACCAATCAACTCGACATTTGTTATGGTTACTATGTCGACATCACGGCTGAAATATGGGAGGATGTCGTCGACTTGCTTAACGTAGTCGAGGTAACCCGTGCACAAATAACGTTGCCCATTCCACCACCGCTCTATACTCAGTGGCCTGTTCCATCGCCTGACAACCAATCGGCGCCAAATCAGGTTCCCAGACAAAACAGCTCGTACGCACCCCGAAAATTCTTTTTTTTCAAGTATTTTCAGTACTGAAGTCAAGACCATACGATAGCACTAAGAACGATGACAAAATCACAATCAAAGTTGTTTTTCCATCTGGCGAGATCCGGTCTGCCAAAATCTCGAGGACGGTATGGGTGGACGCACTCCTTGCCGAGGCTAGTGAAATATTGGGACGTCGTCCCACCGATATCAAGGCAGTCTGGGGTGGGGCGATCATGCGCGATGACCGGAGTATTGGATCGTACAGCATCGAGGATGGTGACTCCATCACTCTTCAGGCGGGGCCATTGTGTTTTGCCAAGCCAGTCATTTATCTACACTCGCCCTCGGATATCGATGTCTCTGTCAAGCTCTCCCTCATTCCGGAGTGGAGCCTCTCTGTCATCTATCCCATTGTTCCCATGGATGAGCATAGACAGCATTTAGAATGGAAGGTCCGTACACATGAAGATGGGAGTCTGACTGAACATAATTCCGGTCTACATGTGTCATACTTGTTCTGGGAGGCAGAGTAAGTCCCTCGATGATATAAAAACCACTCTCCTAACCTGTATTTCTCTTCGCAGAACAAATCTGCAAGTATTTCCCCGTTCACCAGCATCCAAACCGCCACCAGCGGATACATTCAATCCAATAACCAGCAGTCTCGATGATACAGATTCAATCGTCATTCCAGTGGACAGAGTCACTGTTTACCTCGATAAATCGCTCAAGGTTTTGGGACTTCACACCGAGGCTCGAACATCATTCATAACGTGCGTATATATGCGCTACCTCAGCCTCTCAAATCATAAACACATCACTCACACTGCCGTGGCAGCTATTGGCTACCGTCTATCCTTAAGCACGAATATATTGCCCTCCGATTTGTCCCTCAAGCTGCATACGAACGGGCCGCTTCTTTAAACATTTCTCCGCAGCCTGACGTCGTGACTCGCGTATGCATGTTGTTCAAAGGTATATGTAAGGAGCACCTAGCAAATTGGCCTAATGCACAAATGCAAGCAGAGAACGACGTTGCTTGGTGGGCGGGTGTAGTTGGAGTTGATCCTACAAGAGCTGGTGATGTGACTTTGTTCAGGGTGTTGGAATGGGGCGGGGTCGAGGTTCTTATTTGATATTCTATCGGATTACTACTCGGGTGTTACCGCGTTTTATCTTGATCGATTTTGCATCCGATGGCTGTGAGGAGAACGGGAGCATATGATTAACAGTTGAAAGGTTAGGCCGGTTAGGGACCAAATATCCAATTTCAATTGTCTCATGCTGGAGCGTTTCTCAAAATTATCTTTGATCGACTTGTAGGAATAAGAATATGCAGGGTCTCCCCATTATGCGTGGAGCTCACGTAGTCTGACCAGCATATTGAGCTCTTCGTCATCCAGACAACTACAAAACAGTCAACTAAGCACATAACACGCTAATACATCAACTAACCAGACAATACAGCATGCTCCGACTTGACTTATGCGCCGTAGATCAGTATCGAGATCTCGACGAACGGCGCTACGCCCTCTGACCGGACCCGCGAGGCGCACTAGCAACCGTTTTGACGCTAGTAAGCAAATACACCCGTGCCTTGAGGAAAACGTACCCTTCTTTCCTGGACACGAGGACAGCATCAAGTTGCCCAGCTTGAAACAGCGCTAGGTGCCATGGATATTTGATGTTGAGGGGAGCAATGCGCTAGACGCTCTCGGCTTGGTGGCATTCTGGGATGCAGCTAGTCTACATCATCAGGCTTACACACAAAGAACAATGACAACATTGACTCACTGTTCACATTCGCTGGAATTGAGGAAATCGAGCATAGAAGGAAAGACAACCTTCGGCAGAGCAGAAGACCCTCTTTGCGCAGATGAAGACCGGTTGCTCGCTAAATCATCGGACACCACACGAACTTTGGTAGTATGTTTGAGAGTAGGAGAAAGTTTTCCTATGAACGGAAGCGAAGGGCGAGTTCTTGCTGCAATGGTGATGGCGAACTGCCTCGTGTCTTGGGCGTCTATGGAAACGAGGAAGGTTAGCGCTGTTAAGTAACATAAAAACGCACAATACACGCACCTCTGTAACTTAGAGGAAGACTATCGTTTCACAGGCTATAAGACTTATAGTTGACGTTATAGTTTAGATTTAGAGGCTGATAGATAGACGCCAATAGGAGAGAATAGAACGAATTAATTTCTGGATATCTCCTGAGTCCTATATATTCTCTTTACTCTCCGACGATCTCAGACACTCCGAAGTTCCGCTACCTTCGGCTTGTCGACTAAGGGTGAGCTCGGCTTGTTATTCTCAACACTCCCCCTCAAGCCGAAGTCATGCCTAAGTCGCTGACAAATTTGCAGTGCTTCGGCTTATGTAACGACTTCGTCAGAACATCTGCCACCATATCATCGGTGCGGCAATACTGTTCGTGGATTACTCCATCTTGTATTTTCTGCCTGATATAATGATCTTTTACATCGAAGTGCTTGGACCTCGAATGATATTGTGGGTCTCTAGCAATTGCCAATGCGGACATGTTATCGCCATGGAGAACGGTTGGAGCATTCTGAGGTATGTTTGATTCCTCAAAGAGGTTCCGAAGCCATATGGCCTCACGTGTTGCGTGTGCCATCGCAGTGTATTCCGCTTCTGTCGGTGAGAGGGATACTGCGTTTTGCTTTTTGGAACTCCAGGTAATTGCTCCTCCTCCCAGTTTGAATACATATCCTGATATCGATAGTCGGTCTCTAGGATCGTTCGCATAATCTGCATCCGACCATCCGACGACTCGAATTTGCCCTTTATCAGGTTTTCCGGTCCCTTGGTACTAGTGCTGCCGTGGTCCGGTTCGGTCCGGTTCAGAGGGCCCTGGACGAGAACCGAGAACCGGACCATGGTCCGGTTCTGCAAAATCTTCGAACCCTGAACCGGACCACAGAGAACCGTTCTCTGTGGTCCGGTTCGGTTTTTTTCTGGTCCGAACTCAAACCGAACCCGAAAATTTTCAGTGGCAAGCGCGAAAAACAAAACATTGAAATACTAGTTTACACATTGAGTAGCTACTCTAATGATGACTCCATACCCCTCTGCCTCTGTAGCTGCTGAAGATGCTGACGTGGCCGGCGCTTCAGAAAAAATTGTGATGCTGGTGGCCGCAGGATTCTCCGAAAAGTGGAAAGCCCACATGATGAGAGCCGTATTGATGAAGACTGACCAATTCGTGAGGACACACTCTGACATTTTCAAGTAAGGCGTAAGAAATGGTCAAGAGATGAACGATACTACTCACCGACGGCCAAAGCCAAAAGTGAAAAACCGGAGATCAACCGGAGATTATCACGCGCAACCTGCATCCTCAATCCAACGCTGAGGATTAAACCTGTGTGGTTCGGGGAAGACTTCAGGATTGTTTGCGATAGCCCTGAAGCACAAGCGTCAAACCCAAAGGTGAGAGGACGAAAATGATGGTAGTTCTTCCAAATGATGTCCTCAATCGCGCGATGTGCAAAGCCTGTAGTGCAAGGTGATCGTTCAACATCACGTCATCACAACTCAAATAAAACGTACCTCCAAAAACTCTCATCGTATTGAAAGATTGGGTCGCGTCCAGCGGGGTGAGAGACAACGGGCGAGAGACAGAGGGTGAGAGACAGTGGGCGAGTGAGACATGGCAAGCGAGCCAGCAAAAGCCAGCCGGCAAGAACAGCAAGCGAGTGAGAGGGGATGCAGTGAGGTGGCGGGCATCAACATAGGTGCAGGTGGCGTGGCGTGTGATGGGTTGTGCGCTGGTAGCGATGGGTGCTGGCCCTTGAGGGAGCCATCAGCATTCAGAGCACAAATACGCACCTCTGCAGCATAGCGCAAGACACAATCCCTCCAAAATCCACCTTGACCGCGCCTAACATATCCACCTCCAGTAAAAGGTAGTCTTGCGCAGTGTTGTAGCCGGTCCTCAATGAATAGAACTTCCTGTTATAGAGGTGAGCAGGTGAGAGACTTGAGAGTTTAATTAGTTAGTGCTTACCGGTATACCTTCGAAAAGGCTAAATGTAGCTTGATTAATCAACAATGTGAATCCCGAAGACGACAGTCTGACGTCGAGGCAGGTGTTGTCGAAGTCGAAGTCGATAAGGGTTCGGAATGGTTCGGGAAGGCCGAACCAGAACTGGACCGTTTGGGAAGATCTAGAACCGAGAACCGTTTTCCGGTCCGGTTCTGGCTGGCGCAAGAACCATGGACCAAACCGCGGAGAACCGGACCAAAAGTCCAGTTCGAACCATGGTTCTGGACCGGACCGCGGCAGCACTACTTGGTACTTGATTCCAAGTTCTCGCATTCCAGCTAAGTATCTTAATACACGTTTTGCTGCTACCCAATGTGCTAATCCTGGGTTTGCAGTAAACGAGCTAAGTCTTTGAATAGTGTATGCAATATCTGGACGTGTCGCTACGGCCAAATACATTAACGATCCGATCAGTGACACATAAGTATTACTCTGGTTGCCTTCTTGGTCTGTTGCTTCTTTTTCGAGCATAATTTTTGGATCTAATGGCATACCTACTGAATTACTCGACTCTAGACCTTGTTTTTGCAGGATTGATTCAATATATTTTGTTTGCGAGAGTTTAATTGACCTGTTCGGTCTATCTCGCGTTATTTCGATCCCAACAATCTTTTTTGGTTCTCCAAGGTCAGTAATATCGAGTATATTCTTCAGTTGCTCTTTTAATCGATCCATCAGACTTGAATGGTCTGTGAATAGCAACAGGTCGTCAACCCAGATGGTTATTATTTCCGTCCCTTTTTCGGATTCTCTGATGTAAGTGCATGGATCCGACTTTAGTCGTCTGAATCCAATTTCTGTTAGGCATCCATTTAGTTCAAGGTTCCATTCTCTACCCGATTGTTTAAGGCCATAAAGGGTCTTCTTTAATCGGCATACTTGGCCGGTTCCGTCATCATAGCCTTCGGGCTGTTTCATGTATACTTCTTCTTTGAGTACGCCGTTTAGGTACGCTCCTTTTACGTCCATCTGCTGTACTTCCCAATCAAGGGATGTGGCTGTGGACATTACTGAACGTATTGTTTCTAGATGCACGACTGGTGAAAAAGTATCTGTGAAATCCATGCCCGGTATCTGTGAGTACCCTTTGACTACCAACTGCGCCTTGTATTTGATTATTTCCCCTTCTTTGTTTGTTTTCTTTACTAGGACCCATTTATTTCCTACTAAGGTGCGATCTTTTGGGGGGTCAACCAATTCCCATGTACCCATTTGTTCTAATTGAGCAAGTTCGGTTCGTACCACTTCTTCCCACTTTGGCCACTCATCTGACACTTGCGTGTCCTTTAGTGACTTTGGCTCATGTGGTTCGAAGCTGCCGTTTGCCATGTAGGCGGCTAGAACTACTTCCTCTTCATAGAGCTCTTCATCAAGCTCATGTCTCTCATGTGCAAGGTACACCCATTCTGGTTCTGGGTCATTTAATTGGCGATAATCCTGTCTTACCGTCTGTCTCTTTGTTCTTCTAGGCAGTTCCATTTCATCTGAATCTGTCAGGGGACGTTTCCTCTTTAGAGTTGAGTTGTTTTCATCTTCTCCCTTCAGATCTTCACGCTTATTTTGATCTTTAGGATCCTCTATGGCATCTTTAGGTAATATAGCGCTGTTTTGTGATGTCTGCGCGTCTTTCCCTTCTAACTCCCCCTCACGCTGCACATCATGTACTTGCGCGATGTTATCTAGGAACTTGTAGTTCCTTGATACGCGGATTTGGTGCGTCCATGTATTATAATATTTAATTGCTTTTGGCCCATCCGCAAATCCAACAAAGATTTGTTTTACAGATCTTGGGCTCATTTTCGATTGATTTGTGCCCTCTTGGAGCACATATACTGGCGCACCAAACTCCTGTAGGTGAGTTATATTCGGTTTTTTACCATTCCATAGTTGTTCTGGCGTCACGCCTTGTAGCGCTCGCGTAGGCGCGTGATTTCTTATATATGCGGCATGTGATACCGCTTCTGCCCATAAAGACTCCGGTAAGTCCTTTCCTATTAGCATTGCTCGTGTGAGCTCCGCTAACATTCTGTTTTGTCTTTCAGACATGCCATTTTGCTCTGGTTAGTAAGGCGCTGTCGTCTGAAGTTCTATCCCCTCATTTTTACACCATGTTATTAGATCATTATTGATATATTCCGTTCCATTGTCAACTCGGAACCTTTTAGGTTGGTCTGTCCAACGCTTCTTTAGGTACGTCGCATACTGTTTTACTTTGGTGGACGCTTCATTTTTATTCTTCATAAATTCGATGCTGCACCTTCGGGAGCAGTTGTCGGTGAAGGATATATAATATCTTGATCCACCAACAGATTGTACCCGCACTGGTCCCCAGACATCACTATGCATTAATTCGCTGAGTGATTTGGAACGTTTGTCTTTTGCATGCGGGAATGAACTTCTCGCATGCTTTGCTTGGATACAAGCTTCGCACTGTGGCATAGGTGAGTTATCGTCTAATACTTCCATTCCTTCTACTAATCCTTCTCTATATAGGCGTCTGAGGTCGCTATAGGCTACATGGCCATATCTTTTGTGCCAGGTGAGCCAATCTGTGGGTATATTTTCACAAGCGTTATAACTTTTAATTGTTTTATTTAGTTGCGCTCGGGTATTTTTTAATAAATATAACCCGTTTTGTAGCTCTCCTTTGGCTATTATGCATCCTCCTCATGCTTTTAGAGTTATCCCGCCATTTCCCATAATTGCATGTCCTCCCTCTCTGTCTAGACGGGTCATAGACACAAGGTTATTTGTTGCAGTCGGTACATACAATACATTTTTTAATTTGCACCTTATCTTTTGTTTACCTACACTGCTCACAAGTTCAACCGTTCCTCGCCCTTCAGCCTTAATAGACTGGTTACTAATACCTGTAACCTTATGGGATTTTAATGGAACATAATCCATTAATGCGGATTGAATCTTCATGATATGTGATGTGGTGCCTGAGTCAGCAAGCCAATCGCACGTGATCAACTTCGCTGCTTTACCTTGGCTATAATTTGCCTCGGTTTGAAGTCCATCGTTTTGTTCATTGATGACCTCTTCCATATCGTCGCCGACAAAAGCGACATCCTCCTCCTCGTAATATTGCGCGTCTTCGACAACATTCGCGTTGTCTTTCCTTGCGCGCTTAAAAGGAGGCTTTGACGATCCTGCGCCCGCCTGTCCGCCACCCTTGCTCCAGCACGTTTCAATAGTGTGCCCGCTCTTATGGCAGTTGGAGCATTTGGTCTGCTTGTCCTTAAACCAGCAGTCCTTTTCAAGGTGACCGGACTTCTTGCATACTCCACATCTCTTCATTTCCTTCCTTTCTCTCTTCTTTTTCGGATTCTTTTCCTTCATAGTGAGCGCACTCTCTTTTCCTTTTTCTTTACCATTGAGCTTTTCCTTCCTTCGCACATTCTCCTCCATTATTAGGGAGATTAACTCATGTGAAGTAATCGCTGTCGCGTCACCTATCCTGTTTTGATACGTCATCGTGAAGGTGTCCCAAGACTCGGGCAAAGATGAGATAAGTACTGTGCAGAAGTTGTCTTCTGCTACTAAACTTCCCATCATATGCAGGGTCTCCTGGATCTCCCTCATGTGCTTGACATGTGTTGGGATATCTTTGTCATCGTCGGCGAAAGTTCTATAGAACTTGCGCCTCCATGTGGTAATCGCTTGTTTGCCTTGCGACTCTTTCACGAGCTTTGGCTGATCCCACATTTCTTTTGCCGTTTTAGCTCCAGACAGATGAATCATTTGGCCGTCGGCAACTGACAGCTCGATCACAGTCTGTGCCTTGCGGTCATTGATTTCCCATTTTGTTATATCAGCTTCCTTTTGTGCCGACGTGGGCAACGGACCTCGCGCAGGCTTAGGGACAGTACCCTCGACATATCCTTTGATTCCTTTTTCGAAGAGGATGGCTTTGACGCGACACTTCCAGCCCAACCAGTTCTCGTCATTCAAGTGTTCAATACGGTACAACGACAATAGAGAGGAACCAGTAGTTTGGTCCAGCATATCAGGGGTTTGTTTTGATAATGTTTTTATTTGCGTACGGCAGGGCTCATAACCTATCGTTTCACAGGCTATAAGACTTATAGTTGACGTTATAGTTTTAGATTTAGAGGCTGATAGATAGACGCCAATAGGAGAGAATAGAACGAATTAATTTCTGGATATATCCTAAGTCCTATATATTCTCTTTACTCTCCGACGATCTCAGACACTCTGAAGTTCCGCTACCTTTGGCTTGTCGACTAAGGGTGAGCTCGGCTTGTTATTCTCAACAAAGACACCCACAATCCCTCGACCGTGGTCAACACCATCAACCTGCAGTGAAATGTCGCAGCTCATTCCAAGCACCACACCCATTCGAACTTTTAAAAATCATGGGCATTTCGTAAATGCAGTCGTAGTGTTCCCCAACAAACGACGAATGATTACGTGTTCGGACGACAAGACACTTCGTCTTTGGGACTTGGAGACAGGTGTTGTGTTGAAGATGATGGAAGGGCATAGCAGTTGGGTGCAGGCATTGTCAGTGTCCCGAGATGGTCAAATAATAGCAAGCGGTGATTATGGTGGAGAAGTTATTGCTTGGTACGGTGAAACAGGTGAATCCATCACCCAACCCATTAAAGCCCACTCCAGAGAGATCAACTCAGTAAATCTTTCTCCGAAAGGTACAGTGCTGGCCACTGGTTCAGATGACAACACGGTGAAGTTTTGGTGTACCAAAACGTGGCAGATGCAAGGAGATCGAATCAATTGCCGTGATTATGTCTTTTGCGTTCGATATTCGCCTTCTGGTGAACTTCTTGCCATCGCAACAAGACACAATATCCAAATTTATAACCCAGGCACAATGGAACATGTCACATCTTTGGCAGGTCAAGAATCGTCACTTGCATGGACACCTAATGGGACGTGCCTTCTTTCAGCAATCGATGATGCCATATTAGAGTGGGACACATCAACCTGGCAGCAGGTCGGTCAGCCCTACAAAGGCCACACTAGCAGTATCTACCCCATTGCCATTCATCCCACTGGCACCGTCGTCGCTTCTGCATCTGAAGCCGACTCCATCCTTCTCTGGTGGCTCTCAGATAACCGAATCATCGCCAACTTCGAGCATTCATCCGTCACGAGATGTCTCACATTCTCTATAGATGGTAAGCACATCCTCAGTGGAGGTGAAGACGACAAGATCTCAGAGTGGGCAGTACCCAGCGACGGTAATTCAAAGGTGAGTTTCTATTTCTGACTCTCATCATGGAATTTGAGCATCCTTCGTACAGATCCTTGAAATCACAACAGCCTGTGATGCTTGTCTAACTGGTGACTTGTCTATCGCTGAAGGGCTGCTCACCCAAGAGATCCACACCAACGACGATGACTGTATTTCATATGCCAATCGTTCGTTCGTTATGGCCCGGAAGCACGACTTGGACAAAGCCCTTGAGGATGCAATCAAAGTGAGATGGACCCGCCCATTATTCTCATCTTATGAATGGTTAACATTCATATGTGACATAGTCAATCAACATTAAACCATCATTGATTGGCTTTATCTCCAAAGGCATCACCCTCTGCGGAAAAGGTCGCATCTGGGAAGCAGGGGTAGCATTTGACGTTGCATCCATGTTCATGAACAAAGATTCAGAAACCAACCAATTTCTTCTCTTGATCAAGGTACATTTAATTTGTCTCCCATGCTATCCATTTCATCCAGTATTCCAGGCCATCGCACTCTTCAATGCAGATCGCTACGAGGAAGCAATGCTGCTCATCAAAGACCTGGCTGCTGCTTGTCTGAATGTCGATCCTCTTGCGCATCATGTTGTGGATGTGAGTATCATGTGGCTGCACTTGGTCATCAATCCTAATATTCTCAACTTACACAATAGACATATCTACGTGACACAATAGACATATCTACGTGTTCAACTTGGAATCAAAGCTTTTGATGGCACGCATCACGAAGAAGCCATCAATCACTTCACTGCCACTGTTAACTCAGACGCTTTCTCATCGAAATATATTTATTTTGCATACCAGGACTTGACCGTGGTGCGTCGAAATGTTGCATATATAATGCTTTCTGTAACCTAGTGCTTTGTGCAGCTCTTCGGCTGGGATCTCGAGTCCTTGCTGCTCACCACACACCAGAAACAGTGCCAGGCTTTCCTTTCGGCAGGTAAACCCGATCAAGCCCTCGAAGCACACAAATACATGATGGACGCCATGGACGAGACTGCGAAAGCCAGCTGCCTCGATTGGTCCAATGGCAAGTTTTAGTGATGTCACCTGAGGCCATCATACTCACCTGCATTCGACTCAGAATTCAAGCAACAATGGAGCATGCTATGTGCTGCCAATGGAGATTCCGCCCTCGCTGCGAACAATTATGACAAGGCTATCTACCTATACTCAGCGATAATCAACTTGAACTCTGCATCTGATGTTGTCTTTGCAAATCGTAGCAAGGCAAAGTTGGGCAAAATGCTATGGATGGAAGCACTTCTCGATGCGCAGAAGGTGCGATCGGAGCTATTGTCCCATAACCAGTGCTCATTGTAGCGATACATAGGTCATCGAACTCGACTCTTTGTCTTATCTTGGATACAATTTGAAGCACACAGCGCTTCATGGTGCGAAGCGCTATGATGAAGCGATTGAAACCTTCCAAACGATGCTCTCGATATTGGACAATGCACCTGATGTTCAGACACGAAGTAAGTCTCTGATAACGCATTCATCAACATGTTTAACTCTTTCTCCAGAACTGCGCCAGCAGTATCTCAGACCTTCTGAAGTAGAACCCGTCATTCAACAGGTCATTGATGCCCAACTCGACGATGCTCCATTGCGTGTACTCGACACCACCACAGGTCTCTTATGCGATTGAGAGACGCAGATAGGCACCTTCAAAATCAGCGCGCAGTATAAGGAGCTCGTGTCATCAACAATCACACATGCAGACTTGCACATTGAGCACATTGAAGAAGTGGTGAAGAGATACCTGCAATATGCCATGCTGTCACACAGGTGGGAAGGGAAGGAACCGCTGCTGCAGGATATCCAGGGCAAGTGCATGTATGACTCAGAGTTGGATTCTGTTACAAGTAACATCGGTCACGTGGCCCCCCTATCATTTTCCCTTCATCCTCGCCCTCACCATCTACTGGCTTGTCCTCCTTTACCGACTTTCCGTTGACCGGATCCTCGGGACCGTTCCCGTCCCTCGCATCATCCGCCTCTATGCATGTGCTCGCACGTTCCTCCAATGATTCGACCACCAATGTGGTCCCACACCTATGACTCGGTCTGACTCGTGCCACCAATGTGGCTTTCCCTTTCTGTTCCTTCTGACTGCGGATTCCCGCACGTTGTATTCTTAACCGTTGGTCCATTCCAATGTTTCTCGGTCTCATTCCACATTCGACCATCCATCACTAATCCGGCTCTGTTGCCAATGCACCTATACCATTCCCGTCTCCCCTTTACCCTTACCTACTGTGCGGTAGCCTTGCCCTTAACCCTCTCCACTTAGTATAAGTAGTCGGTCATCCTGTACTAGATTCTCTAACTTGAATCTACTCAATCTTCCCTGGAACATACTTCCCTCTGAACGCCCCTTTGGCTTCAGTCTCTAGTATCTTTTCTTAGTTGCTCATTGCGACTAAGTCTACCTCGATCGACCTCATTGTTTGGACAAGACTGTCCTTACCTTGAGCGACTTCAAAGACATCCGTCTTAGAAGTCACGTGACACGCGTGTACTGTGATCACTGCTGACTCATCGTTGCCAGTCTCACTTGCTATACCGGATTCTTCCAGTTACGTCACGAACGTTAGCAGACGATGCCCCTCTTAGGGCTCCGCATAACAGATCTATTTGAGTGCGTAACAGATTCGATTGGCGGCATTACAAAGTTGCGGTCGTTCTGCAGAACTGCTTGTGATGCGGGGTATAACTGGGCATGGAGCAATACATGCTGCATCAACAAGAGCAACAATGTTGAAGTCCAAGAATCGGTCAACTCCATGTTCATATGGTATCATCATTCTGCGCTCACGATCGTCTGCCTGTCTGATGTTCCGCCTTTGTCAAAGTCTGGCGCACTGGTGAAGAGCGCTTGGAACACGCGCGGATGGACATTTCAGGAGTTCATAGCTTCCAAAGTCATTCTCTTTTCTCAGAACAATTGGACTCTTTATCGTAATGACCGTACTCCAAACCACAAGGATTCCATTGCAATCATGCAGGAGATGAAGGACACGACAGGCATAGACCGGCCGGCCGTTGTGGGCTTCTGTCCCAGCATGCATAACGCATGAGAAAAACTTCAATGGGTGTCGACCTGCGTTACCGCGTGTCAGGAAGACATTGCATATTTGTTGTTTGGCATCTTTGGCATCCGTCTGTCTGTAGATTATGGCGAGAAGCAGGACAAGGCTCTCGGGCGGCTCCTGCAGGAGATCGTGGCTCGGTCGGGGGACATCACTGGCCTCGATTGGGTTGGAGAATCATCAGAGTTCAACAGCTGTCTACCAGCCTCCATCGCTTCATATGAAGCTCCACCATGCCAGCTACCACCCCCACCTGAGAAAGAAATCCAGTCGTCAGTTTCTTCGCTGCGAAATACGGTGGCTACTGAGTTATCTTCGAACCTTTATACCCTCCTTCGGAATACGAGTGCCCCTCACTTCACAGCACAGAGACTGCATCTGCCTTGTCTTGCCTTCAATGTCAGGAAAGTCAGATGAGTGCGTAGTCCTGCCCCGGAGACTCATTTCACGTATGAAGTGAAGGCAGACGGACTTCATAACTTGCTTATCACCACTGCAGAGACCCTGGTTCAGTTCTGGCCAGCAAGGCCCACTGAGCAAAAGTTTGTCCTTGTCCGTCCCTGGGATCGGTCTCTCCTGGAGCTACCTGAATTTGTAGAACCGTCTGACTGTGGAAATGATACAGAGAGTGAGGAGGATTATGGAACACTGCCTTCTCCATCAGACGACTGGTGTGGTGATTCTCCTGTAAAACAGGGGATGTCTGACCTAGAATCATGAGCATTGCGGTTGCTTGTTCGCCTTGGACAGCCTTTTGGTGCATTTTTGCTGGCGCAGCAGCACAGTGGAGAATACAAGAGGATTGTGACGGATCATGATATCATTGGACAGGTCAAGGACGTGGCTTCTGTTGGAGACTTGATAGACATCAGGACCATAGAGATATTGTAGTCGTATGTTTTTGTTTCAAAGTTCATGGACCTCTGACCCTTTCGCATCTGTACTTTCAAGATGATACTCATCCAGCATATGTATCACACATGCATGTTAGATGTGGTTTCTGCACATAGGTAGCAGCTCGGGTACACATTATGCTTCAAGTCCTGTCGCTTCTGTATCATTTCTCGCAACCCTTTGTTCGCCCTCAAAAAATCCTTCGAGTGGGATCGCGACAAGTTGACAGTGATCCGCAAATTGGCATCCTCACATCCTTCGATGGTTGAACATTCTATGTCCCTTTCATTCTTCGAGGGTGCATTGGCAACATACATTAACACCATAATGAATATCAGACCAGGACAGATCGTACACCCATCATCCCAAAGTCCCTCTCTAACCATGTCGACCCAAGCGCACCTCCATTTGTTTTCAGGGAAGTGTTTGACAACCCTCAACTCAGTCAATCCATAGGGATTCACTTCCTTCAATGGTATGAAGTAAAGAATCCAGAAAGTCAGGTTGTCGATGATCTTGGTTGTTGAATTGTCTGGGAAACCGTTCAACAGCACACCTGGACCATGACGAAGTCCCTCCCTAAACCTCCTCAAGCTCGGTGAGACAACTTCGAGCATCCCTCTTCGGTGATTAAGTAACTTCACGTGCGATCGTAAAGAGATGGATAACGGCTACTGGGTGTTTAAGTAATTGGCGCTGTGGTGAGCGCTTTCAGCCAGAACCAACGTGTTGCACCCTGTACCACGGCTATGAGGGCTGCACTGCGGGAGTATGCGATGTAAGAATACTTACATGAGGACTTCGACATCAAAATGTGGCACGCATCGAAATAGTTAGATTCCCCCTTCAGAATCATATGGTAGGCATGCCTTATGCATGCCTGTCTACTGGACCCTGGCATTCGCTGTAGTTCTATTGCAAATATCGAGTGTCGCTGTCGACTCCGAGTAGCCGAAAGATCGATCAAGGAAGCTGGCTGACAGAAGGTGGGTGTCTCCCCTGTGAGTGTTTAAATTTGAGACAAAAGGGTGATGGAAAACTATTATGAAAACGTACCGAAGGCACATGGTTACAACACCTTTCGCATCATATATACCTGTTACAAACAGTATGATGTTGGGGCAATTGCAATTGTACCATGCAGCGCATAATAATCAGTGTACAGGTACAAGTAGCACTATATCCAACTTGAAGGGTTGAACATTGCTGACCGCGAGTCGAACATAAGATGGCGTCAGTGTTGACTTGAAACATCGTTATCTTTGGAGAAACAGGAGTGGGCAAAAGCTCTGTCATTAACCTGATGGCTGGCCAGGAGATTGCGCACATATCACCCGACGGTGCTCACCGCTGTACTCTGCATTGGACGGAGTACCAAATAACCTTCGAAAATGGGTCTCGATACAAGGTGTTTGATATGGTCGGCCTCCAAGAGCCTCGTCTACAAACCGGAGAGTACCTCTTCGCAATTTCAAATGCATATAGCCTCATCAACACTTTGAAAGAATGTGGAGGTGTCAACCTCTTGCTCTTCTGTATACGTGGAGGCATAGCCACAGCAACCATGCAGAGCAACTATAGGTTGTTCTTCAAATTTTTCTGCAAGGAAAAAGTCCCGCTCGCGCTGGTCGTCACAAACCTCGAAAGAGAGACAAGGATGGAAGACTGGTACACGCGGAATATGGGCTACTTGGAGAATTATAACATCAGGTCTGCGGGACACGCATGCATAACTGCGGCGAATCTTCTGGATGGGAGGCATAGAGACAAGTATGAGGAGTCGTGTGGAATACTCCGTAGAGTGGTTGAGGTTCATTGCAACACATCCATGAAAGGGTGGGCCGACCCTAGACAAGGATGGCTTATCAAGCTTGAGGTTTCACATCCCAAAAAGACGGACATCATTGGGGTTCTCACGAAATGATGTGGGATGCCCAAGGAGGTGGCTCGGCGGGTAGGGCGCAAGTTCATACAGACCCCTGAAATCACAACGGCCCGCGATGCATGTCTGACTGGGGACTTGTCTATTGCTGAAGAGCTCCTCACCCAAGAGATCTACATCAACGCCGACAACTTTACTTCATATGCCAATCGTTCATTTGTTATGGCCTGGAAGCACGACTTGGACAATGCCCTTGAGGATGCAATCAAGGTGAGATGGAGCCACCCATCACTGTCATCTTACAAAAGGCTAACATTCACTGTCCGTAACATAGTCAATCAACATTGAACCATCATTGATTGGTTTTATCTTGAAAGGCATCGCCCTCTGCGGAAAAGGTCACGTCCGAGAAGCAAGGGTAGCATTCGACGTTGCATCTACATTCACGAAGCCAAATTCAGAAACCAACCAATTTCTTCTCTTGATCAAGGTACATTTAATTCGTATCCCATGCTATCTGCTTCATCCGATATTCCAGGCCATAGCACTCTTCAACACAGATCAACATGAAGAAGCAATGCTGCTCATCGAAGACCGGGCTGATGCTCATCCAAAAGTCGATTCTCTTTTTTTTTTTTTTTGAATCCTCTTTATTGTCCGGTGGGGCGGGGCCCTATGGTGGACAGTACGTACAGTATTGCAATCTATTGTAGGTTTGTGCTATTGAAACATTGTATGTAACTCTAATATTGGTCCAGGATGTGAGGCGAGGACAATGGATACCATCTGAAGGTATGCGGGGGGTTTCTGCTAGCTTGCTAGCTATCTATGTTCTTCGTCCGTTGCGAGCTTTTTCCTTTTCTGGGGGGGTGACGTCTCTGAAGGTGCTGATGAATCGTTTGGTGCGAGCTATATATTTGAATAAAGGTCCTATGCACTTCTCATCATTGAGTAAGTGCTTTAGTTGCTGGGCTCGAGTGCCCAGCTCCGCTTTTAGCTTTCTTCGGTGGGTCGCATATAGTGTTGCCGCGGCTTCCGGCTTGGCTCAGCTTTTCCATGGCTCGACCGGTGGCTTTAGCCAAGACTCGGATCTCACATTACAGCGGTTCCCGCAGCTGGCTAGCTGCAAGCTGCAGCTTTGAAGCGGCTGTGTAAGTGGCTAACTGTTTAGACCATGGCCAGCACCGCCCCACAGGATGTTGTCGATGTCATTACTCATATCGCTGACGAACCTGTGCAATCCTATGGACCGTTGGCACCCCCTGAGTCTGGGTCTGGCACTTGTCTGCCTTCAGTCACTCCTGCACCTGGAGACCCTCAGCTGATCACTGATACTGATATTGAAGACAGTGGTTACGACACTCCAATCAAACGTGGCTCATCTACCATGGTTCCATTCTCTACCAACACGTGTTATCGTATCAATACAATCAATGGCCTTGGGAAAGAGGTGTTACCCTTCGCAGTGGGTCCGATGCCCGTTCAGCAATTTTTGGACGAATTCTTTCCAAGCAGCCAATTACTGGATCATGGATATACTCCTCTCACTAACCAGCCATTAGAACATTTTGAGCAAACCATTCAGTGCACTAGTGAGGTTCCAGCATACCGTAAATTTGTATGTACCCCCCATAATATTATTGATATCCCTTATCAACTAATTTAAATTCATTTACTAGGTGCACGCCATGAGCACATTCAACTTCGACTTATCCTTCGTTGATGTCTCTTCCAAGGGGGATATATACAACTGCAAATCGATAAAATATGACATCAAGCCCAATGTTTGCATATACCCATCGAACATCAAGACCCCCGACAGGTGTGATGTGACGAAAGCTGAGATGATGGTAGAGTTCAAATGGAACAAGGGCGACGACCCATTCTCTACATTGTCCAGTGCTTCCTTGTTTATTATGTCTTCTCAACAAGCAAGAGACACAATGGGCCAAATCACCGCATACGCCTCTGCTCAGCTAGGTGCTCAGTGGTGCACTCACGCTTACCAGATCCTCATCATCAAGAACTATGCTTGCCTGATAAGGTGGGATCACGAGGGATTCATTGTCACTGAGCCTATCTTCTATCGAGAGTCTCCTGCCCTTATCGATTTCTTCTGATGCTACAATGTTGCACCTCATGCAATGTGCGGCCATGACGAAACCATTTCCCGTGTTACATCACATTACCTGCATCTCATAACCACCATCAGGCAGAAGCTCGGTTTACCATTGAATGCCCGAATCTTTTAGATCACAATGAAAGATGCAGACGGCTCAGACTTAACGTACTTAGTCCCTGCTCCGGTTGCAACAGGACTCTCCCCCATAGGGCGCAATACATGTGGATTCTCTGTGTACGATACCAAGGGAGATCGTGTTGTGTTCTTGAAGGACACATGGCGTGTCCTTTTGCCGGACATCATTCCAGAAGGGGATGTATACAAGCGTCTGAATGAGAAGCATGTTCGACATGTTGCAACGTGCCTAGCCTCTGGTGATGTTTTGGGTGGCTCGAATGCACATACCACCCAAACCGGTCGCTTCAAGGATGCGCCATGGGCCCGTCCTACAGGAGCTATTCTTATAGCTCATGTTCACTATCGCCTCGTTCTTAATATTGTCACTACCCCAATCACATCCTTCGTCAGTTCTCGCCAAGTCGTTGAAGTAGTGCGAGATGCTTTAATAGGTACGTGATTCTCTCCATTCTCGGGCGATGGCCATCTTATTTACTATTATCTCTAGCTCATCAGGATGCATATGAGGATTGCGACATCTTACATCGTGACCTCAGTGTAGGTAATATCATGGTGCATGAGAACGAAGGTATTCTCATAGACTGGGATCTCGCTAAATCGACTCAGGACTCGGGGCCAAGACAAATTCCTAGAACTGTATGTACATTTCACTTCGGTGATGGTCATGACTCACAAACCCTAATGACGGTTGATAGGGGACATGGCAGTTCATGTCTGCTCGCCTTGTTGCCGACATGAACACACCTCACGACTTCCAGGACGACATGGAGTCAACGCTATACGTGATCTTATGGATCATGTTCATCTTCACGGTATCTTGTATCAGTGATGCTCAGTGATCGCACTTCTTACACACAACCCTGGACCCTGAGCAAGTTTAGGGTTCGGGGGGTTCTGGGAAGGCAAACTTCTTGCAATCGAAGTCTTCTATTACATCAACAACCCCTCTTTTCAAGGGTCGCCCGGCTCTTGACGCCCTTGTGCAGCAATTGCAGAAGACGTTCTCCGCAAGATACATCCCCTCAATGAAAGAAGCAGAGGAAAACGTCAGACTTGCGAAGCTTCGTCTGCATGACCCGATAGTCGAGATGGCATTGCAGGACAACTTGGTCGCGATAAAGCTAGATGGCCTTGAGGCCATGAAATCGCACAAGGGCGTCATTAATATCTTCAATACTCACCTTGATTGGGAGGAAGGGTGGCTTGATGCTGATTCTCCCGATCTGCAGCGCATCCTTGTGGAGGACCACAAGGAACTCAAGGAATTTTACATGTCGAAGACTAATTGGTGGCTTTGGTCTGACTTACGTCCTGTCAGCAAGAGGAAGCGGAATGATGATGATTCTGAAGATGAATGACTTGTCAATCTCCTGCAAGTTGCAAGTTGCAACTGTGCGTGAGATTTATTCTCGCTGGGATCGCTTATGTTTTTTTGCTGTGCCGTGTATCCTTTGCTCTCGTCTTTATTGTTGTCTCATGTATTACTTTCCCAAGGTTGTTCCATGGAATCTTATGTGTTATTACTCATGGAAGGCGCCCGCTTACAGTCTGCTTAGTCTTGATATGCGATACCTGATGATTCAATCACAATTGACCTTGCTAACGATATCTCACAACACAATCTTTTTCTATCTTACTATGCTTATACTTATATTTCACAGCAGTCTGTCCTCGAGGCCGCCCAGAACCAACTTTGCCGAGCCCTGGCCCCTGGAACCCTGATTCCCTGACTAGTGGCTAACATTTAAATGTGAGGGTGAGTTCACGTCAACTCAAACTTCAAACTTCATCGACTAACTTAATGTCGAGCAAGCTCAAACAACCACCCCCTGCATCTGAGGAACTTGCACCAAGCCTAACTGATGACAATGCAGAACTAGGGCGCAGCCATAGAGTTCCTCAGCCGAAGATTGCTGCAGATGGGTCTGTTGTTGGTGCTCCTTGTCGTAATCCCCGCAAAGATCCTCAACAGGCTCGCCTCCTCGACACAGCCGCACCTGTACATGCTCTTGAACCCATTGAAGAGAACCTTGAGCCTGTCCTCGAGCCTGTCCTTGATACCGTCGTTATACCAGCCAAGCTAAACGACACAAAACCTCTAACCACACGTGCACCAGCACCTGCTACACCACAGCTGGCATGTGCGCATCCTGTTGTGAGGAAGCGAACTCGCCAAGTCAGACAAGATTCGCTTTCTCTAGTGCCACCAGAGACCTTAAGCAAATCAGACTTTCAACCATTGACCAATGATGATGCTGAGGACAACAATATTCCTTCAAGCTCTGAATCCTTTGATGGCTCTGACGAGTCAGACCTTGAAGAATCGGAGGTTACAGAGCCATCTGGGGGAGGACGGCTTCCAAGAAAGTCTAGAGGCGCAACTGATATCAATCATTTTTTCAAACGTACTTCTGAAAAGCAGACGTGCAGGTTGTGCATGTAAGTATTCTTTGCCTTTCCGATAATTAAATTGACACTATCCTTCAGGAAGAAAAAGAAGACACCTGAGAAGAGCTACAGTTATAGCCCGAAGACATCGACCAGCGTTCTCAGAGGCCACCTTGATGCTCTCCACTCAAAAGCATACCTTCGGTTCTGCGCCAAGCATCAGCTTGAGAACCAAATTACACGCACAAGGACCCAGGCTGGAACTACCAGTGGTACCAATGCCCAAACAACAGAATCCTCTCAGTTGGACCCATCCATCAATGATTTCAATCATCAAGAATTCCATGCCCGTCTCATTTGTTTTATAGTTGCAGATGATCAAGTAAGTGTCTACATTTTGTAATATTTCATTATGTTGATTGCATCCAATGTAGTCTATTAACGTCGTCGAGTGCGCCGAATTTCAACAACTCCTACTCTTGTTGTGCAAGGACTTGAAAGAACGTGACATCCCCAAGCAAACAAAGACGAGAGAACTTATCATTGTAGCATGGTAGAAGTATGTCAATGTTCTGAAGAATGATCTAAAGGTATGTGTCTCTTCTACCAAACCTCCCGAGTCCTACTGATCTATCATATGTAGGCTGCACTAGGCAAGATCTCAGTGACAACAGATCTGTGGTCAGACAAATGTCGACGCCCATACCTGTGTTTGACTGCACATTGGATCGCGCGTGAGGCGTCCCGCCTCATTCTGAAAGCTGCTTTGATCGCTTTCCATCGTGTGCAGGGGCGTCATACCGGAGAAAACTTGGCTAATATTATTGTCCGCTTGCTTGATAGGGCCGAAATCACAGCCAGGGTATGCATCCTTGATGTATTATACGTTCCTGCTGACTTCCTCTCAGATTGGGCACTTCACCATGGATAACACCAATAACAATGATACCATGATGACCCATCTTGAGGTCTTGCTAGAAGAACGTGACATCTCTTTTGATGCTCTCTCCCGCAGAATTCGTTGTTTTCCTCACATCCTTAACCTCTGTGTTGGCCATGTCGTCAAGAGTCTTACGAACTTGGATCTGCCCGAAGATGATGATTGGATCACTACGCTTCCCCAGAACCTTTCTGAGTCACACACTTATGAGGAAGCCCTCGAACGTGATCCTATCGCACTTGGTCGCAATATTGTCCAAGTGCTTTGTGCATCTGGTATGCGCAGAGATGCCTTCGAGGCTATCATCGTGGAAGGCAATGAGCAGTCATGGTGGACATACACGACAAAGGAGGGATGGATGGAGTCATGCGAACTTTCTGTTCTGCAGTTGCTTTGGGATTCGAGAACACATTAGGACTCCATTTACTTTATGGTACGACGCCTCCGATATCTACAGCAGGTAACATGTTGGAATGTTTTTGTTATCATCAACTCAACCCATCATTAGCCCATTGATTACTTTCTTGAGCACCCTAATAACAAGGAGTTACGAAGGCACAAACTCTCGACAACAGAGTGGCTTGTACTTCGTGATTGCAAAGTTATGCTGATGGTAAGCTCTATCGAATGAACTGAATGGTTAATAGTGATGCGCAATACTATTTTACATCCAGGTTCCTCATATCGCACTTCAGTCCATGTCATCAGAACGATTGCCAGTCTTATGTGGCACTATCATCATCTTCAAACAATTCATTGCGAAGTGGAAGTCTCTTCAGAATAGCCAACCCCGTCTGAAGCCATTCTTGGACATCAGGTTACAATGGGCTCAGAAGTATTATGATCATATGCAATCAGACGCGTACATCATAGCAATGGGTATGTGATTTTTACTTTGTCTTCCTTACTCTTATAATTAATGCATTTCATTAGTTCTCAACCCGGCATATCACATGAGTTGGATCAAGAAACATTGGTCGCGTGAGGGATCTGACAAAGCAATACAAGTAATCAAATCAAAGGTATTTCGAGCACATCTGACCTGGCGTTGTTTCTAACGCCCTGCAGATGCACGATAGCATGCCCCGCTCCAGGGGACAGGAATGTCGTGCAAAGTCACCTGTCAAGGTTGTCGCAAGGGCCCACAAGCCTTTGTCGTTGTTTGAGACCATCGGGGAAGAATATGGACTTGAGGATGACATGCTTGTATGTAATCTTCATGGTGGAGAGGACAAAACTGTCGATCAGGAATTCGACATATATTTCAATGGAACGACATCACCAACCGGCACTGATATATTGCAATTTTGGCTGGTATGTTCTCACTTGGAGGGCTATTTATCTTATGGTATTAATTTATATGTATCTCTTATAGATGAATGAGTTCACATTTCCAATTTTTTTCTCGATTGCCATGGATTACCTTCCTATACAGGCTTCTGCGGTTCCGTCTGAATGCATATTCTCTTCCAGTGGAGAGACCGACACAAACAAGCGCAACCACATCAACCCTGCACTTATGGAGGCTCTTCAAATGCTGAAGTTTTTCTACAATAAGTCTTGCCTTAATTTTACAGAGGGATTAGTACTTGACAAGCGAGCATTCAAGGAAGCTGACACTGACATGGACTTGCTCTCTGTACTCATGGAAGCACAGGGAAAAGATAGCATCAAGAAGTTGGACAATCTTTTCCGTCTCTTGGCGAAGGATGACGAAGACGATGCTCTCGATCAGAATGTCATTGAGTCGTCTGAAGGCAGCGACCCCGAGGATGAGTGTTGATTAGGTATCTCGTTATATCTGACAATCTACTATTTATTTTAGACTGGACTGCGCTGGATCCATTATTGATGATCTATGTTGTACCTACTAGTACTACTGCAGTGCTACCTAGTACCTACTCATGTTTTGAGGTTTGAACTAAGTTTATTCTGGCCTTGTTACAAGCCTACAGTGATCACACTATGACGAACGCATGATTCTATTCTCTCCAGCATTTGCTGAAAGCCGAAAGACCTCGCAATTAGCCAACTGAAGTCACTGAACATGTCGTGCATTGTTACTGCATGTTGTGTACTGTCAGTGTACACTCTTTCTCGTCAACTGCTGTACTATTAGGGATGAAAGCTCCAAACACACCTCTATCTTTCTCAAAGCCCAACATTGTAGCCAAGGGAGCAGGATTAGAGCCTTTTCGGATCGATGGGAGGTTCAGGCTGGGTGCAGAAATCGGGTCTGGATCACATGGTGAGTCCTGCTTGTTGTACGGGTAATATAATTTGATTCAAGTGTTATAGGTCGCATGTTCATCACCAAGGATATTTTTACTGGCCAGAAGGTCATAGCAAAGCTAGAACGTTCGAAACCAAGGACACTAGAGCAGGAGTATGCCGCGTACTTGGCTCTTGCTGGTGGAAACAGTATTCTGCATATTCACTGGTTCGGATCAGACTCTGGACATCACACAATTATAATGGAACACCTTGGTCCCTCGCTCGAGATGTATTTCAATGCCTGCAACAAAAGATTGGACTTACAGACGGTAATTTCATTTGCAAAGCAGCTGGTGTGTAGGCAACTTTACTGGTCTATAGTATTTGGTATCTGCAGCTAACTTGAAAATATAATAGATTTTGTGCATTGAGTATATTCACTTGCATGATTACATCCATCGTAATATTAAACCCTCCAATATCGTTCTCGGCAGAGAAATAGATGAGGTTGAGAGCATCAAGCTTTATATCATCGACTTCAGTGTTGCACGACTGTTCCGTGACTTGAATCGTCGTCACATACAATTCAAAAACAACCAACACTTTGTTGGAAATCTACAATTTGCGTCCATCAATGCTCATCAAGGTGTGGAGCAGAGTCGGCACGATGATATCGAGTCACTCGTCTATGTTCTTGTGTATTTGATACATCGTGATCTCCCTTGGGCTCCACCCGATTCAGAAGATGTGTACCCCTGCGACAGTTCAAGTTGTATTTTGCAGTCGAAAATCCAGACCTCTCCCAAAACACTCTGTTCTGGACTTCCCTCAGGATTTGCCACCATGCTCACTTATGCTCGCGGTCTTCAGTTCAGTGAGAAACCAGATTATCCCATCCTTCGTCAACTTCTGTAGAGTCCTTATCTTTTTGTATGCATTCAAGACTCAAGAGCTCCCTTTCCACTCTCCATGTAGAATTTGTTTGCTTATTTCTGTAATTTTACTACTCAGATTTGGCTTCCCTAATACTCGGTCACGCTGCTTCCTGCCAAACCTGTAAATAGCTGCTTGCAAGCCACTTTGGAACTGAGCCGGCGCTTAGCCGTGGTTCTACCGGTTCGGCTAGCCGTTTATAGGATAAGCTGTGGCTTATTAAGCCGAGCTGCAGCTGCCGCAGCTGCGGCAACACCAGTCGCATACATTGGGCATACGAAAAGGAAATGGTGGCACATAATACAGTAACTTATACCTGTCTCAGACGAACAGCCAAGGATGACAATGTACCTATAGAGACGGGCCATCCCATGTGGGCCCATGGACATAATTGTACCATGATATATGAGTGGGCTGGGTGAATGTGTGTACCCAAGACACATGGATGGGCCAAGGGTACATTATATAGACAGTGGTATAGGAATGTAGTAGTATATAGGACATTATAAATGCTAAATCTGGTTTACATTGGAGACAAGTGGGCCGGCCGGATGTGTGTACCCAAGGTAAATGGATGGGCCGATCATATGAGTGGGCTGAGTAAATTTGTGTACCCGAGATATACAAATGTACTAGTATATAGGACATTATGAATGCTAAATCCGCTTTACGATGGAGATGAGTGGGCCGGCCGGATGTGTGTACCTGAGACAAATGGATGGGCCGATCATATGAGTGGGCTGAGTAAATTTGTGTACCCAAGACATATGAATGGGCCGAGAGCATACAGTATAGATAGTGATATAGGAATTTACTAGTATATAGGACATTATGAATGCTAAATCTGTTACAAGTAACATCGGTCACATGGCCCCCCTATCATTTTCCCTTCGTCCTTGCCCTCACCATCTACTGGCTCACCCTCCTTTACAGACTTTTTGTTGACTGGATCCTCGGGACCATTCCCGTCCCTCGCATCGCCTGCCTCTACGCATGTGCATGCACGTTCCTCCCCTGATTCGACCACCAATGTGGTCCCACACCTATGACTCAGTCTGACTCGTGCCACCAATGTGGCTTTCCCTTTCTGTCCCTTCTGACTGCGGATTCCCGCACATTGTATTCTTACCGTTGGTCCATTCCAACGTTTCTCGGTCTCATTCCACATTCGACCATCCATCACTAATCCAGCTCTGTTGCCAACGCACCTATACCATTCTCGTTTCCCCTTTACCCTTACCTACTGTGTTTGTGTGCTTGCCCTTAACCCTCTCCACTTAGTATAAGTAGTCGGTCATCCTGTACTAGATTCTCTAACTTGAATCTACTCAATCTTCCCTGGAACATACTTCCCTCTGAACGCCCCTTTGGCTTCAGTCTCTAGTATCTTTTCTTAGTTGCTCATTGCGACTAAGTCTACCTCGATCGACCTCATTGTTTGGACAAGACTGTCCTTACCTTGAGCGACTTCAAAGACATCCGTCTTAGAAGTCACGTGACATGCGTGTACTGTGATCACTGCTGACTCATCGTCGCCAGTCTCACTTGCTATACCGGATCCTTCCGGTTACGTCACGAACGTTAGCGGATGACACTCCTCTTAGGGCTCCACATAACAGATCTATTTGAGTGCATAACAAAATCTGGTTTACAATGGAGACGAGTGGGCCAGCCGGATGTGTGTACCCAAGGTAAACAGATGGGCCGACCATATGAGTGGGCTGAGTAAATTTGTGTACCCGAGACATACGGATGGGCCGAGAGCTTACATTATAGATAGTGATATAGGAATTTACTAGTATATGGACATTATGAATGCTAAATCTGGTTTATGATGGAGACAAGTGGGCCGGCCGGATGTGTGTACCTGAGACAAATGGATGGGCCGGGGGTATATAGTATAGAAAGTAGTACAGGAATCTACTAGTATATGGAACATTACGAATAGCGAATCCGGTGTACAATGGAAATGACCGAGCTTGGAGAATCATATACACAGGACATCCGGTCAGATTATTATCTGGCAGGTGCATCCATAATCTCACTGGCCTATGATCCGGTACAGGCAAATATACCATCCGGTGTATCCGTCATCTCACAAGCCTATCGTCCGGCACATCCACTATCATATGCTAAGAACATTGGACAAGTGAATATCAATTGGAGTAGACTAAAATATGTATCGTCACTTGTCTAAACATCTTTCTTCTCAACCGGGCCACTGCATTGTACATTGCCATATTTTGCATAGTCTGTCCTTGAAGTTCTGACAAAATTATGGATACTATCTCGCATGTACCATGCAGTGACAATCCAGCTACCCTGTTCAACATGCATGTGATGTCTGACAAGGCGAATGATGAGGCCAACATTGACCCAGAGTCATATAGAAACTTGATTCCCAGATTCATGAAATCCATTATGACTGGATGATAAATGCCTGCGGTTGTCATAATATCAAATGCCTCCGGTCGACATTTCAGATCTCTATGAGGTGGTGACCAGCAATTGCAAATGACTGACACTACATTGAAGACAGATGCCTAATGTTTTAGGTGATAGCTCATGTCGTGTAACTGATACCGGGTCGCCCATTCACCGAGCTGGACTTGAGTTTTGATTCCAGCCCGATATAGATCTGGGTGCATCACCCGAAGTGCAGCAGAGACCAGGATACCGGACCTTTGAAGGGAGGTTGTGATATTGCGACCAACATCGCCTTTCAATGCAGTGGATCCCTGAGGTGAGAAGCCATTTTCCGGATCAAGTTTTGGGAAACCATGTTTCTACAATACTTTAGACTGGCAACACCAATTGATGCAAACCGGACATACCTCTCTGCCTTGCTGAAACCATGCGGGTGATATATTGATGCAACCAGGGGTGATCTTCCCATCCAGACTCGGATAGAAATTGGACTCATGGGTCCTCCATTCAGTAGGCTTCCTGGTGGTGATGCTATTGTTCAACAAATTTCCTATGCATTTCGTGGCGCATTGCATATCTGTCTGTGAATATTGTCATATACATCCAGATGAGATGAAATAAGAAATGAATGTGGATATAAGACAAACCATTATCATGCCAGTCATGGCTCCAGGCAAATACCAGACAATTATTCTGCCTCCGGAATCAATTATGACACACGGTGTTGTTAAGACAAGCTGTTTGTCAGGAGGGAATTTTTTCAAAAGAGTCTGCTCTCGTTTCTCATTTTGATTGGATTCCTGTTTCTCCAGGCATTCATTGTATCTAACCATGTCAATTTTAAGACAAACTGTTGGCAAGTTACTTGACCGGAACAGATATATATTCCAGAATGCATACCAGGATTGAAGTAAGCAACGGCCAGGACATTGGCAAGCTGCTCCAAAGCAATACAGGTGTCGACATCTAAAAGTCTAACACCCATTGGCTTTACCGGTTGTTGATGAATTTTGGACATGAAGGTGTCATAAACCAATTCACCGGCAAGGTAGGTCTGGTATAATGCCAAGTCCGGTGGAATTGTTGTCATGTGTTGAGGAAATAAATGAGTGGTTAAAGTATGAGGAAAGAAAAGAAAAGCGGTCTGATGAGTCCGTAACTGGATAACTATGAGCAGGAATCCGTGTCACATGCACACTCCAGATTTCATCTTTGGAAATCTCAACCCATTTACATTGCAGTTCAATATAATACATTGGTATAACATATCTACTGAAGGCTTCCAGACGTCAAATTGGGCTTGACCGTACGGATGCATTGTCATCTGCATTCAACTGGTCCATGAGTGATTGTGAGGACGCCACAGCCCTAGTAAGTTCATCAACTGGCCCAACCAATCCGGCCAACTTATCACTTGAATGCAAAAGGTTTGTCATCCTTCCCTGCAAAATTTCCAACAGCTCTCTACCAATTGTGGTCTGACGGCACTGCTCAAGAGGTGCTGATCCGACCATTTCCGGTTGATGAACCATGCCAACCATGAGCATATATGGGAGGAGGCCGGTTTCCACATGATCCGGCTATTATGATGGAAGTCAGATTGTGTGAAGATCCAGTGTAGGAGGTCAAGATTTCATGGACTCACGAGTTCTAAAAAATGGCCCTCAACCAACTCCATCACATCTTGGACAGATGATTTTGGCAACATGTCTGGCAGCCTGCAAGAGCCCAGGTTCTCCTTCCACCAGGCATTAAAGTAGTCTGGCATGCGAGCAATGTCATATTCATCCGATGTGGCGGAATTGACAGAGAGAGGCAATGCTTTGATTTCCTCGAGGACCCCATTCACATCCGGTTGCCGGTCCACCAATTTATGCACAACCATAATTGCAATCACATTGTGGAGAAGTTTTGGAATGGTAGCGGAGCATCTGGCAAGGAAGGATGTATTGATGAATGGCGTTACAAAAGTCTATATGCCAGGCGACATTATGTGAGTGCAAGGGAATATAAAAATTACCCAGACACCCGGACAACCGGACAACCGGACTACTGGATGCTCACCTCCATTTCCCATTGCATGAGAGTGTGAAATTTTTCTGCATAACCGGGCATGGCAGTGGCAAAGCTCTTGTCAACATACAGGCGCATGGCCAACAAGCGATGACCTGCACCAAACTGGTTCGGTGCATGGATGACTAATGCTCACTCACGAGCCCGATACCCTAGAAATCATTATGAACAATCTTCCTTTACTTTATGGTTCAGACGGCAGTTCAGATAGTATTTTCATTTTCTCAGACAGACTCAGATAGGCTGAATATTCTTGTATATTTAATTTTGCGGTAAATTCTGCTTAGTCAGCAATAACAATGACTCAGACTGAATCCCACACATGTCAAGTAACAGTGTAAAATAGTTCTTGCATAATTTGCCTTGTGGGAACTTTCTTAACACTCTAAATACACGGCTCGCGTCATTTCTACGGTCAATAAAGTAACATTATAACAAGACACCAACAAATAACATAATCAGTCTGTTACTTAATATTTGTCACATGATACTAAGTTATATGACTCTAACAGTCAGGTGACCTATGACCCTAAACCAAATCATGACAAAGCAACCTTTTTGAGATGACTAAAGCTTGATGACACAAATTATAAAGCACATGACTACAGTAAATAGTATTGGTACAATCTGACTAAGCCTATTCCCCTTAGAACGTGGGAAATAGTAACACAGCCACCATAATTTATCTATATAAGACCCCACTTTTTGCCAATAAAAAAAATATATAGGGAACTTTTAAGCCCCACAAAATAAATTTGAGTGTGAAGTGTGATCAGTATCAACAACAGTGACAAGAGCTGTTAAGCAACTAACTGAGAGGTCATTGTAAGCAACATCCAGCAATACCTTTAAGCTCATCATCAACAACTGTGAAATATCTTGAGCTCACTGTGCTCAACAGTGAGCAAACTTTTTCTTTGATTTTCTACTGGTGAACCTCTAGTCTCTTTCTTTTCTTTTCTTTCTTCTTTCTCTCTTTCTTTTTCTGTTTCTTTCTTTGTTTCTTTCTTTTCATTTGTCTCTTTTTCTGTTCAGTTCGTTCACGTCTCAGTGTTATTGTCTGAATTTATTTCAAGATCTTTGTGTTGTCTTTACGTCCATCTAAGCACCGGCTTAGTGGGAAGACTTCAGAAGTTGATAGTGACGCTTGACCTCACTCATCTGAGTAGTGATACTGAGCCAGGGTTTTCTTTGTCTGCTAGACTTTAGTTGTTGAATAGGGGACTTGGTACTGAAATCCAAGGACGTCCGTTCCTGATTCTGTTTAATACTCATTGTGAGTTCCTTGGCAGCAGGTTCAATAGTGAACTAAGAGTTCTACTGATCACTGATTAGTCCTGACCTTTGATTCTACCTGTTTGTGCTGAGGGGGTGATTGCTATAATTTCGCACAACTTTCTGTAGTAAATTTATTACAAGAAGCATTGTTACTGAAGGAAGGGTTTCCCTTATCAATCTATTTCTTTTTTCAGTACCATACTGTTGGGCTGACTTTTCTCTGTTCTCTAAACACTGCCATACCATTGGAGTGAATCAATTTCTTTTTGTCATCACCATACCGTTGGGCTGACTACATTCTGTTTATTTTATTTTCTATTGCGTCCATACTGTTGGATTGACTGGTATTGCTACTGACCTCACAGGAAGTATTTTTGTCTGAACATAGCTTGGGGAAGTGTAAACAGCCACCCACGAACAACCACGTTATCAGTCATTGGTATTTGTCTGAATCACTGACCGTGGAGATTTTTGATTTTGTAGGTGTTTATCTATAGATCATCTATCTAAGAAGACAGCGACAATTGGCGTAGAACAAAGCGTGAGATATCTCTCCAGCGGTGATCTCACCATCCAAGTAGGCCACAATGATTTGATCAGAAGGAACCAGAGTGACAGTGTTGTTCATGGAGAGAGTATGACGATGATGTGGTGGTGACTGACAAAGTTGGTTTTATTCACACATTTTCAATATATTTACATATTAGCTAATCCAGGAACTATTTAACCAGTACTATGAACTATCTAACAACCGGTACTTCCGGCTAAATTACTGGAATCATTTTCTGAAAAGACTCCGCTGCATGTGCAGCTAGTTGTTGATATATGTGACATTGTCGGGCAGCATAACATGCATGTCCAGTCAGCCCAGTGGAAGTGGCATTGTCCATGAGACTGAGCCATTGCTTGGCCTTGTAGGTAAAGAAATTGATAGACCACTGCATTTCATGTTTGATAAGAATGACCTCTTCATTCCAACGATTGCACAGGGCCTTTGTCCGGAGCCAATTGACTCGATAGATTGTTGTTGCAAAATGTGAGACCGGATCACTGGATATCACCGGATGTGCTGGATACTCACATTCTGTCATCCAGTCATTTCTGGATGTGTCACCCTGAACATTTATTGACCAGAACCATGCGAGAGTAGTGTCCCGCTGGCCACGTGCATTTGGATCCGCAACTGCAGTGCTTGCCTTCAGGTGTTCTTTCTTTAGTGGAAGATATTTCTTCAGGAGGTCATGATCAGGGAGTTTAGCTAGCTGCAACTGACATTTTGAATATATCCTGGCATTGAGATTGACTACCATTTCCACCGAGCGAACCTGAGTCCATGCCCTAGTGGAGGAGGCTTGTGACTTGGCTGACCAGATAGTATTCCGGAATATAACAGCTTTATCTCCCAAATGAACTCTAATTGCATGAAGGGCATCATTGGCCTGACCTTCATGAAGGGCAGTTTCTTCTTTCATGAGAATGGTGAGACCCAATGCATTGCATCTTATTATACCGAGGTTAGAAGGCAAAGGTAAGATAGTGAGCTCGGGTTGAAAGATGGAGGCATGATGTGTTTCCGGATCCAGTGTAGGGATTCATTTCTGGCTAGGCTTGGAGAGACTGTCTTTACCTTACCTTATGTTGGCACTTTGTAGCTTACATAATAAAGTTACCTTTTCACCAGTTCTACTATGAGTCTGAGTATTCAGCAAGTTTCTATCATATTTCCTCTTCTCTGAGCCTTGAGCCTGGTCCAGAAACCCTTTAGGGTCGAATAGCAGCTAGGTTCTGCAAGACCCAACATTGTTCAGACTCACCATCTGAATTGTTGTACCTTCACCGGGTCTGGATTGTGATTGTGATCATCGAGATCAGAATAATCTTCATCCAGTGAATCATGGACCCTGTCTACCAGAGAATCCAGTTCATTGGCATCAACCGCAAATCCAAGATAAGTAGGTGCCATCTCAAGAAAGCTATTAATGCGAGTTTGCAGCTTATCCCTGAGTCGGGCTACTGTCAACAATTGAATGTCTGTAGGATGCCTTCCGAGCCTTTTCACATCTCTAGAGAGAGAGAGAGAGAGAGAGAGAGAGAGAGAGATTTGGGACTCTTCTATGGTGAGACCAGTTGCAAGCCAAGTGGCTGCTCCTCATCAACTAAGGGAATTGGTGGCTAGATGATCTGGGCGATTTTGAGCCTCCAGCAGGTGCAACTCCTGCTGCTTTCTAGTTGGAGCTGTAGATCATGCCATCCGGATAATAATTAGTATGTGATCAGGCCCTGATGAGTAGTGGTAGAATTTGACACTTGCCCTTTTCCAACCGCACCTCATAAATGTCCATGGCTGTTGGATCCTCCAGTCTGTTTGCCTGAGCAAGAGCCTCCTCTGCCTCCCAAAGAATGACTATGGCAGGCTGAACTGTCTCGTTAAGATTTTGGAATGAGAGTTTGCTCTCTGCAGCACCCTGGGCAGCCTCTTTGAACTTTCTGCAAAGAAACTTGGCTGCAGGGCAAGTCAGCTGGGAATGAATTATATGACACCGGGTCATATTTGTACATCCGGAGATTGGCAACTCACTTATGCGAATCATTTTCATGAAGTTGGAATCATTCATCTGATAATCCAACACCTCCTTGCGATGCGGAGTTCCCATGCCCCCGGCTGATGGGGAGATTATGTTTAAACATGCCCAGAGTGTTTCCATGATCTCTCCATCTATCCTTCCGGTCCCATGGATAAAATTTGATGCATACCGGACATAGCAGCTGTCCTAATGGCCATGTACATGCCACAAACCTATTCCAGGAATGATATCCATGCCAATGGGGATGGACAGATACATGCTGGATGTGATCCGGTCCTTGAGAAACTTATTATACTGACAATTTATATCATAGAACGTTATTGCTCGTGAGATTCCATTAGTATGGTAGTTGAGAGCTTGACTCAAGGCATAGTCCATGTTCATCTGCCTGATTATTTTTGTGGGATCAGTAAGACCAGAAATGCATGTAACCGGATGCAATGTCTATTTACCTTTCACCCTTCTGAAAATCCACCATGGAATGTGGGACAAAACATCCATGCCATGCACATGCACATCCTCCTATACCAGTGGCCTCTAGCTTTTGTCGGGAGGCATTTGCTTGATTGACTGCGTGGTGATTGTTACAATCTGACTTTTGGACCCGGTCTTGGGCAACAGACAAATGACTCTTGTATCTTTCATCTCCAACCATGAATGCAAGACCATCCATCAATGATACTTCATCAGATGGATTCACCGGATGTAGGTGCTCGGCTTTAAAATTACCATCCATGACTAAAGTCCGGGTGAAGAGCCAGGAAGGGGTGTCATTAGGCTGAATGGCCGTACCGGTTGACAGGTCCAAATTTATCCCCGGTTGAGGACATGCAGGACAAAATAGGGCGAGATCACCGGCCTTAGGCTCATCATTTTTATGGGCAAACCCATGCCACTTGTAGAGCTTACATTGACGCCATTGTCTGGCAGTCCTCATGAGCTCTCTGTAGCGATCCTGCAAATATTATTGTTCAATGACCGGCTGAAGTACAGAAAATGAAAACTGACTTGCCGGAACCATCAATGGAAAGATGCTGGAGGTTAGCCTCCGGATCTTACTGTAGTAATTCATGGCTGATGTACCACATTTGAGGTTGTCTAGCAGAAAGTCGTCCAAGATGGAGAATGTGAAAGCAGTTTTTGGTCTGGTGAAGGATGCTGGAAACAAGCCTGCTTGAAACAGCTGCATATCCGGGTTTAGAGCTCCGGGGCAGTGGCAATACCATATCGATAGGGAGTGAACACCGGATTTGTCCACTATGGTTGTAGCCGGATGATCTGAGTCTGCTACAAGTGGAATGGAAGTTCCCTCTGGATAATCATCATGGTCTATGTTTTCATCGGTATCTGACCATTCAAAGAGGTCTGATGAGTATTTAGTGCTGCTGGGACATGGAGTGCCATCATGAGCAAGGTGAATGTGCAGGCCGACTTTCATAAGTGAAGTTTCTTGAAAAAATGATCCGGTCCATTGACTGATGTGATGGAATGGATGTCTTTGATGCTGGGTTCTGCAGCACTCTGTACAAAACAGGGGCTCATTAAAACACCCGTGGCATTTATAAACCCCATCCTTCTTGCAAACTGCACAAAGCCGGTCCAGAGGAGGGGTTTCTCGGACCATAAGTAAATTTATGTAGTCCTTGAATTTGCGGTTCCATTGCCAGAGATATTCATTCTGACTCTGCATAATCTGGTCAGATGAAGACTGCAGAAATCAGAAGGACTTCTGCTTGCCAGAGATTTTGGTAATTTAGGCTGAGGGATGTCTCCTTGGTCAAAGTCAAAGTCAGCACCATCATAGAGCATCTGAGAGAACTCGGCTGTTTGCTTTGAGGGAGATTTCGTTGGTGATGATGTCACCGACTTTGTTTTCGGGGACCATGAATCTTTCACCCAAGATGACCTGGTCCCTCTGGAAGTAGTTTTCTCCTTCAGTTTATATAGCTGAGGCAATTGTTTCTTCATTGGAGGAGTATATGTGATTCCCTTGTGTTTGGTATCTGCCATGATTGATACCAGGACCTAAAGGATTGTTGGGCTGGGGAGTGTACTTAAGCTTGATGATCGGCAGGCATATGACTTTACACCTGTGCCTTCCTTCAACTCCGGCCTCTGAGCAATTTGAATCACCGGATTACTATTCCTGTTCGTCATTGAGGTACCAACTCCGGCCTCTGAGTGATTTGAATCACTGGATTACTACATTTTCTGTTCCTATTTGTCAGTGAGGTTACCAGGTGATCAGAAATCTTGGAACATCTCCATTTAGGATATATTAAGGTCAGAGCAACTGGGCTTGCCATAAGTTTGGTCATTTCTGAGTCGGTTAATCAAACACATTGTAATCCTGCCATCATCCCAATTCCCATGGATTTCTTCTGGTATTAATGTGTCTCCCTATGCTGTATGGCATATTTGAGAGTATTGCTGTATGCTGCCTGTATACTATGTGATGAACTTGGTCTAAGTTTGTATGTTTTACAGTCCTAAATTCTATGAACCGGAAACACAGGGCATGTTAAGCCTGAGAGTATCATGTTGGCAGACAATCACTTGTTCGGTTTACTGTCGGATACATGGTGGCGATTGGCTATGTAAGATTATACTGTATCCTTTCTTCTACCAAGACCTCAACTGCTTTGCAATGGCCCGATCCAACTCATCAGTACACAGCCCCCAAAAGACCAAGCAGAAATTGACTGAGGAAGAGCTGCTGGTCTTACAATCTCACCTAGAAGAATGGAAAGAAGCAACCAGTAAGGATAGAAAAACAATTCTGAGGGTGGTCATAAAAGAGGCCAAGATGCAAGCCCCTAAGATGGATGCCCGGCTTTTGAAGAAAAGGAAATCTGTGAACAGCCGATCCTCTAATTGTACAAATGCTCATGATGTATTAAGATGTACCGGGACTGGTTATATAACCGGAGAGCTGAAAAGACTCTCAAAAAACAAAGCAAGTTCGGTAAGAAATGGACTGCCCAGTTGGTGATAGAACACCAGTGCAAGAAGGAGATCCTTGAAAAGACCGGAGCAAGGCCAGGAGGGAAGGAAATGATTAAAAACTACCAGGGTGCGGTCAATGCAATTATGGGCGGTTTATCTGAAGAGCAGCTGGAGGAAGCAAATAAGACGGCGATAGAATGGTCTAGCAAGGCTCCTCCTACAGATGTCCAGGCTGAGTTCGCTCAGAGGAAAGCTCCTGGTATGATGAAGGATCTTGCGACTCAGTTATGGAGGCAGGCTGGTATGAGGATATTCATATTGTCGGCATGGAAAACTGAGGAAGGCAAAGTGAGGATCAATGGGTGAGTGACTTTTCATTCTCTCGACCGGTAAAGATGGCCTGATCCGGTCATAAGAATTGACTTCAATGAAAAGCTGGAGGGCAATATTTTCACAGATACAAAGGACTGGAAGCCCATGTTACCGGAGTGGAATGCCTATGTTAGAGAAGAGTTCGGTGAGCTTCTTTTTTGTGCAATGTTGATTGATCCGGTCAAGTACTTATACCATGTCGTAATACCAGCAGTTGGCCGGAATGATGATGACGATGGCAATGAGGATGCGGAGGGAAAGGAGAGCAGAAAGCAAAGGAGAAAGAAGAAGGAGTTCATTTTAGAGGTTGATGCCTATGGGCTTCCAGTCATACCGGATATTGAGCCCCTCAACTTAGAAAACAAAAAGTCTCTTATCCGGACATTCCTCACAAAACACTACAGTAAGTTTCACAAATCAAATATCTGTCGGGTTGATAAAGCAACTACTTATTTTGCAGGGTTTTGCAGTCAAAAGCCAAAGGCGTCTGTTCCTTGGTCTGCAGTGAGGGAGGCTCAAGACAATTTTATTGAGCCCAAGTTTTTACCTACCGGTGGGAAGATCAAGGACCTGTCCAAGCTTCAGTTGCATGAAGCTGACCAGCTCTTGCAGTTCTGGCATCAGAGACAAAAGGACAAGGTTCAGCCAACATTTGAATTCAAGGGCTGGCAAGACCATGACAAGGAGATGAGAGAACTGGTGGAGAAGATCTCAGAGTGTGACTCTAGCACAACATGCAGTCCAGTAACAGCAAAGACCAGAGTTCCGGTTCAAAAACCAACTGGCAGGTCAACCGGAAAGTCATCCGGCAAGTCAACCAGAAGGGTGGAACCAGAGCCAAGCAGTGAGGGCGAGGATGGTGATGAAGGTGAAGGTGAAAACAATGAAGCCTGATTACCACCTTCCAAGCAGAAATCGACAGGAAAGCCAGGCAAGGCTGTCCAATCTATTCCAGTTAAAAAACCACCTGCCAAGTCAACCAGAAAGTCATCTCGGAAGCTGACTGGAAGGGTGGAACCGGACTCAAGTAGTGAGGACGAGGATGGGGATGAAGAAGGCAATGCTGAAGTCCAATCACCGCCTCTGGAGCTCAAATCTATCGGAAAGCGAAGCAGAGCAGTCCGATCTTCGGAGGAAGATTCCGGCCTATTGGTCAAGAAATCTAAATCAAATGTCATTGGGCGCAACAGACCACTGGAGGACAGTGCTGGAACTCCTTCAGCAGGATCATCCAGCAACCATTCTGCAGCCCCACTGCCTCCCAAAACTGCCTTGAGAAGTAGCTTTGTTGGTCCTGCATCAGCCGGTCGGATGAAGAAGTCTGGTCAGAAGATACCTGCACCTAAACCAACAGCTCCTGCCACAACACAGGGCACTGGTAAGAAAACTAAAACACATGGAGCTCACATTGATAAGCCCGAGCCAAAGTGCTCCACTAGAGCTGCAAAGGTGTCTTATAAAGTGAATTACATGCAAAGAGCGTAATCATCACTTTCATTGAATGTACTATACAAGTATCAATGGTATATATATATGTCATGTTGACAGTTGGTATATTAATATAAGTTGAAATGCCAACAATAACTCACTAGTGGACTGAAGAACTTCCTCACTGACAAGGGCTTCTTCCAGCGACATTGTACCATGAGCCCTTTCCATCTCCAACCAGTGTATGGCCAAGCGCAAATCACCTACAGCACGCTGAATGACAAATCCCATAGGTTCCGGTTCACTAACCATGGCTAAAATTCAATGAGTAACAGTGATATTTGATGGCATGATAAGACCTACACAACTGGTACGGAAAACCATGTACTGGATCTGGTGTCTCAAATCCCATGTCCAAAGATGTCTCTTCTGGTTGAATATGCACTGAATTGAGATTAAACAATATATAGTGAAATGCAGGCATGAAACATACATGAATGATGGGCAAGATCATGTGCCGGATGTGTCCCAAAGCCCATGTCCAAAGGTGTCTCTTCTGATCGAAGACTCACTGAATCTACATGTAACAGTGCAACCCAATAAAATGATGAGACTCACATGACTGATCTGGAATATCAACTGGATCAATGCCGGAAGGCCTCTGGTCCGGATGATCATATTGAACTGGAGGTGAATTGAAGCCCATGTCCAAAGGCCTCTGGTCTGGATGGTGATATTGAACCAGATGTGAATTAAAGCCCATGTCCAAAGATCTTTGTTCTGGATGGTGATGTTGAACCGGAGATGGATTAAAACCCATGTCCAAAGGTCTTTGGTCTGGATGGTGATGTTGAACCGGAGGTGAATTGAAGCTGGTGTCCAAAGGTCTTTGGTCCGGATGGTGATGTTGAACTGGAGGTGAATTGAAGCCGGTGTCCAAAGGTCTTTGTTCTGGATGGTGATGTTGAACCAGAGGTGAATCAAAACCCATGTCCAAAGGCCTGTCTTTCACTGAAATGTCATTGACTGAATGATAATCATCAGTAATTCCATTCCTTGCACATGTATTCAACTAATATACCTGAGCCACCGACCAGTCAATTGTTTGCCAGGATGTTCGGAGAGCCGGTTGCCGGGTCCGGGGAATCATTGGCATTGAATGCATAGCCAGGTGGAAATTCCATGTCCAACTCGGATATGGGTGTGGCAATTGATGACTGGTTGGTACCGGACAAAGGATGGAACCCCATATCCAATGTGTCTGCCACCGGTTCACTTGTGAACCGGTCGAAACCCATGTCTAATGACTGGCTGTTTGCTATCCTCCACTCTAGCATCGTCAAAGTCTTGCCATCCCTCCACCAGTCATGAGCTGATGCAACATCTAGGTCTAGAAGGCATGAATAATTAGGTTTATAGGTCAGCATGAGAGGACTTACAGTCGCCAATGCTTGAGCAATTCATCCAAAGGCTGTCGTGGTACGATTGATGCATCAGGAAATCAACTCAAAACTGATATGACCAGACAGAATTGGTAATGAAAACACATAATTATACCTGATTTTTTAGCCTTAGATATTTTTATTACAGTGTCACACATAGATGAAATATGATATGACTATGTCAGAGAGATATCACCTTGACATGTGTCTTAGAAGTACACAACAGTGTGATCACCAGGCTATAATTGAAAGGCTGCAGATCATTACATTTTCAATGGCCTTGTAAAAATTGGCAATCGAAACACATCAATGTTTGCCCTTGAATATTTTTGTCACAGTGTCACACATAGATGAAACAAGATATGACTATATCAGAGAAGCATCAGGTTGATGCATGCCTTGGAAGCAGCTATCAGTGTGATGATCAGGCTGTCCATGCACTGTAATTAAATAGCTGCAGATTATCACATTTCCAGTAGATCGATAATGTATTGTAATATTTTTTACACAATGGGTTACATCTTATCTAGATTGCACAGAAGCTGCAATAACTACAATTGAGACGGTCTGCATATCAAACAAACATCATACTGATGTGCACCTTGGAAGCAACTAACAGTATGATGACTAGCTGTTCATGCACTCTAATTGAATAGCTGCATATCATCACATTTCCAGTAAACTGGTAATATATTGTGATATTTTTTAAATAGCGGGCTATTTTTTATCTAGATTGCATAGAAGCTGCAATTACTACACAGCTTGTGTTTAGCTGTCTAACATGGTTAACATCTACAAAGCTCGACAACTATGGACTACTGCAGACTAAAATTGACCATGGACTGACAATGCCATCAAGTGATTAGGGAGCTGATCATTGGGCGCACACAAACCAACTCGGACATGTGAAAATTTTGCTCAGGGATATGTTGTTATAACTCTTAAGTTGCCTATTCGCAGTATATGAAGCAACAATATGATATCAATAAAAAACTAAGTGAGTGCTCAAGGGAAGAATAAATATCACGAGATAGCATATAGTATCTCTTATAGCTGATAACAAAGTGGATGCTTGAAACGTACTCATGCTTGGCCTGCTGTATTTTTGCCACCTGCAGATGTTGGAGGTGCTCACTTAAGGTCGATGGTTTTACCATTTATCATGCCAAGATCGGAGTCACAAAGCAGATGGTCATAAATGTAAAGTGAGAGTAGTAAAATAACATAAATCTTGCAACGTACAGCCTACACATGTGGAATACCAGTACAGAAGTGAAAATTGTGGCGGACGACAAAGTGAGAGATTGATATAAATCAGTGGCACAATGAGATTACAGGAGTACAGAGTCACTGGAAGAGAAGGATAAAGATGAGGCCGAAACAAAATCATCGAGATAGTTGTCAGGTATATAGGTGTCAAACATTATAATTTCAGAGCTTCTGCATAGAGTCATGTTAGTGCGAGAAATTGAATCACAAGTTGCATGCTCACCATCTGATGTGGCCTCGAACTCAGACAAGCCTTCCATGGCTTCCGAAAACATGTCCACTTCGGCCTGTGCGCGCTGCTTCTTTAGATCTAGAATATGCACATCAGACTTAAGCGTGTCCACAGATTTGTGCTCCTTTGCTTTGAAGCTCTCGCTGTCGATGATTCATAGAGGCTTGCATTCGCAGAAAGATGTGTCCATGTAAGCACGGTATGTAACATTATCCACCCAAGTTTTCAACAAACAAGGTAGGGAAAGAAGATCATTGGGCTGCACAGCGTCAGGACATGGGGTCAACGTAGAATAGATGACACATACCCTTAAAAGACATTCAGGAAGTTCAGGAAGTTCCACAGTTTTCAGGGAACTGAGGAGCACACAGATGGTATCAGAATCAACCTGCATAACACCTTGGACATGCAATGATGTGAGAAGCAACACATTGCATTTGTCTCGAGTGGCTTGTGTAGGTTGGAAGCAATCAACATATTCTAGATTACGCGCTGGGCATGCTCCAGCATATGCAGCAACATCGACTGTAGCTGGTTTCGGTCGGTCAACTGCAAAACACACATTTAGTCTCAGACACGATTCTTTCAACAGGATGGCTCACAGGGATGGTGTCGATTTTCCAGCTCTTCACACAAGTTTGCGATAGCATTACTGAACAATGAAACTTTGGTTTGAGCTCGGTACATTCTATCCTGCATTAAACACCGCCCCTCTCGCGAGAGGAATACCATGCAACTCCCCTCTTCTTGCTGAAGCTGTGTGTTCATTGCGACCTCTTTGAGGCACATATCAATCAAAGTCATGAGATCATGAGCATCCACTAGTCCAAACACCACAGAAGCCGTTATAATAAGGGATTCTGGAAGCTGGAGTTGAAGTTAGAAACATAAAAGAAACATGTGAGGGCACTGACAGTGTCACGGCCTTGTGCCTGGAGCCAAGCTAGCAGGGCTGCCTCGGTCTGTTCAATTCCAAGAAAGTGGGTGGTCGGGACTGTTTGGCGTGTACCATAAGTATCTGAATGAATGTTATTTAACATGGTGAAGTTAGAGGTCAACAAGCTCGAGGGGATATTCTCACGATCGCCGAATGCAGCTTACACAACCTATACAGCTGGGCGATGGAGATCAATCCGTAAACCAAAAAGGATAGAGCGATGGTGATCAAACTATAAAAAAAGTAGCTTAGATAAAATAAATCATTGCATACACAAGGAGCATACGTAAGCATGTATTCAGGATGGAGATGGAGAAGGGAATACGAGACCTGTTGGTCCAGCTCTGGCGGGAGTTAGATGAAGTGGAGCACCGTTGAGTTTGGATGTGAGGACTATTAAAGAGTTGGGTTCAAAACTTATGTTGATCACTTTTGAGGCGCCAAGTGAAGATGTCCCGTGCATGTCTGTTTGCATATGCATGCCATCAAGTTCATAACCATTGGAGCTGACTCCGCGCTACAACTAACTAATGTACATTTCAAAAACGAGCTAATGACAAATGACAGGCGACATGCGGACGATGTAAATAGTATCACGCTACACACGCAGCACAGAAGGCTGGTTGCTTGGGCGGGTAATATGAAGGACGTCAGTCTCGCTTTAGTATGGTACATCAGCTATCACACAAAATACAAATTCTGAATGAGCGTACGTTATTACACATAAGCTCCTCAGAGCCTGCCTGAATGGCTGGATGTCGGGATCATCATGCTGTTGGAAGAGCATAGGACCTGTCTCTTTCAATTCCATGAAAATCTGGCTGGGTGTCGGATAATCTGCCAGGGAAATGGGATCGCTTGAGCTGTTGACAAGTCTTTGTAGTAAAACCTGATATAACTGATTGGAAAATTGAAGTGAACGAAAAACACAAGATTAGTATAGGCCACTTACAGACGACCTGAGGAACACTGTTGTCTCCCATGGGGGGTGTGGAGCATGCTTAAACATCACAGACTCAAGATCAGCAATGGTCAATCGAACACCGCACATGTTCTCCTTGGCCATCTGTTCATGCACGAATCAATAAAACCCGTTCTCCTGCGAGAAAAATAAGATTTTGATGATGAACGTGAAATCAAAGAACTTACTGCAAGAGGGAGAAGGTGCGCATGTGGTCTTAGGAACATCTGCAGGGCATCCAGGATTTTGTCCATCAGAACATCGCCAAACACACCATCGCCGAAACCCAGGCCAGCATGAGAGTCATCGATGATGTAGCCCAGCGTGCGTCTCACATCATAAAAAAACTGCGAAAACCATGCAGAAGTCTGTTCTGGGTTAATGATAAGTAGAGAAACCAATAATGACACGTACAAGGCCCAATATCTCGTGTTCAGAAATAGGCTTCTTGTTAGTTTTAGAAAGAACTGCAAATGAATCAGCACCTGTAGGTATCAGCAAAAATAAACTCACCAGTTTCCAAGGACGAAGGAGCGACATTCGTCTTTGTCAGACTAATGGGCCAGAGTTGGTCGATTACCTGCTGCCTTTGAGCGCGTTGGCTAGTGAGCAGGTGTGGGTTTTGCGTGCCACTGGAGCACATTGCAATCCTGATGAATACCCAAAGGTAGGCAAGCGGGTACCGCCACTGGGGGCACGCCATCATGATCCTGTGGAGACTACGACCTACAACACGTTTTGTTGGAGGATTGGCAGGCATGACTGCTTGTAATCCAACGGCGCTGCTTGGGCCCGGTACATTGATATAGGCAGACTCAGAGCCAATCCACGACTGCGGGATGGTTGAGGCCTCCTGGCCCGATACACTAAAGATATCGGAGAAATCTGCCAGGTTGCTGCTGCAGATTTTCTGGTAACCTGTAGGGTAGTGTGCAATATGGACGACAGTGCGACCAACAATGTCTATGTCATCGACCTACAATATTTGTCAAGGCGTGATCTGGGTAACATTGCAAGGTGGACTTACATATTGATATAGACCATGCATGCCATTCTCGCAGGTCATGCTCATCACAAAAGGCAAGTCCAACGGCGGGGCGGAGAAGTCGAGCTAAAATATCCCATTAGTAAGGTAGAATTGCAGTCGGTGTTCAACTTACTATCAGGATGTAGCACGGAACATCATTGTGGGAGGGTCATGAATGGTGAGACGTGTAGCACGGGTGTGCGAATGTAGGCAATCACACATAACTGTTGTCTGAGCTTGATGGGGGGTCAGTTTCACAGCGATCACCAACCAAAACACCCTACAACATAAAAATCCTCCATCGGACTCTACACCCATAATCAGACATGCGGAATACACTGTTCAGATACCCAAATAGAACTTACATAAAGAGGATATACTGTTGGCAGCGACCCAAAGTAACATGTGCTCTAGTTTTCGTAATCTAGCTCTATGTCACTGCCGTACATTCCATCAAATTCGCTTCCCAGCGATTCTCTACTTGAACCGAACTCGAGTTCGCCGTCTTGTATATTCGGATCTTCATCTTCATCTTCAACAGACGTCCCGTCATCCATAGAGCTTTCAACATCATCTACAACTTCTTCTGTGCTGGGGCTGCCTCGTTGAGACTCAGTGAGTGAGGATTGATGATGTGAGTATACATGTCCAACTCCAAGACCATAATGGAAACACATCAACATGTCGCGGTCCACAAACCTTGATACCATAAGGTCATATCAAGGTGTGAGAAGTTTCCTGACTTACCGATTTATATAATACGCGCACCAATCATATTTATCCTGCGCACATGCTGACAAACCCAATCCATCAGGGTGTTTCCTGCGATTGTGAAAAGAAGGAATGATATGGCTGCCCCTGAGGACATCCGCCAGATCCAGGAAGTCAAACGAGTGCTCGCCCACCAAAGACAGAAAGCTAACTCGGTCTAGAGTCAAGTTTTCCCAACCGGAGAGCTCATCCATGGGTTCATACCATCGAACCCATAGGAACTCCATTTGAGTTGGAGTGTAGTCGACAAAACCAGCTCCAATGTAGATTACATTTACATGATATATTCCAAGTACCTTACCATAGATGAATCGGTGACCTCGGTGCTCAAAATCATCCCCATCACGTTACAGTGTGTCGTCCGTGGATTGATGACATCCTGAGCTCTTCGAATGTCGTACGAAGTATAATTGAACCTTGCAACATTGTGATGATACATCCGATCGTCCTTCAGAATGATCCTGTCTATGTCCATTTCATCTCTGGACGCGGGAACAAGACTCAATTTTTTGATGCGATGTAAAAGGTGATCTTTAAGTTTGGGAGTAAAGTTCTATAAGGGCTTGTGAAATGTCATTTTTGTAGATATAAATGACCAACCTTAATGGCTGGGTCCCCTTGATGTGTGCGCAAGACGGATCCGATGTGTACAGGCGACAGCTGTGATAGGCCGATGTGGTGGTGAACATGTGGACTTGTCGCCAACTCTGCAACTTCGATATGAGGGTGTACAGAAACTCTGTATGTGATACGATGAATACGGGCCTGACGACGTTCAATTCGAGCGAGCTGTTTGATAAATAGCTTACGATCCGTACGACAATACCTGGCCTTTGGTGAATGGTGTTTGAGTTCACCCTGAGGAAGTCAGTCAGTGACGCCTCAGATTTTAATGGCACAAAACTTACCGGTTCGGTGCTGAATGAATCACATGTACCATACTGGCGGATCGTTGCTACATAGTCACCTAAGGCATGGAACTTGTAGGTCTGAAAATTGAACAACTTTGTGTGGTGCACACTTTTAGCAGGTTTAGCAGGATGATCTTCCTCAGACATTGCCCTCTGCTTCCCAGCGCGAGCAGTCTGCTTACCCTTCTGCGTCGCAGAAGATTTTACCGCCTGTTTGACACATTGTCTGTTGCGCGCTTCGACCTCCTGACGAAGTTCGCGGGTATCATAAGCACAGCAAACGTGCATATTGAAGTCGTGGAATTGATAGCCAAGTGTTGTAGTGACTTGATCCATGATATCTAGGGTTAGATCAGAATGCATACGCAGCTTGGCCAGCCCATGCCAATGCAACATGTTGAATAGTAACTTGAGAACAATTGTATTGTGTGGTTCGGGTAGGAGCCCGTCGAAGACAGGGATGGAACACTACACAGCGAGTCAGCTGTTATCTGATATAATATGGGGGGGGGGGGGATTATACCTGCAGGAGATCTTCAAAATTGCGAGCTGCCATCTGTTTCATCTCTGAAGAATTAGCCGCAAATTTTCGGATGGTATCTTGACCGAACATTGCAGTTTCTCGGTACCTGTGTAAATGGCTCAGGTTAATGATGAGAGTCAACGATCAATCACACCGCCATACCTGTGATCCAAAACATGGACAAGACTTCTGTCCTGCGCAACAATAATACATAATAAGTGAATAAAAAGTGACTTCCAGACCCCAATCTCAAACTCGTGCAGCAGATCTACAACAAGCACACGGAAAATATTAAAACCCAATGGACCGAGATGATCTGAAAAGCTGTTCTGAGGTGTTGTTAGATTTTATCGGTGACGATGACTCCAAGCTCACCGAGGTCGGCACCCAGGACTGTTCTTTTAGAATGTGTTCGACAGGTGCACTGCCAACAGCAAAATCCTTCTCATAGATCAATTTGCGTGCTTCGCTCGCCATTGGGCCCCTAGTTGCATCTTTGCGAGCTAGTGTCTCGCATTGTCGTCTATCCTGAGGCCTGCCCATGTTATGTATCCGATCCTTTGGTATAAGGCAGCGGGGACATGGACAATGTCCTAGATGTCGGACTGTTGCTATCAATACTCTGGTCAAATGCCAATCAGTCCTATTTAACACGCGATCTGACATTACTCACTTTTCAGGATAATCAGCAGAGTATGTAAAAATCCTAGGGTAGAATCTGTGCGTGATGCCATCGCAGCATCGAATTATGATGCCATGTTCATAGGCCTGCAAGAATTCATTGTCAAGCAAGATCTTCCATTGCTCATGAAAAAATTCTCTATGGCAATGTGTCGCACAGTCGCTGTTCATTCCCTTGCCACCTGCGAAATCCTTGAAAGAGTCTGGGAGCTGAAGAACTTACTGTAAGCATGCAGTGGCACTGAATCAATAGGTAGTCTTACCGTCTCAAAGTAAGCAACGTGGTTGCTCAAGCTGCATGACGGCTTGCAATGGCGGTACTTCAATTCATTGGCGAAGTACATGTACGTAGGCCACAGCTTAGCATTTCCAAATGAAGTGAGTTGCGTGGCATCGGACCAAAACATCAGGCCCCCCATGACCCACGGTAAGTCACACCCTGGTTACCTCGGTAATTCCTGCACTTTGCGGTGTGCTTCATGGAAAACTGGGGATGTGTACATGTCACCATGTATGGCGACCTCTGCGTCAAGATGAGGAGGAGCCCACCAGAGGTGATATGGCTCGTAATGGAATAATTTATTGTCTCGAGAATTCGCAAGCTTCTCTCGTATAACCGAGACAAGGGAATGATGATACAAATCTGCTGCCTGGTATACACGGGGACCTGGTGCATCGGTGGTACGGGAAAACGGCACCTGGAGGGATATTGGAGCTCTTGTCCATCCGGCGTCCTCATCCTCCCACTCTTCTCCATCCCCATCATCGTAGTCATTTGCACCCAGCTTGGTATTGATGTTCTTCCAATGGGTGGAGCTGACATCAGCAGCTTGGAAGGAACTTCCACCCATAATGGACAAGAGCTTTGCGACTTCTGAAGTCCCTGGTTCCAATACCAATCCCCAAGCTGGAAAGAGGCTTGGTTTGGATAGGGATGATAGCGAGAGTCGCTTTGTGACCCAAGAGGTTCTGGGGATAAATCAGTTCCTTGAGGGGTGCCAGGAATGAATGAGAGATCTGCTATTGTTACATACTCTTCCGGATCATGGGATGGTGGTTTATCTGAAAAATACTGATGCACCAGCCCAAAGATATTCATGGGAGTACAATAAACACGTTGTAGTAAGGCTGGGCATTGTTCTGCGCTGACAGAAGATACAGGAAATTCTGGAAGTTCGTCCCGGACTTCCACCGGGACTGTAGGTGGGGGCTGTGGAAGCACATCTCGAAATCTCTTCGGTTTTTGTCGGTTCTCCTGCCTGGGTCTGTGCTCCGCCAGACTCATGTTCCCTCTGTCGTCAATGACCACTTCATTGGGATGATGCTCTTCGAGAACATGGGGAAGGGTTGTAGAGACCGAAGCTTCATTACCATTACCCAGGATATTGTTGGTTTGAGCGGGAGGTGAGTGATTGGTGCAGAAGGTGAGTGTGGTATCGGGCAGTGAGATATGCTGATCAGGGGCAGTTTCGTGCAAGTCGTTTGAGGTGCGCAACTTTTTCCTGCAACCAACAAACTCCTTGAAGGAGGAGATGGCCGACAACAGGCGTTTTTTTGTGCGGGAACATGAATATTGATGTAGGCTGTAGTAATTCTGTGTGGTAAACGTGCGTTTACAAACACATGTATAACCAGACGCGGACATGAAAGAGCATGCCCTACAAAACAGAATGATTAAGTACATAATATGGGAAGGCACTGCCGCTCACATTAGAGGCGTTCTAAATGCCGTATGGACAGGAATGCAATGGTGCTGAGCTGACAGGGCCAGTTGGGAAGGACTTATGTAATACACAGGAGTGATGCAATGGTGCAGTGTTGACCGTTGAAATTTTCGATGATGGCTAGGCACACAATGGCGCTGGGATGAGGGATAAGCCATAATCCCTCAAATGCTAAGAGGCCACCTACCTTGCATTCGCGTGCTGAAATGTCTCCTTCTGAAATCACCAATGCATCTGTACCACCTTCTCCCTCATCATCCTGCTCGAGCCTGGAACCACAGGAATTTGTTGTTGACCCCAAGGTCATGAAAATGCTGGTGAATATATTAATTGCATGCCATGGTATACTTCATTACCATGGCCAAACAGGGGAACTGGCAACCTTTCAATGGTGAGTTCTGCGTAGAAGAAAGAAGAATTGGCTCATACCTGAAAGACAGGCCAACTACCTGACAAGGATGGAAAATTCATCCTTCAGAATTTCAAGCCTATCGAGATGCACATATCTTTCGCTACCCTTGTTGCCTTTGTGCTACAGGAGGTAGATACGTAGAGGTATCAATAATCCGATGAAGGAGAGGCCCATGTCAAGGACAATACATAGCTGAATGCAAAACTAGCACTTGTGGCTACCTGCGTGAGTCGGTTGTCTACCAAGCATGATATAGTTGATGGTTGGCTGATCTGTCATTAGTGAACATCGAGAAATTTTTCGGAAGAGCTTGCATACCTGCTGCATATTTTCCTCTCAGAGGCACGTGTTTGAAGTAGCAACACGAAACGTCTAGGCTCATCTCTAAACCAGGGACTGACTGGCAAACACTTTGTTCCTATGATTAAGGACGCCAGACTCCAGTAGCATCAGCATTATGTCAATATGACTAAATGTGGCTAGCTAACATTAGGATCAGTTTTATTCTGATGAATTTGGAAGTCAAACACACACACACACACACCGTTATAGTTAACATCGATACCTGACAAAGTTTTGATGTTTGAGACTGTTTTGTTTACTAGGCGCCATTGCTGGCGATGACCTTGCTTTGTTTGGTGTTGTTAACTCATCTGAATCACAAGCATGCAGTCCAATCAATCATCCAAGTTCGTCGCAGCTGCCCATGGCCAGGCCCCAAATCAAACTTCTTTCTCAGAGGCAGTGGTCAGGACGTGAAAAAAGGAAAATGCTGTTAATTTACATGCATAAGCTTCATGTTGTCAAATTCAGAGGCAGCCATTGATCCTTTACGGAAAGAAAGACAAGTCAGAGATATTAATAATCTAGGGTGCAGGAGGCATCTTACCATCATTTTGATGCGCGCATCGCACATATCACTGCGTGCGTAATTCATTTCTGACAAGAACTTGTTAAAAGTGCACGACTTGTCATTTAAGTGCGGTGTGTACACCGCACTACACTATAAACGTAATACTACAGTAACATACATTGATTATTCATATAAATCTATACTGTGTGCTATGTACTATGTACTATGTGGCGATGGGATGATGGAGGTTGGAAAGAAGAAAATGATGAAGCGAGCAGAGTTTATATAGTGACTGACTTTTGAAATCAAACTCCGCTGACTGTGGCTACCCCACAATGATGTAATGTATTACATTTTCCTATTTTGTCACGGCATGGCTAATCGTGTATTGCTGGCTGGGTCTGAATATGTATTCAGTATATCAGCTGTGCTCTTCGCGTCCCGAAGTCCTTTCCGACTCCAAGTTTCACAAATATGCGTAGTTATATTTAGCTCAAATGTAATCGAGTAGACAGTAGTACTTGTGATTTGTGCAGTCTCCATCTTTGGCTGGTGGTGCATTACGAACATACTCTAATGATCATACTAGTGGGCGGGAAGACTTAACTTTTTTACATGTTTTCGCCGCAACACCGTCTATAGAAGACTTCATTTTGACAGAACAATATATGCTCAGGCGCCAATCTTTCATCGCTGGTCCCTCCGGTCCACTAGCAAGCCCAACAATGTACTGGTCCACAATCACAATGTGGAGTCCGTCTCTGTAAGTATTAGATAATCTACAATAGTGATTCACTATAAATACTCACCTTGTGCATTAACAGGTCTTCTTTCTTCTAACACCTTCGAAAGAAGGGATTTGCCATTACCATTTCAGCTTGGCTTGCTGGCCAGCTTTACGTGGTGGCGGATAGCCCCAAAACAATCGCAGAATCTCTGCCCTCCCTGCTTGATCTAGCTGTGAAAGATTATACTCGCATCGCAGAGGAGGAACGTGAAGCAGTCAAACGCACACAATTTGAGCTTCACAACCCAGCGTGGTTGAGGATCAAGAGCGGCAAGTACAGGGGCAATGTGGCACAAGTGTTCGAGCATTTACCAAATAGTGTTGTCGCAGTACTTGTTGTTGCACGCCGCTTCCCCTATTCTATGCCTCAGGGATCTCAAGCGCTGATCGAGCGGTCCCGCCTCCCGAATAACACGACAGTTTCCGACATCATTTGGGACGACAAAGTAGTCGGATGGAAATATAAGGGCGAGAGCTACTACATGGGTCTCCTTTTAAAAACCTTTCACCGCGATTGACTAGAACATATCGCATCATCTCATGCTGACGACATTCGGCTCCACCTGGACTCCAGATGGAACAAACCCTTCATCCAAGCAACTCTGGCTGCATTTTCATTGCAGTTCCTGCGCATAGGAGATTGGGCCAGGGTTGTCAAGGGCTCTCTTCGTGGTGAGCTTGGTCAGGTGACATCGACTGACCATACTCTTGGGACCCTGAGTTTGCAATCCACCTTGGATGAACGTCTGAAAGAGATGACAGTTTGTCTTCAGGATGTAGAACGTGTCTTTCGAGTCGGAGATACTGTAAGAGTGGTGGCCAGTTCCTACTTGGGTTTGCAAGGACACATCATCGAAATGCACGGGGACACATTTCAAGTTTGTCAAGATACTACAAATGAACAGGTAAATTTTTTGTGCAATTTAATATTTGACGGTCTAAGTCTTGGCGTGTATAGGTCAAAGTGTCGAGATACTACTTAGATCGGCGTCTCTTGAAGCACACAGTACAATCATGGCTGCCAATGCAGCAGTACTTCAACCCCCCCAAGCTAGACTCTATTGAAATCGGTGTAGAGACTAACATCTCTGTGGCCTCATAGAGGTCTAATTCTCCAACGTCCCAAACACAGCACGTCCCATATCTCATTTCTGCACACTTGGCGCTTCGTCGGCCGCTCGCGCGCATCGGCGCACACACCTTCGGTTCCATCGCTCGTCCTCCGTTTATCCATTCCATGTCCGTTCGGTTCATCGGTACGTGTTCCTAATTTATTCTCATGTATTCTGACATATCTCCGGTGCTTGCGCACATATTCCGTATGTTTCGTCACGGACCCTTATTTTACATATCATCACGTACTTGCTTCGCTTTAGTGCTTGACAGCGCTTAACACTACTTACAATATATATACTCATGTCTCGATGTAGAATGATCATCTTCTTCCCGCACAAACATTGGACTCTAAGTCTAAAAATCTCCGTCATATCCGCCAACCGACACAAGCACCAGTTCTCATACTCTAATATACAAACATCGTCTTACTTGTCTCCCGACTCACTTAAAGAGTCGGTGCGCTCCACCACCCGCACGCGCGCTTTGCTCACTCTCAGCGCGCGCCATCATACTCGTCGCTTGGTAGCGCTTCATAGCGCTCTCGCTCATCGCGCTTCACTCATCATCGCACGCCTCACCAGGCTTATCTGACAGTCCGGTTCAGTGTTTCCCTCTACTATTATATATAGAGCAACCTTCTCAGTAGCAATCCCCTTGGGCCGACATTAGATTCGCGCACAGAGGACCATCTGAGTATATTCATACCACCCCACTTCATAGCAATCTACATTCCTCACCTACATCGGGGATTACATAGAAGTCATGGAGGGAGAGCACATGGGAAAACGCGGTGTCGTTGACTGGTTTTCGAAGAAAGACACGAACCTCTGGTTCCGGGATATTTTCATTGTGGACAACACTGAGTGCTCCGGCGGATTGTCAAGTATCTCAGTTCCCGCAGCGATAGTTCAGCGGACGAGTATCACGCAGACAATTCAATTCACAAAGGAAAGGGGATATGACGTCAGACCTGGAGACGTCGTTACTGTTGCCCGTGGGCCAGAGTATGAGGCAAAAGGGGTTGTGCAAAGCATTGACTTCCCAAATGCTTGTCTGACCTTGCTTTGTGACGGTGATCACGCACTGGTAAGCACCATTAACCTCAACTCGGGCATCTCTGACTTATAATAGATCAATGTTCCAATTGGATTTGTGGTGAAATTGCAGAATGCTGACTTGGATTGTTTTAAGCATATTGGACAAGAAGTTTTCGTTATTTGGGGTGAGTACAAGGGCTACCGAGGGACGCTCCACGGTATTGGCCATGAAGCTTGCGTCGTTGCTCTGCGTGGGCAGAAGTGCACCTCGCTGAAACTCTATGACACTGTCACTAAGTGAGTAGTCCTCATACTTCCACAGCAATTTATAGGTTCATGGCTTTCAGGTTTGGCATGAGGTTAAACGGGGCAATGCTCGAAGGTTCTGAGTGGTCTTTATTCTGCGAATTGCGGAAAAGATCGTACTTGGCGCCGCCTCCTCGAAGCATCACCCCACCCATCGAAAAAGATCCCTCTAGCTCGTCGGGGTCCATAACAGGTCCCATTCTCCCATCATCCAATGCATGGCCGGCCTGGTCTGCAAGCTCAGGTGGTGCTGATGTTGTGCAAAGCCCGTTGTCGAGCACTGATCCTAACTCATCAACACCCAATGCCTGGACTGTCGATGAACTTGATATTCAGAACAGTGTTGACGCCAGATCAAAGAAAAACTCAGACAGTGGTGAGTCCTCAATGGAGCCATTGCAATTTCTGCTCATGTTATTACAGGCTCACTACCTTGGTTGATGACCAGGGAGTTTGCTTCCAAGTGTTTCACGTATCACGCGATGTTGAAGGTTTCACCAATATTCGATGCTTCGCTCTCCAAGCGATTTGTATCAACACCTTGTCCTGATCCTTTTTGCAGTGAGAATGGACCGGCCCCAGAGGGATGCGTCGCAGCGTACTGTACATCCAACAACACAGGTGCCATAACCAAGCACTATCATATTCCCGCCATTTATTTGAGTCCTGCACCTCCACGCAAGAAAAATCAAGAATGCCTGATTCTGGATGGGACTCATCGTGGACTCGTTGGAACTGTAGCGAGGTGCAGCATCAAGCACAGTTTTGTGGACATTAGTATTACTCCTACTGTTACTACAACTTTGCATTTCGATCAGATATGTCTGGTGGAACCGATGCAATAGAATATGTTCAGTATGATAATTATATTCCTGGAATAAATATTACAGTACATATACCTGAGACCATCTACCCATTACCTCGCCATGATTTCTGATACATGGGGAACAGAGGATCGACATATTCCATTGGTTTCCGGCAGAATCAAATAACATGCTGCTTGTTACAAGTAACATCGGTCACGTGGCCCCCCTATCATTTTCCCTTCATCCTCGCCCTCACCATCTACCGGCTCACCCTCCTTTACCGACTTTCTGTTGACCGGATCCTCGGGACCATTCCCGTCCCTCGCATCGCCCACCTCTATGCATGTGCACGCACGTTCCTCCAATGATTCGACCACCAATGTGGTCCCACACCTATGACTCGGTCTGACTTGTGCCACCAATGTGGCTTTCCCTTTCTGTCCCTTCTGACTGTGGATTCCCGCACGTTGTATTCTTACCATTGGTCCGTTCAAACATTTCTCGGTCTCATTCCACATTCAACCATCCATCACTAATCCAGCTCTGTTGCCAACGCACCTATACCATTCTCGTTTCCCCTTTACCCTTACCTACTGTGCGGTAGCCTTGCCCTTAACCCTCTCCACTTAGTATAAGTAGTTGGTCACCCTGTACTAGATTCTCTAACTTGAATCTACTCAATCTTCCCTGGAACATACTTCCCTCTGAATGCCCCTTTGGCTTCAGTCTCTAGTATCTTTTCTTAGTTGCTCATCACGACTAAGTCTACCTCAATTGACCTCATTGTTCGGACAAGACTGTCCTTACCTTGAGCGACTTCAAAGACATCCGTCTTAGAAGTCACATGACACGCGCGTACTGTGATCACTGCTGACTCGTCGTCGCCAGTCTCACTTGCTATACCGGATCCTTCCGGTTACGTCACGAACGTTAGCGGATGACACCCCTCTTAGGGCTCCGCATAACAGATCTATTTGAGTGTGTAACACTGCTCATACTGTAATTCTATAGTGTAGTTACGGTACAACTATTCTATTCATTTGTAAATGCATGTGTGATGAGATCATTCTGTGCGTTCAAGTAAATGAAAGTATTGTTGTACTAAGCATCACATCACGGTCCTTGTGTTGTCGAGGTTGCTACAGCACAATAGAGAGAGGTATGTACTCCTTCGTGTATGATTCCTATTGCTGTGATTTAATAATTCATGTCCAGCTTTTTGTTGCTCTGCGTTCGGTAAACTGAATGTAACATCATCACCAAAGCAGACTCACAACCAGGGCTCATCATCTCAATGTCAACTGCCTAGCACCCCCTTGACATCCACACAGCAAGTGAAGCAACAGCACAGTCACCACATGTCCCATTGTGGGCTCGTCTTGTGCTTGTTCTTTGCCATGCATCTCCCCCACATGACCAGGTGCAGCATTCTTCTTTCATGTGTCCACGTATTCTCATCTCTCTGTTAATGTTCTTCGTTACTTCGTTTCTTGATCATGAGACTCGCATAGTGCATCAAACTTGACGATGTGATACACTTTTGGTTTTAGCGCCGTGGAAGACAAGACCGGCGCTCAGGGGTTCTCAACAAAGACAATATGGACTATACGTGCAAGGGCAGCTCGTTGGAGTCTTAAAGTGCATTTTTGGTTCAGCTTTCTGTGTGCTCCCGCTGCTGATCCCTCGATAGATTTCACAGCATTCATTGACACCTCTCTGAGGATCTTGTGTCCTGATCAAATTAGACTTGAAAGTTGACACACCTGTGCCCACAGCCAGAGATGCACAATTCACTTTGTCTGTGGATCACATTGGTGAAAATATGACGGGCGATCATCAGAGCCTGTCTCTTCTAAACAAAATAAGTGGCGTCAACGAAGCTCTTGGTTGCTTTGAACGTGCTCACAGTCAACTATATACTAGTACTACTGCATTATCGTGAGTTAAAAGATGTAGAGACTCGGATACGCTGTGCTTAGTATTTGCAGGAGGAAACGAAGAGAAAGAGAGCGCAAATATAGTATACAAATCAGCAGTAACATTAATTGAGTTTCACCCACTGCAGTCTGCTTTCCAGCACATCATTCAGTCGGAGACTCAGATGACCAACATGAATTCAGGTAGATTTACTCCCCCGGGCGCTGAATGCCGGCAGAGTTTGAATACAGTCGTTCACTACATCAGCATGGTACTTGCATTCAGCCTTCTTCTTCCTGACTTTCATCGTGTATTTTGGCATAAGGTAATATATAGCCTTATCGCTCACTTTACGATACTTACTGTCGTCCTAACCTTACTTACTACTAGGACTATCGTTACTTTACTGTTATTACTACTATACTTTACATTCAGTACATACTTCATATAAGTAGTGTGATATTAAGCTGTGCACAGAATTGCAATGTCGACGTGATCAGCCGTATTCCAAACAATGGGTACACCACCCATTTGACAACATGGTAAGTGTATCATTAAATTATCAACACATGATCTAATTGAAACCTAAATGTATCTGATATAGTGTGTTTGGTTGTGCTTAGAATCTCCACCCAGCCTTCTTGCAAACTGATAGACCTGCATATTCACAGATCAGTGCATGTTCTCTCCGACCATGGGCCTTCATGATTTCAGTCCAAGAGCTCTGGAACGTAACTAGGAGAAGGGGCATTTTCTGGAATTTGATCGAGCTGGGGCACCTGGATACCATCTGGCATATGGCGCTCGAGGTTGTCAGCGTGATAGTAACTTTCTAACCATCTATACCTGTATGTTTTCATCTTTTCCGAAAGGAACTCGATGTGAGTTTTTGTGTTCTTTAACTGTTTCTGGATATGTCGCAGCTGATATTCTAGTTCACTTTTTGAATTCTCGTCGGTACCTAGCCGATATTTTTCAGACCTGCCACACAAATATCTAGATCGACAAATCTTACCTGTCGTCTGAGTTCCACAATGGACCTTTTGATGAAATTCATCTCCATCTGAGCTTCTCGCGTTCATTGAGGAAAGCTGCAAACTAAAGGTAACTCTAAATTTAGTACCGCATGCTATACTGAAGAGCTCACTTTAGTGTGATGTGGCTTCTGACATGGACGGATTGTCACGAACACTTCCGAGTGGGTGAGCCTGCCATCCGAGGTCCAATTGCTACAATAGCCAATGCAGTGCCGTAGACTTTTATCTACGTGCGACGATGGCTATACTGTCAGAGGAGGTACTATATCAATAGTATATATGGCTCTAAGATGGTGAGGTATTTTCTTCATTACGAAATCTATGGCGCTTGGATGACGAGGTAGCTTTTAGTTATATTATTGATGGTGTTCGAATGGCCGATCTATTTTTTTATCGTTACAATATCTATGGCGGTATGGCGAAGTTTTTTTTATTGTGTGCCATTGGACATTCAAGTATATAAATATTGTCTCTCGTATTAGCATCACTTAGCTGAACTTATGAGTGCTGACGAGAATAACCCTTCTTCCAGTGATCCTTCGCGCAAGCGTAGTGCTTCAGCGCTTCACACAGGCCCATGAAAAAAGGTGTCAGTGTTCTTTTAAGTGGTGAATCACAATTTTTTGATGTCTTTCATCAGGACTTCTTCAAACCCCCTTGTTCTTCATGGCCAACATTTTGGTCGAACTGTTTTTGCCCTGTGTAACTATCCTGCCCTTCTTACGGCCGGTATACTCCGACTGGAAGAATTACAGGATACTCCCATCGATGATTATCCAGCAGAGTGAGCATACTTTTGACAATTATGGCTTATGCTTACGATCATTGATAGTGTTCGACGCGAACACAGAGTTTTCATGGAACTAATAGATTCATACCCTGGTCTTTTGGATCGCCTGACGAATGGCGAGGAGGAGGATGTCATCCATGTGGGAGAATTGGTAAATTTGATATTCTTGAACATCATCATGCTCACAGTTTGCAGCTGGGCAAAGGAGCTTCTGGTGCGCGAGGCGATGATACCAAGACCCTTAAATCTGCCATTCTCGAATGGCTTGTGCCCAGAGGACAGGCTGTCATACCACCTCTCTCCCGGAACATCAAGTCTGACCGCAGGTTTAACCATGAAATCACTGGTAGGTTGCTTTGCCCAGCAGGCCTCGACTGGTCACATGCAGAGTGAGCCATTCTGCCAAGATATTAACCAAACATCCTAACGCTACCTAGAACCAAGCAGAGTCTTAAGAGTGGAGAAACTGCGGTTTGTGGTGACCAGTGGCCTATATTCTTGTATGCTGGGTATGAGTATGATCCAGAAGATCCCTGGAAAGGCTTACTCAGGAGCGAGATACTGATCTTTGTAAGATACTTCTACTGGCGATCAATTTTAACTCAAAAAAATTTCCATTCATAGGGTTTCAAACATGTTTTTACATCTCCAAGCTTGGTCGATAAGGAGCCAAAGGCCACACGCTCTGGCAACACTTACCTGCATGGTATGAAATATGTGACTCGAGGATCCTTAGCTTATGTTGCAACGCAGGTATGCAAATTTGATTATATATACCTTTCCCTGCTGACTTTTCCTTCAGGTTCGGTTTTCATTAAGTTCGTCATCCGTGTTTTCACGTACCGACACGGTCACGGACTCCAAAAACTTTTATCATAGTATTCTTGACTTATTGGAAGATCCTGATGAAAGTGAGGAAGTGACTGATCTAATGACGTGGTGGACCCGGTTTGTGACCTCATCCGCTTCAATTTCCAAGTTAACACTTGTTATAGTCGGATTTTTCCAAATTCTTCTTCGTCACAGCGCACTATCAAAGATTCAGGAAAAACGCGCTGCCCTGCAGGAACGAGTTACTACCAACACCAATTAGTTTTTGCATTTTTGTAATTGTACTGTATTATAAGTAGATGTGCTCTTCCTATGTTAAGCTATATGTGAATAGGATATTTCAGTTTGATGAGGCGAGATAACTCATTGTCAAAGCTCAACTCAGTTGAAGACCAGCATGTTGATAGGGGCTCAATTGATAATTTGGTATCACAGCTTGACTCATGGTAGCTCTTGCCATTGGAAGCTGCACTTGCAACATTGCTTGACAGAGGTCACCTTGATAGGGGTTGTTAACTGAATATTATGCCCTGGCGCACTGTCACTGATTATACCTCCTGCCTTTAGGAGCTATGTCTGTAATGGTAGACTATGCTCAGTTGAATATCATCATCTTGATATGACATGATAACCTAATATTGTCCCCTGAAACATTGTCATTGATGGTGGTTTCTGCAATTGGAATCTACCTATTTAAAGTTAGATGTCCTTGGTAGAAAATAAACAACTTGATGGGCAATGACAACTCAATATTTCACCCTGACACTTTGCCATCAATGCTGGCTTCTGACATCAAAAGCTGCCCATCTAAAGCTAGACACACTTGGTAGTATTTTAGCATCTTGAATAGGGATAATAATTCAATATAATTTAATGTCATACTGTCAATGATTGTACACCCTGCCACTAGTAGCTGTCCGTGTAACATTAGACATACTTGACAGTACATCAGCATCTTGATATGACATGATAGTCTAATAGCATCCCCCAGCACACTGTTATTGATAGTGACTTCTGCAATTGGAAGCTGCCTATCCAAAGCCAGACATACCAGGCTATCTAATACAATTCAATATCATCCACTGGCATACTGTCAATGATTGTATACCCCGCCACTGGCAGCTGCCCATATAATATCAGATATACTTGACAGTATATTAGCATCTTGATATGACATGATAATTTAATATCATCTCCCAGCACACTGTCATTGATGGTGGCTGCTACAATTAGAAGCTGCCTATCCAAAGCCAGACATACCTGGTTAAAGACCAGCATCTTTATAGTGTATCATAAATCAATATCATTACCAGTCACATTGTTGGTGACTATACATCTTACCATTGAAAGCTAGCTATACAACAATAGACACATCTGCCAACAGCACACCAGTGTGCTAGTAGATTACAACTTTGTACCATAGGCCTGTTAGTATTGTAGCTTTGGGAGATCCCACCAGTGTAGGCTGCCTATCTATTCCTTTATCATGTGATCTACAATTGTGATATATATTTTCAATATTATACATTAAATAAAGCTAGCTAAATCTTTGCCAAACTGCAGTCAAATGCCTGATGTGCTGACGTTCCGGTTCCAATATGTCAAACACTGCCGGATCATGTGAGCTACCTTCCAGAAAGCAAGTTTATTTATTACCTTCAGCCTCGCTAGATAATTGTAAATTATCCTCAATAATCTGTGAGGACGAAATTCTTTTCCTCCTTGTGCTGAATGCTTTGTCTAAATCAGTATCTTTTGTGTGATAACCGGGATGTGTCATGGGTTGTTCCAAAGCCTGTCAGTGGATGCTCTACTCACGCTAATTTGATAGTGATGACGTGGCAACAATGACATTCGCACAAGGACAAATGGCAACTTCTGAGAAAAGAGAACCGGTACATTAATTGTTTGTTCGGCAATATCCGAAACCACCCGAACATCCGGCAAATTTCAAATTTTAATTTTCCTCGTTCCCTTCCGGATCTCTTCTGAAAGCTAACCTGCTACTGTCATTGTTTTGCTGCTGATATGTCTTCTAACATTACTCCTGCTGCTGCCACTACTGCCAACCAGGCACTCATCGCTCTTCTTGGCAGGTTGAATGAGATGGGTGAAGAGATTCTCTGGTCCCGGTCAGAGGATGAGAGGATGAGGTTGAGCAGAGCTATTGCTTCTCAAACGGTGTGTTTGACATTTCCATGTATTGTATTCATTAATATCATTAAAGAATGATGCCATTCGCTCTTACCGGGTGATGGCTACCTACATCCCCCTTCGCCTGCTCTCCATGGCGGCTGAGATCCATAGGGCTCAGAGGGGTACCATGCAATTGGTGCAAGTACCGGATTGGACCCGTGTTGGGAACAATGAGGATATTTGCCGAGGGCATCCACTATACCCCAAGACATTGGGTCCTGCTCCCACTCCTACAACCCCTACCGCCGGACCAACACTGGTATCTGGCCCTCCACCTGTACCGGCACCTGCACCTGCACCGGCACCTGCACCTGCACCTGCACCTGCACCTGCACCTGCACCTGTACCGGCGACAACTTCCCAGTCCCCACCTCCAATGATCACCTTACCGGCTCCCAGCACAATCCGCATTCCTGGCAATGCAACATCCGGTGGTGCTATTGCAGGCCCATCGAAACCACGTAAACAACAGTTCAGCGCAAGTCCCCCACGTCCAGTCAAGAGGGCCCGAAAGGCTATTCCAAAGTTGAAACAAGTGTTGACAGACACTGACACTGACAGTGATACAGTTCACATGGGCAATGATAAGCCAAAGGTGAAGGGCAAAGGCAAGGCAAAGGCAAGGCAAGGGCAATGTCACCGGATGGTGATGTCCGGCACATGGCCATGGAAGATGGCGATGATGATCCGGAAGTTGATGTAAGTTTTTGTTTCGTACATTTAAAAGCAACTGACAATAGCGGTCAGCTCCGTAATCCAAAACAAAACATGGTCAAAAAGGTATGTTTATTTTTTCAATATCAAAACAGGCGATGTTGTTGATTCGTACAGAATTTACCGGCCGTTGTTATTACCAAAAGGCCAATGCCACCTCCAGATGAGAAGAAAAAGGTCGCTGATTGGGAGGAATACGAACCAGAGGAAAAGGAGGAGGAGGAGGAGGAGGAGGATGCAATAGAGCCTTCTGAGATACTGGTCAAACCGGGAGAGGGACAAGAACCGGTAAGTGTTTGCATTATTGCACCTATCATGAGTATGGCTAATATAATCATTATAATAGTCCAAGTCTGGTACAGATCATACCAGAACAGCCAAGGGCAAGGCAAAGAGCAGGGGCAAGCGTCCACATCTGGTAAGACATCCGGTAACTCTCTTCCGGTAGTGCCATATTCATGCTTCATAGAAACCCATTGGTTCGCCTCTCCTACCATGCAGGAGATGCACAGTTATGAAGGCAGAATGCGAAAACTGGTTGACAAAACACGGCAAGGTCGCCCATACTTGCACTCTTTGCAACAAGTAGAGGATGAGATGCATCTGGCCGGATCATCCGGTCATACCAGCCATAACCATGGCCACTCACTCCAAGACAACCGGAAAAAACAAGACCGTTGGGCAGTCCAAAGGGAAAGGCAAAAGCAAAGGCAAGTGTCTTATTTTCGGTAGTATGTCTACTAATTGTATCCATCTAGTCATCAACACTCAGTGTCCCAGTCCTATTCCGGAGGAACCGGATTTCAATGTTGAGATGCTTGATGCCCCTGCACTCACCGGCACCGGTCATCCTGGCACTACTGCAGATGCAGGACCTGAGGTATCTGTTGATGATTTTTCGGTGGATCAATGGATCAAACCCATCGATGACAGTACCCTGCCCCCAGCACCATTCATGGAGACACTGGATGACATCCAGTACTCGCCGGTCTATCCAGCTCATACTCGAAGACCCCCCTCTCCTGTTGACATTTCTGTACCCCTTCAGCCTCCGCAGCCCCGTCCTTTGACTAATGTGGAGATGGATGCCATGCTGGCCCAAATCCAGATCGATATGGATCAGCTCTGGACATGCGACGACATGATTTGCAATGACCTGTCCCATCGTATTGACTGGCTGCATGCCAACTACACCGAGCAATTCGGCACCCAGAAGGGACTGGTAGATCAGTTGACTGTTCAGGTCAGCGGTATTGCCCGGTACCTGAGGGACAACCAAAGGACCACTCCAGCGGCAGGCTCAACTCCACCCACATTCAATCCACCACCCATTGTCATCCCCGATACCCCCACATTCCCTGAATTTGGCTCAATCAGTGCCTTGGGTCATGCCATCACCAACAATGTCTTCACTCCAGATGTGTTTTCGACTAACACACATCCTGGTGGAGATGGCTCACTAGTCACAAGGCATGAGCAGGCATCCGCACCCACCTCTACCTCTACCATCAACCCTGTCCCCACCATGGGGGGATTTGGTCCACTCAGTCGTCCGGTTAGTGCACTTCCGGTACCAGCCCCTACTGTCACAATGGCATCTATGCCCTCCACTAGCACCCTTCGCACCATGCTCACTGGGCCACCAAATCTGCCAGCAGATGGTCAGTCCCTTTCAGCTCCTTTGCCGAACTGGTCATTTGCACCTCAATCAAGGCAACAAGGTCGGTCAGTGAGTGCTAGGCATGATAAGAACCCTTCCGGTAATAGGGCCAAGTAATTCTAGTACATATAGTGTTTTTTTGTTGATAAGGATACTCTAATACCATGGTAGGATGTACTAGATGGTGTATTAGATTGACCGGTTAATGTATGTAGTATACCGGTGAAGGTTCAACGATACAGCAAGGCACGAACAATGCTCCTGACTGTATCTATAATTGTTGTAAGGTCGTGCATTGCCTAGTCTGCTATACTTGAGACGACAAGTGCATTCAACCCTAAAGGGGAAGCGAGTGCAGCAAGGATCTAGAGGTATGCGCTGAAAGCGCTACTGGTTGGCCAATGCGAAGCGCGGGAAAGCGCAGGTGCGCGCGAGGCGCGAGAATGCGCGAAGTGTGGGAATGCGCGCGCATGTATGCAGAAACAAGAGAGAGTAAGAGTGAGTTTGCTTAGGTGATGATATGATGTAAGACAAGAGAAGGGAGATGCAAGGTGTAAACAAATAGATTTCTACTATGTTCTGCTAGGTGAATAGTGGGTAGTAACCAGTAAGTCCTCTGTCGTTCTGGTGGGAGAGTAAGTTTTTTTGTAAGTATGTACTGCTGGCGCTTAAGTATGGCGCCTAAGTGCTGTCATGCGGAGCCGAAGCGCTACCGAGTAAGGTATGTAAAGATATATGTAAGTAAGGGTCCATGATAAAAATAAAGATGGAATGATCAGCAAATGTGAGAAATGGAAATATACGCACTAGGGAACTTGGTGGACAGTGGATGGATGCTTCCGGATGGCTGGCGCTATAGGGCGCTACAGCGCGGGAAAGCGCGCGCGCATATACATCGTGAAGCGCGGGAAAGGTACGCGCGCATGGCGCGCGTTGCGCAGGAAAGCTGCGCCTCGTATAGAGATAGCTGCGGGTAGCACACAGAGTGATGCTACAAGTTCGTGCCATGTACTCCCCAGTGAAAACTGCCATATTGCACAATGAGAGGCATGAGTCTCTACACCGGACCTGAAATGATGCATGGACTGGATAATATACCTACCAGATCCAAGGCCAGTGAATGTACCTACTGGATCCAAGGCTGGTGAATATACCTACCAGATTTCCGGTGTATATGATTCTTCCGGCTAGGTCATTTCCATTGTACACCGGATTCGCTATTCGAGTAGATTCCTGTACCACTGTCTATACTATATACCCCCAGCCCATCCGTTTACCTTGGGTACACACATCCGGCTGGCCCACTCGTCTCCATCGTAAAGTGGATTTAGCATTCATAATGTCCTATATACTAGTACATTCATATATCTTGGGTACACAAATTTACTCAGCCCACTCATATGATCAGCCCATCCATTTACCTTGGGTACACACATCCAGCCGGCCCACTTGTCTCCAATGTAAACCAGATTTAGCATTTATAATGTCCTATATACTACTACATTCCTATACCACTGTCTATATAATGTGCCCTCGGCCCATCCGTGTGTCTTGGGTACACACATTCACCTGGCCCACTCGTATATCATGGTACAATTATGTCCATGGGCCCACATGGGATGGCCCGTCTCTATAGGTACATTGTCATCCTTGGCTGTCCATCTGAGACGGGTGAATTCACTGAAGGGGCTCATGGTGGACGAATTCTTCTCTTTCCTGACAGGATGGGCAGCGCAGGGATGGGCTTCATGCTATGCGGTGTAGATGTTTGTTTAGTGGGACATGACCAGTTCGAAGTTGGACTAGGAGAGATGAGTGGCATCTCGGGAGGTGGTCTGCAATTCATGAAAAGGTGTTTGATGGGGTGCGTGGGTCTATTTCTTTGAATCTCGCATATTGGGGGGATAGGCGCATTATTGAGGCTGCTTCGTCTGCAATTCTCTTGTCGAACAGTTGCTTGATTGCTGATTTGCTTCTTGGGAGGGTTACTGGTGAGTTGTCCGTTTTGCGAAGGGAATGGAGTAGGAGGTGCCCATCTGATGATTCTCCTCTTGCAGCTTTTTTCGCCTCTTTGTCTGCTTCTTCATTGCCTTCGATACCAATGTGCCCCGCTGACCATCTAACCACCAGTTTGTGGGTCTCGTTCTCATTGTCTGTGAGTAGTTTGCATAGCTCGTCATGGAACATGTCCATGAGGTAGTGTCCCGGTTTCGATTGAAATGCCATCATTGCGTGCACTGCCACCTGGTGTCCACTCCCAGTGCCATGGTTGAAATGTTTCCCCTCCTTCTCACCTCTTCTTTCAACAGCTGTACCACGAGCAGCATGCCTACAATCTCCCCTTCGTACACCGTGTGTTCTCCAATGCCTCCTAGGTGGTATCTTCTCTCCTTCACCTTCCGCTCTCCATCCATGAGCACTGCTGCTGCTCCGACTCCTTCCTCTATGGCTGACCCATCTGAATATACCTGTAACTCTTCTTCTGCCAGTTCATCTTCATAGTAGGCTGCTGTTTTTGATGCTGTGATATGGACTTCTACGTCTGGGATCCACTTCGTGTAGTGCCATACGGGTTGGATGGTTTCTATCATTGATGGGTTTAGCTTGAACTCACTGGTGAGTTTGTGAATGGGGGATGGGTGGTGTTTCTCTTTCTTGAATTCGCACTTTGCATAGAAGTTGTATGCGGACTTGATGCTCTTGTGGAGTGGGTGGTTCTCATGCAGAGTTGCTAGTCTGAGTATTGCTCTGTGACAGATTTGATGGAGAGTCTGTTGAAAGGGTTTGATGTTAGCATGGACATCAAGCAGATCAGATGGGGTTGAGCACATCGTGCCTGTGATGAGTAGGGCTGCCATTCTTTGTACTCTGGCCATTTTCGAGGCAAAGCCGCGTGCTCCTCTTCCTCCTGCCTTGTTGCCTTTGCCCTTTGCTAATATGCCTGCACACCATATGTCAGCAGTGTATAACATCTTCGGAACGATAACTCCTTGGTATAGTCTCCGCATCCATCTTCCTCTGAGTCCCTTCATTGGCCTTATCATCCTGTTGCAGGCTAGCGTGTACTTAGTTCCCTTAGCAAGAGCGTAGTCGGCGTGTTCCTTGAATCGTAGTTCCTGGTCGATGATAACTCCTAGAAATTTGTGTGAGCTTGACGGTTGAATGACATGATCTCTTATCGTTATGGATGGGTGCGGGACGGGGATTGTTTTCCTTGGGTCAACCGGGTTCAGGATTCTCTTTCACGATAGACATATTAGCGCTGTTTTGTCGAGCTCAAATTCGGTGTTGTGTTCTTCGCTCCATGTAAGCGCTCCTCCTGGTTTGGTCATCATGTTCACCAGTTTTGCATTGGCTTCTTCATACGTTTTGGCCTTTGCTGCGATTGCGACATTATCTAGAAATCCCAGGCTGAGTTCTCCTTTGCTTGGTCTTGCGTCTGCAACATTCAGTACATCAGAATTGTAAAAGATAAAGGCAAGAGGTGATAATGGGCATCCTTGGTCTACTCTGTCTTGTATGTCGAAGGGGGCTGATACGAAGTCGTCGAAGCAAAGTGTTGTCGTTCTGTTTGCTAGTCTTCTTTCATACCATTCAATGTACTCTTCCGGTATTCTGGCTTTCCTGAGGTTATGGAGGAGTCTGTGTACTACTACACTTGGGAAGGCAGCTTTGACATCAAGGAAGAGTACCGATATGAAGCAGTTTTTGGATGCCCAGGCGTCTGTTATGAATTTCGTCAGTACATGCAGTGAGTCTGTTGTTGATCTGCCTGGTTGGCCTCCAAAGTGTGTTGCGGGGAGTAAGTTATGTTGTTCTGCAATGTACGTCAGGTCATCCGCTACACACGAGGAGAGGATCTTAGCCATGGTGTCGAGAAGAGTTATTGGTCTGTAGGCTTTCGGGAGACTGTAGTCTGGTCTACCTGGTTTTTGTAATACTATTGTTGAGGACCTTTTCCATTGTTCTGGGTATCCTTTGAGGGCGAAGGTTGCTCTGAATAGCGGGCCGAGGTATGGGACTATTAGGAGTGCACTCTTCATGAATACTATGTTGCTGATTTCATTCGGACCCGGAGCCTTGTGTGGTGAGAGACGGGAGATTGCTCTGTAAATTTGCTGGTTAGTGATTGGTCTGAATTCACAAATGGGAGCTTCATAGGCGAAATTTGGGTCCACATGGTCATCTTTGGGGGGTTGTCGGAAGAAGGTCTGGTACAAAAGTTCACTCTTGCGTGCATTGTCTTGTGTGGTGTTGTCTTGCTGTTTGTTTCTCGGGTCCTTGAGTGTCTTGATGCGGGTCTGAATTTGGTCTGCAGGGTTGCTGGTGGCATATCGGTGAAAGTTCCACATGTTTGTTGATGTTAGCGATTCTAGCCAGGTCTTCCAGTGTTCTTCTTTGGCCTTCTTGATAGATTCGGAGAATCGGTTGTGAGCTATTCGGTATTCTTCGTGTATCGGATGGTTGCGTTGGGCTAAACGGTGTCTTGATTCTCTTCCGAGTTTATGTACTGATTTTCTTTCTTGATCTAGGTCTCTCAACCACCATCTTTTCGAGTAGGGAGATGGTTTGACTCTTGGGACATGCTCTTTGATGGTATCTGCTATGATTTGAGTGAGTTTTGTGAAGGCTGTTTCGAGCTCGACTACAGATGTGAGCTCAGCTGGGGGATATGTGGCGAGTCTTTGTTCTAGTGCTTCGTTGAATGTGTCCCAGTCTGCTGCACGGTAATTCAGGCACAGAGTGGTGTTGATTCGTTCTGGGCTGAGATCTAGAGAACTGATGATGGGAAAGTGATCAGTAATTACTGGGCGGAGGTGGTACATGACCTCACATTGCGTGAATACTTGTTCCATTCCATCTGAACAAAAGACATTGTCGGGTCGAGTGAGGTTCTTCATGTTTGAGGCTTCGAGGGTCGCCATTCCCGGTGGGAGTACCTGTGTCATATTGTACAGAGCTAAGAGGTTAATGAGAGTTCCTGCAGCGTCTAAATTTGCTGCAGTGAATAGATGCGTGTTGTTAGCTAATTCCTACATAGGGTGGTGACGGTTGAAGTCACCGAACCATATCATATGTTCATCTGGTTGGTTTTCGCCTTGAGCGATACCTTCGTGGTTGCGTCTTACATTATTTTCAGTGTGCATGTGTCTCTCCATGAAATGGAGTATGCTGTTGTTTTCACAGTGATTGTATACATTATATATGCGCACCTTTCCGTAGGGACTTGTTAGTTCGATGGCCATTACGTTTGGCGAGTTTACATGAATTATGTGCCAGTTGTTTTTTGAGATTCTTTTGTTGACTAGGATGAGAGTTTGGGAGCAGGTCAGATTTGAGTGGTGATTTGATGGGTATACCACATCCCAGAAGCAGCTGAGGTTCGAGGCATTGGCAAGATTTACTGGGTTGAGGTATGGTTCTTGGATGCATGTGATGTCATATTTGTCGGGGTTGAGGTTTCTGAGCATATGTTCCCATGCGTTTAGCGATTTTGGAAGGTTCTGTTGCCAAATTTTGAGGTTGGTCCTGACAGGGGGTTCATTGGTTGTGTCCGGCATTAGTTCCAGTTTGGTGGTTCTTGTTCGCTAAAATATGCTGCTTGGCGGTCAGGTGATAGCTCCCATCACAGAGGCGTGGTTTGATGATGATTTCCTGATAGTATTGGTGGGGGGGTTTCGTTGTCTCTCATGTTTTGTCTTTCTTGTTCATGAAAGTGTGTCCATGGTTCCGTTAATCTTGACTGGGTACCTAGAGGGATGCGGTTAGAGTTGGTTCTGTATCTTCCTTTGTTCTGCGGTCGTTGATGCTGATGGACTGTTTTCCATCCTTGCATGTGGTCTTGAGGTGCAGTATCTTGCTGATTGTGTTGCTGGTCGTTTGGGTCTTCTGTCTGGCCTTCAATTGTCTCCCATGTAAGCGGGTCATCTGTTGGGAAGTATGTGAACCGGGCTTCATCATTTCTTGCCTTTTGTGTGTTCCACTTTCCAGTAAAGACTGGGCACTCTCTGCTCCATGATGCATGTCTGTCCTCTTTGCAGTTAATGCAATGATAGAATGCTGGGTCGTCAACCTTGCAGGTTGCTGTGCGATGTTCTGCTCCGCATGTTCCACATGTGTCGTTTTCTTTAGGGCAGTCCATGGCTATGTGGCCTCTGTTGAAGGTGTGGCACTTTAGGCATCTTGTGGGTTCCGTTAGCAGTTTCCTTCCATACACTTTCTTTCCTCAATAGATAGTCCGAATCTAATGATCTGGTTTGCAGCTATCTTGGAGTTGAGAGTGAGCGCGATGTGTGCTGTTCTTTGAGTCGGGCTTTGTCTTGCTACTGGTTTGATGTATCGTGTCTTGGAGATTGAGTTCGTTTGCAGTCCGCCCTTGATTTCTATTTCCGCTATGGCTGCCTTTGAGTTTGGGTCGAAGGATATTGGGACATTCTCGATTAATAGGTGGTATGCTCTGTCTTTGATGATAGTGTTAGCGTCGAAATGATTAAGGAAAGTACTTCTATTGGTTGGGATGTTGAGCCATTCCACAGATATGGGTGCATTAAGTTCATAAAGTATCCCTCCGTGGGGTAGTTTCCTTGCTGACAGTATTGCTGTATCTTTTGGAGCCGTTGTTCCTTCTTTGGCCATGAGTTCTAGAGCTAGTGTGGCTTTCACTACTAGTTGAGCTTCGTTGAGTTCCTTGAGGGTGTTTGGGGTTAAGATGGACCTTCTGTCGATTAGGAGCTGTCTTGCTTGGGCTTCACTGTGTGAAAGAATCTTCGTCAGTGTCTTGGGGATTCCCGCTTTCGCAGCAGAGGCATAGGTGTGAGGTCCTTCAGACTTTACTGGTGCCTCTGCGCTCATTTCGGGTTGGTTAGTAGCTTGTGTGGCCGTTTTGACCACCTTTTCTATTCCTGATGCTGATTTATCTAATTGAGTGCGTACCTCTTTGACTGCTTCGCTCAGTGCAGTTGTGTGGGTCTCCGTTAAGGCTTCTAACACTTCTACTTTCTCATCTAGGGTAGCGATCGGGCCTCCGAGTAGGGCTGCTATTTTGTTGAGGATGTTGTTAGTGTCGATAGTTTGTTCTACATCATAGAGGACAATTGCTATGGCTCTGAGCGATTCCGTGTATACTGCTCCTAAGTTTGAGGTTAGACTCATTTCAAGTAGAGCGCCGACAATGTTCGTGATGGTTCCTCCTGCGGTTGATAGATTCATTCTGTTCATGTTGAGATGTTTTCTTGCTGAGATTATGGTGATGATATCAGTTCTGATTCCTGTGCCCGCCAGGTGTTCTTCTAGACTTTTGCTTGCTGACAGAAGAGCTTTGCTGGCTGTGGCTTTTCTTCCACATGTTTTGGGTTCTGTGTTTACCGGCGGGGTAATGGGGTTGTTGGACGACATTTAGGGCTGCACACCGTACCGTATACAGTAGATGGCCGTATACATATGGTATAAATACGGTATACAGCTAACCCGTACACCGTACATGACATTGGTGGTGGACGAAGTGGACGGTACGGTACGGTGAATTATACGGACATATACGACGGTGTACGGTACATACGGAATGCAAATCATCTACGAATGACCCAAACGAAGCCTCGCCTTCATGAGCATCAATGTCCTGATAGTCTCAGGCTTGAGACTAGCGCGCCGCAGTGAAACCATGTCACAACCACCAGAGAAAACTCGTTCAACAGCAACAGCAGATCCTACAAAGAAGAGAACTAAGTACAGACACCTGGGACATGGAGTAAGTACTCACCAGGTATTGAAAGGATATCACGCGCAAGTCAAGAGAGGTTCGGAAATTGTGCTCGGCGACCTGCCCACCATTGAATGGGGTCGCAAAGGTCAAAGTCCTCTTGCGGAAGCTTCAGATACTCCTCGAATTCGTCCACTGACAGATTTGACCGCTTCTTATACCTCGCTGTAAAGTTCACCTTTGATGGGGACATTCTGCCATCTGACACATCTGCATGGTGGCCTGTGCTGGTAGATGGTGTGCAGTCCCGTGCAACGGATGTAGCGATATAGTCAGCTTTATATAGGGCATGTAGGTCGTTCTTCAGCGAGTCAATTTGCAACCATGTACTTTCATCATCGGCAGCGCAGTCATCACGGAGACCTTCATAAGTGATGCGGGGATCAAGTACTTGAACTAGATTAGCTATCAAACTAGAAATACAAATTGTAGTACAAAACTTACTTGATGCCCAGACATAGTACGGTGGATCATCGATCTTGAAAAAGTAGTCGCTGAGCTTCCGATGTGCATTGATCAATGCCAGTCGTATTTTCGCTGGCGCTGAATCCGGAAGGTTTGCAAGATCATCCCGAAGTGATTCCTCAAGACCTCAAAATATAGCATGGGCCGAAGAGAGCATTGGGCGCTTGGTCGTTGACATTTGAGTAGTAGCTGACCGGAATGCCTTCAGCCACCCTGTTACTAGTTCGATCGACTGCCAATCGTCATCAGAAAGTTCATATTGGCGTAGTTCATGCGTCTTCGCCACAAAGTCGTTGATAGCTTTTCAAAAATCCAATGCATGGCCTGCAAATTTGATTGACACTCAATCACAAATTATAAGACTGTACTTACGAAGCATCTGATGCATTGAAGACCAGCAAGTCTTGACGTCCAGAATAAGCATGAGTGCCACTTGATTGAGAGCGTTCTCTGTTTTCTTGAGTGACATTGTCACCTCTGCAAGCCATGCCTTGCATTGCTGTGGGCTTGACCAAACAGAACGAACGATCTTTCGAAGCTGTTGGATGAAAGGATTCATTTGTTAGCAATGTGTTCATTGATTTTGAATGTCTCATTGTTTACCTTGTCAACAGCTGACAAAACCCCCTGCAGTGCATTGAACTGCTCATTGTCCTCTTCTGCTTCGTCAAAAAGAGCAGTGTTGTCATCGTACTCGCGGTCTATGGGAGCAGTAACCGAGTCCTGGTATGCAGACTCTCCATGCCTCGAATCTGGCTTGATAGCACCGATACCCTCAAGAAGTTGCATTGCTGATAGGTGTACAATATGGGGTAAGCAACGGATGCGTGCTTTCTTGTGTGAGAAATCAATTCCTTCGGCAGTGCATCGGTTTTCAAGAGATTCGAGCAGGGTATCATTGTTTGTAGCGTTATCACATACAACACCCATGATCTACAATATCAGAATGAGTGAATAAATCGTGTAACATGCTGCTTCGTACCCGATCTTTGAGCCCATAAAGTTCAAGTGTATTCCAAACAGCTTCAGCAAGATTTACACCGCTGTGTTCACCAATAATTTCACGAAAATCGATCAAAAGCTCCTCTGGTTGAAATTGAGATGCTAGGTACACAAAATAATAGGACGAACATACCCAACTGCCAGTCATTAGTCACATAATGCATGACAATTGCAAGGAACGCAAATTGGTTGCTTGAGGTCCACGTGTCGAGAGAAAGGCTTACTTTTGCCTCAAGTTCCTGTTAATATATGAGAAATGCGAATGCTTTTTTGAATGATTCAACCTACCCGAATCATGTTTTTGATTCCTTCAATAGTCTCATCACCCATCTTCATGATACGTCGCTTGATTGCCATTCGTCCAGGAATACGGAGTGAACCTCGGTGAGTGTACTCTACGAATGCTTTGAACTCTGGTTTTTCAACCTCTTCGAATGGTTGATCACATGCAACGAGCCATTTTGCAAGCAGGTCTTCGAATTTTTCTTTGGCTCCAGTCTCCGAACACTTTGTTGACTTGCTTATTGAAGGCATCGACAATATTCACAGACGCTTGCTCGAGTTGCGTCAAGGATGCTGCTGCTGCGTCCAGATCGAGAACTTTGTCACCTCATGCTAATTTGAGCTCGTCTTCAGTTGGAGGTGTCCCACGAGACTTCATGACTAGGTATAACTGATACATAGGTGGAAAATGTGTCTTAAGATGCCCAATCAAACCTAATAGTTATATTGTATTAGCCAAAACATATGCTAGTGATGATACTACTTACCATTCAGACTGCTTTTCATCGCCCACGTGATGGTGAGGACCTTTTGATTACCCAAATAACACTTATAGTGTTTGTCTCCTGTGTCACCAGCCTGACCCGCAGCATTCAGCTGTACAACCTCATAGAAATAATATATCAGGTTCCGCTTGGCAGCCTGATGATATCGTAAGTAATGAACTCTACGGGACAGCAAATGACTATACCTTGGCAGTGAGGACAGCAGGTACGACATCTTCTTCGATGAGACTATCTTGTATAGCTGCTGTAGTGATAGTGGCTGAAACCCCACTGTTGGTGGGTGCCTGAGTGGTCCGAGTCGACCTTTTGGCCAAGCACTTGCGCTTGTTGCGCCTGTTTGGGTGTTCCAGAACCATTTTTGAAGGTAACAAGTGAGCGATCTTGTTTTGCATAAGGTTGAGCACACATAATGTTCTAGAGCCATATTAAACTTACCTCTTCATTTGTGATTTCGATGACATCACTTCCTTGATCAGAGTCTGACGTACTAGTATCTGACTGCGAGCTTGAAGGACTAGTATAGTCACTCCCTTCATCATCCAAGTCACCCTCAACAGTAAGACCATGGAAGCAATTCTGGGTGGTTTTTGACTTCTTGCTTCTCCGTGGCTTAGACTTCGCAGCAGGAACATCTTGACTACCTTCCAATTCCGCCGTGATACTCTCAGTCAGGCATGCAGTATTTTTGACACGGTGCCCACGACCGAGGACAGTCTGGAATTGTGGCTCGTTGGTAGGCGAGGACATTGTGGGCAGAAAGGCCAGCTCAGGATACAAAAAACAAGTAGTAACTAGGAAAGTTTCAGTAAATATTGTAACAAACATACTGACAGTGATGCTTCCATTAGTGTAAAGCACATGCAGAAAGCCATCAGACTCGTCGCTGTCGCTGTTGTTGGTGGTGCAGGGCATGGCAGTTCAGGGCAAGAAGCTACTGGGTAAACCGGCACCCTGTTCCGACCATATAAGCCGTAAAGGTACCGTCGACGGCTGTATGGAAGATGGTTTGTACGGTGTACAGCTTGGCCGTACACCGTACCTGTCTGCCTCCCTTTGCAGACCCGCCAGTATGGCAACCGTATCCGTCGACGGTCGCCATACAAACCATCTATTACGGCGACGGTGTGCAGCCCTAATGACATTTTCTTAATTGTTTTTGTGTTTTGTTGCTTTTATGATAGAACTGGGTTGTTGAAGTATTAAGATTTGGAAGCCGTTTGCGGCGGCTTGTCGACATTGAGCGATGTTAGTGCTGTTGAGTGCATTGTTGATGGCTGGTGTCTGGGGTCCTTGCCAGGGTGCCACTTGGTAGCGGTCCAAGAAGCGATTAGTCGATTCTCTTGCGCGTCATGTTGTGGAAGTGAGTGTCATGTGGCCGCACTCAGTCATCAATCCTAATATGCTCAACTTACACAATAGACATATCTACGTGTTCAGCTCGGAATCAAAGCTTTCGATGGCGCGCATTACGATGAAGCCACTGATCACTTCACTGCTGCTGTTAACTCAGATGCTTTTCTATTGAAATACATTCATTTTGCATACCAAGACTTGACCGTGGTGCGTCTAAATGTTGCATACATAATACTTTTCAAAACCTAGTACTTTGTGCAGCTCTTTGGCTGGGATCTTGAGTCCTTACTGCTCACCACACACCAGAAACGGTGCCAGGCATTCCTTTCAGTAGGTAAACCCGATCAAGCCCTCCATGCACACAAATACATGATGGACACCATCCATGAGACTGCGAAGGCCAGCTGCCTCAATTGGTCCAATGGCGAGTTTTAGTGATGTCACCCGAGGCCATCATACTCACCTGCATTTGGCTCAGAATTCAAGCAACAATGTAGCGTGCTATGTGCTGCCAATGGAGATTCCGCCCTCGCTGCGAATGATTATGATAGGGCCATTGACCTATACTCGGTGATAATCAACTCAAACTCTGCATCTGATGTCGTCTTTGCAAATCGTAGCAAGGCAAAGTTGGGCAAAATGCTATGGATGGATGCACTTCTCAATGCGCAGAAGGTGCGATTGGAGCTATCGTTCCATAGCCAATGCTCATCTTGGTGATACATAGCTCATCAAACTGGACTCTTTGTCTTATCTTGGATACAACTTGAAGCATGCAGCGCTTCATGGTGCGCGTTGCTACAATGAAGTGATTGAAACCTTCCAAAGAATGCTCTCGATATTGGACAATGCACCTGATGTTCAGACATGAAGTAAGTCTCTGATAACGCATTCATCAACATGTTTAACTCTTTCTCCAGAAATGCGCCAGCAGTATCTCAGACCTTCTGAAGTAGAATGCACTGTTTGACAGGTTATCGATGCCCAACTCGACAATGCTCCGCTGCGTGTACTCGACACCACCACAGGTCTCTTATGCGATCGAGAGACGCAGATAGGCACCTTCAAAATGAGCATGCTTTATAAGGAGCTCGTGTCATCAACAATCACGCATGCAGACTTGTACATTGCGCACATCAAAGAAGTGGTGAAGAGATACCTGCAATGTGCCATGCTATCACACAGGTGGGAAGGGAAGGAGCCACTGCTGCAGGATATCCAGGGCAAGTCTGTGTACGACTCGGAGTTGGATCCAGTTGGCGGCATTACGAAGTTGCGGTCGTTCTGCAGAACTGCTCGTGATGCGGGGTATTGCTGGGCATGGAGCGATACATGCTGTATCGACAAGAGCAACAATGTCGAAGTCCAAGAATCGGTCAACTCCATGTTCATATGGTATCATCATTCTGCGCTCATGATCGTCTACCTGTCTGATGTTCCGCCTTCATCAAAGTCTGGCGGACTGACAAGGAGCGCTTGGAACACGCGCGGATGGACGTTTCAGGAATTCATCGCTCCCAAAGTCATTCTATTTTATCAGAACAATTGGACTCTTTATCGTAATGATCGTACTCCCAACCACAAGGATTCCATCGCAATCATGCAGGAGATGAAGGACGCGACGGGCATAGACAGACCAGTCATTGTGGCCTTCCGTCCCAGCATGCATAACACGCGAGAAAAACTCCATTGGGCGTCAACCCACGTTACCGCACGTCAGGAAGACATCGCATACTCTTTGTTTGGCATCCTCAGTGTCCGTCTTCATGTAGATTATGGTGAGAAGCAGGACAGGGCTCTCGGGCGGCTCCTGCAGGAGATCGTGGCTCAGTCGGGGGACATCACTGGCCTCGATTGGGTCGGAGAATCATCAGAGTTCAACAGCTGTCTACCGGCCTCCATCACTTTGTATGAAGCTCCACCATGCCAGCCACCACCTCTATCCAAGGAAGAAATTCAGACATCAGTTTCTTCACTGCGAAAAATGGGGGTTGCTGATTTCGCTTCAAACCTTTATACTCGGCTTTGGAACACGAGCGCCCCTCACTTCGCAGCACAAAGACTGCATCTGTCTTGTATTGCATTCAATGTCACGGAAGTCAGATGCCGGGTGGGTAGTCCAACCCCGGAAAGTCATCTCATGTATAGGGTGAAGGCAGACGGACTTCACGACTTGCTTATCACCACAAGAGAGACCCTGGTTAAATTCTGGCCGGCAAGGCCCACTGAGCAACGATTTCTCCTCGTCCGTCCCTGGGATTGGTCTCTCCTGGAGCTACCTGACTTTGCAGAACTTCCAGAACCGTCTGACTATGGAGATGATGCGGAGAGCGAGGAGGGTTATGAGACATCACCTTCTACTCCGTCGGACGACTGGTCTGGTGGTTCTTCTGTAAAACAGGAGATGCCTCACCTAGAATCACGAGCATTGCAGTTGTTTGTTCGCCTTGGGCAGCCTTTCAGTGCATTTTTGCTTATGCAACAGCGCAGTGGAGAATATAAGAGGATTGTGATGGATTGTGATATCATTGGACAAGTCCAAGACTTGGTTTCTGTTGGAGACTTGATGGACATCAGGACCATAGAAATATTGTAGTGGTATGTTTTTGTTTCAAAGTTTTTGGACCTCTGAACGTTTCGCATCTGTAGTTTAGAGATGATACCATACAGCTGCAGCATACGTATCACACACGCATGTTAGATGTGGTTTCCGCACATAGGTAGCAGCTCAGGTACAAATTATGCCGTCGCTTCCCTATCATTTCTCGCAACCCTTTGTTCATGCTCAAAAAATCCTTAGAGGGTGGGACCGCAACAAGTTAACAGTAATCCACAGATTGGCATCATTATGTCTTTCAATGGGTAAACATTCTATGTGCCTTTCATTCTTCGCAGTCCAAAAATCGTGCATTGGCAATCACCATAAAGAATAGTATCAGACCAGGACAGACATCAGGAAAAATCCAGATGAGAATATAGGGCTCTGTAGGCAACATAGCCTCTGTAGCCCTGTCGTCATCCCCCCAATCTGTAGAGCAATGTAGCTCCCAAGGCCTCTACAGAGCGCTACGACATACCATGTAACATGAGAGTGACAAAATATATCTGACATAGCGCACCTGTATGTAGCACGATATAGTTCTACAAATTCCACCCGCTCTACTGACACCTGCATGATCTGAATGGCGGCTGGTCAATCATGAAACAAACGGCGGACTCGGATTTCCAATCAACATCAGACAAAGCATTATATTTCGATAGTAGTGAATTACTTATTCTCCCTGAGCCTCTGTCCCATCCCTCTCGTCCCGTTCCTCCTCCTCCTTGTCCTGCAACTCCTGCTCATACTCCAGAAGAGCATCATCGAATGCTTCCTCAGTCACGCGGGACCCAGTTGATGACGTGAGGAGGAAGTCTACACCTGCATGAAACCTTCGAGTTGCCATTAGAATGCAGTAGCATAGATTGAATGAAGACTCACCTAGCTGCATCATGCAGATTGACACGGATTTTTTCGAGGAGTTTGTAGGGGGCCGTGTGTTCCTCAAAGCGCTGCAAGGAGTCAAGATGGGTGTTGTAGACAGACGCATAATTTGCTGCCGAGAACTTGACATCTTCTTTAATACCTGTACCCCACTCGTCAATGCAACATTCAATCTGTCATTCAACCATATCAGTGTTGTTAATGTCAGAAAAACAGTCCTAGTACTCACAGACGCCAGCAAGAGTGCCATTGTTTTGACAGGAAAAGGGTTGAAGTACTGGTGGTAAATGATGCCCTTATCATTGCGGTTCGCAAACCACATGTGATTGACACCCATTTGTAACAAGTCCGTCTTGTAGATTCCCTGCTTCAACTCCCAGTCCTAGAGTCGCATGAGTTCAATCACCAAATAATGTAGATGATTCATCACACACCTTGTAAGCAAACAGTGAACCCTCCTTGAGAGATTCTGCACAATCACGATTGCACCTAATCACTTCCCTACTGTTATTCGCACGAAAGCCAAAAAATGACCCTGTCAGGGATCGCATCTTGGTCTTTAGCTCACCACGGACATGAGAAGTTCTCTTCAAGATCTAGATCACAATGAATGAGTCCAATACAATCACAAAATTAGACAGCTCACCATTTTCATTAACCCAGGTGTTAGTCGAACATTGATCCCTTTGGCACTGCATGCTTCACACCAGGCCTCCTTAGCAAGCTTCGTCTCGATGAGGATCGAGTCTGGAAATGGTGCGCGAGTGACAACCAGGCACCGGAAAATTGTGATTGCAGTAGTGAGAATCTCCTTGGTGATATCATCGAAATCGCTGGCCTTCAAATGCTGAGCTGACCCGTCCATACTTTTCTTCACCTTCGGCATGATAGGGTCTTCAAATTTTGTATCTGAGGGCCGCTTGGTGCCCAAAACAACTGGTTCGCATTCACCAATTGAGTCTCCACCATCACCGTCCTCCAAGTCATCCTCGTCTGCATCAAGATCATCAGCCCACTCGTCATCACTATTGTGGAAAGTAGGGTGGCGACCTGGATGAGTAGGGCCGCCGTCTGACATGGAGGCTTCGCCACTACTCACCGCAGTCAAAGATGACGATGAGCCTGGGATTCAAGTGTTAGTAGTAGCTAGATGTACATTCTGAACACGCACCTTTGTAACCCTTTACGAGGCTGTTGCTTAAGGACTTGCGTGCAGAGCTTGTGTGGCGCGAAACTGGTGTGAGAGTAGGTGGTATCTTCCCAGTACTAAAGGAAAGCTTGCTATGAACATTTCAATCTGTGAACTAATTATCATTCATCAATGAGTGATCAACTATGGCTAAGAACAGAGAGACGTACCATAGTGTCTTCTTCAACGTCAGCGTCACTATGGAGTTCAGCAGGCTCATTGTCAAAGACTTCAGGGTGATGTTTGAAGACAGTGTGAAGTGCCTTCACGGTCCTTTGGTTGGTCCTTTGTTTTTTCTGTTCGTGGCGTCGCTCAACATGTTGAACTTCAGAGACTAGTATATTTGGCTCAGTTAAAATCTCTGGGAGCAATTTGGACTTACTTCAATAATTTTCTTTCTCTGTGGGACGGCGTTGACGACCACTGGATGTACGCGTGGGTGATTGTCCAAGGCGAGTTGAAATATCCTTGGATCCTGCTTTAGAGGCACCTGATGCAGTGCACAGAGACTTCGAGAGTAATTTTCCAGCCATAGAACAAGGTTTTAGGTTAAGAGACGATCAGGTAAAATTTAAATGTGAGGCACATACCAATTTTTATGTGCATGACAACATGCACGCAGCGCGTCAACAACACGCTCTTCCAAACTTTAAGTCTGTTGAATTGAATAAAAATTGTCTTTGGGTGAATCGGGAGCCTGCAGCCTATAAGAAGGTGAAAACATACCTGCAATGTTCAATCCCATAACCGCATCCATTCATCCATTGAGTTGCTCTGCCATGGATCAAGTAAACCTCTTCAAGCAGTATGAATGAGTCCGATTTCAAAACACTTACCGTAATCTGACTTGATATCTAGATCATGCACACCATCAGCAGACTTCACCACAGAACCAATAACATTCAAATCAAACCTAAAAAAGTGCGTCAATTCATGTTTGTATCCTCACAATTACTAATCAACTTGCAGGCGAAAGCTTGTCCGCAGATTTCCGTTGCCAATTCACTATGACAACGGGGCTGCCTCGTCTGCCACCCCGAGTCCCCTTCCTGCTCCCCATCTCTCGGAAGTACCTGAGACACCTACCCCCCCATATCGCCAAACACCAGCACCAGTTACTGTTTCGCAGTCATACCTACGAAAACTTGTCCTGGAGCATTGGGAGGCAGAATTTAAGTGTTGTGAGGAGGCACGCAAGGCACAACTGTTGGAAGTGCACCTTGCAGCACTTGGAATCACTAAATTAGTTTAGCATAAAATAGCCCGAAAATGCGAACCCGAATCAAAACTTGCCTGTTGCCAATCCATACAAAAGTCTGAGAGTCCGAGCAAGCCCGAAAATGCAAAACTTTGATATCTCTTACCCTTACCATGTCTCACCACTGTGGCTCCTGCGGCAAGGACATCCCAACCATTGGAGGTGTCAAAAGACACATTCTTGGGCGCCCTCAATGCAGAAAGGAGTGGGAAGCCTTAATCACAGAATCAGATGCGATTGACGACTCAAATGCACACAATAATGAAAGTGAATTCACACCTGATCATATGCTCAGTCACATGGACTCATTTTCCCCCCTTCATCGCACACACTTGCCTCCTGATCTGGATGATGCCACTTCAAAAATTCGCCGTGTAACTGTTGAGGAGGTTGAAGATGAAGAAGGCACATATAACAGGCGCTTTTTTGAAGGCTACCCTAATGCCGGCCGGCCAATAGAAGAGGGAAAGACTGTGTTTGAAAGCTATTGTCAGTACAAGGAGGATGAGGGCGAAGATGTCTGGGCTCCCTTTGCTGACGAGGAAGAGTGGGGACTTGCTGAATGGATGATTAAAAACCTCGGTCAGACACGAACAGATGAATATCTGAAATTACCCATAGTGAGTATTCGGTTGAATGTTATGAAGAAAACTATAAAATGAGACACGACAGACCAAAAACCGAACAAAGCCATTGTTTCACAACAATCGGACATTCCTCAAGAGAGTGGATGAGCTTCCACATGGCGCTTCCTGGAGTTGCAAGAAAGTGATGGTGCAAGGAAATCGGGAAGATGAGGATGGGCGAACATTGAGTGAAGAGGTTGAAATCTGGATGCGAGATCCTGTTGAGTGTGTCAAAGATCTCATTGGGAATCCGTCATTCAAAAACCATATGGCATACGCACCATCATGAGCATACAAGGACAAAGGAGGTACTCAACGGCTCATAGATGACATGTGGACAGCTGACTGGTGGTGGGACAAGCAAGTGAGTAGAACATTGATTTTGAAATGAGAGTAGCGCCGTGATCTAAGTTGCTGCCGGATCAGAAAGAACTGCCCGAAGGAGCAACCTTGGTGCCTATTATTCTGGCCTCTGACAAGACATTGTTATCACAATTTCGAGGCGACAAATCTGCATGGCCCATTTACCTATCAATTGGCAACATTGCAAAAGAGAAGCAACGACAAACATCTGCCCGGGCAACAATCCTCATTGGGTACCTACCAGCCACAAAACTCGACTGCTTCACCTGTGATGCACGTTCCCTGGCTGGATACCAACTTTTTCATCACTGTCTGTCCCTGCTGCTGGAACCTCTCATTGCAGCTGGTTGGGATGGTGTTGAAATGGTGTGTGCTGACTCTTTCATTCGGCGAGTGTACCCCATACTGGCTGCATATGTCGCAGATTTCCCTGAACAGTGCCTTGTTGCAGGCTGTAAGGAGAATCGTTGCCCTAAGTGTTTGGTTGCAGCTGATGAGTGGGGCAACCCGCTAAACTCATTGATGCGGGACCCGGAGTCAACGAAAGAGATGCTAGAAAGACAGAGGAATGGTCAGCACCCTGTAGAATTCGACGAGGATGGACTGCGTGCAGTGTATAGGCCGTTCTGGGCCAATTTACCCCACACCAATAGTGCTGCCGTGGTCCAGTTCGGTCCGGTTCAGAGGGTCCTGGATGAGAACCGAGAACCGGACCACAGAGAACGGTTCTCTGTGGTCCAGTTCGGTTTTTTTCTGGTCCGAACTCGAACCGAACCCGAAAATTTTCAGTGGCAAGTGCGAAAAACAAAACATTGAAATACTAGTTTACACATCGAGTAGCTACTCTAATGACGACTCCATACCCCTCTGCCTCTGTAGCTGCTGAAGATGCTGACGTGGCCAGCACTTCAAAAAAAATTGTGATGCTGGCGGCCACAGGATTCTCTGAAAAGTGGAAAGCCCACATGATGAGAGCCATATTGATGAAGACTGACCAATTCGCGAGGACACACTCTGACATTTTCAAGTAAGGCATAAGAAATGGTCGAGAGATGAACGATACTACTCACCGACAGCCAAAGCCAAAAGTGAAAAACCGGAGATCAACCGGAGATCATCGTGCGCAACCTGCATCGTCAATCCAACGCTGAGGATTAAACCTGTGTGGTTCAGGGAAGACTTCAGGATCGTTTGCAATAGCCCTGAAGCACAAGCGTCAAACCCAAAGGTGAGAGGACGAAAATGATGGTAGTTCTTCCAAATGATGTCCTCAATCACGCGATGCGCAAAGCCTGTAGTGCAAGGTGATTGTTCAACATCGCATCATCACAACTCAAATAAAATGTACCTCCAAAAACTCTCATCGTATTGAAAGATTGGGTCGCGTCCAGCGGGGTGAGAGACAATGGGCGAGAGACAGAGGGTGAGACACAGTGGGCAAGTGAGACACAGCGAGCGAGCCAGCAAAAGCCAGCCGGCAAGAACAGCAAGCGAGTGAGAGGGGATGCAGTGAGGTGGCGGGCATCAACATAGGCACAGGTGGCGTGGCGTGTGATGGGTTGTGCGCTGGTAGCGATGGGTGCTGGCCCTCGAGGGAGCCATCAGCATTCAGAGCACAAATGCGCACCTCTGCAGCATAGCACAAGACACAATCCCTCCAAAATCCACCTTGACCGCATCTAACATATCCACCTCCAGTAAAAGGTAGTCTTGTGCAGTGTTGTAGCCGGTCCTCAATGAATAGAACTTCCTGTTATAGAGGTGAGCGGGTGAGAGACTTGAGAGTTTAATTAGTTAGTGCTTACCGGTATACCTTCGAAAAGGCTAAATGTAGCTTGATTAATCAACAATGTGAATCCCGAAGATGACAGTCTGACGTCGAGGCAGGTGTTGTCGAAGTTGAAGTCAATAAGGGTTCGGAATGGTTCGGGAAGGCCGAACCAGAACTGGACCGTTTGGGAAGATCTAGAACCAAGAACTGTTTTCCGGTCCGATTCTGGCTGGCGCAAGAACCATGGACCAAACCGCGAAGAACCGGACCAAAAGTCTGGTTCGAACCATGGTTCTGGACCGGACCACGGCAGCACTACACACCAACATCTTCACGGCATTCACACCGGACCTCCTCCACCAGCTGCACAAAGGAGTCTTCAAAGACCACCTTGTTAAGTGGTGTCTCAACATTGCAGGTGAAGATGAAATTGATGCTCGCTTCAAGGCCATGCCCGACTACCCAGGTCTTCGTCATTTTAAGAAAGGTATATCTAGTGTCAAACAGTGGACAGGAACGGAACACAAGGAGATGCAACGTATCTTTGTTGCATTAATTGCTGGTGCAGTCCCAAGGTATGTTCTAATTTGTGCTATTTTTCGAGTAATTGATCCATTTTGGCTTTCAGTCGAGTCATCGTTGTCGCACGGGCCATACTGGACTTTTGCTATTATGCACAACTGCATACACATACGAGCGAATCCTTGGACAGTCTTGAAAACGCACTCACGGTATTTCATGCGCACAAGGATGTGTTGAAGGAACTCGATGTTCGCAATCATTTCAATATTCTGAAGCTGCATCAATTGTCTCACTACGTCCAGTCAATCAAATTGTTTGGGGCTGCTGATGGATTCAACACTGAACTTCCCGAGCGCCTGCACATCGACTTCGCTAAAGAAGCTTACCACACGAGTAACAAGCGTGACTACGAGGAGCAAATGGCATTATGGCTTCAATGCCAGGAAGCAATCTTCTGGCGGGTCTCTTACCTCGAGTGGGTCGCTGAACATGGCACTCAGACTGAACATCAATATGGCTATGACTCCGACTCTGATGCCGAGGAAGACTTCGACTTCATACCAGTGGTTTCACAAGACATTGTTCATGTTCTTGCGAAGACACCTCCACACCCTCGGCAATCTATCCAGCATCTTGAAACCATGCATGGCGCTGTCGATTTTCTGCCTGCTTTCAAGTCGTTTTTACGGAAGCACGTGCCACACAATCACATCATGCCCAGTTATCAAGACCGTTTTGATGTTTTTCAGCAAGCCGTCATAATCATTCTCCCCAACCCTCGTGTGTCGGAGTTACCGAAACGTCTGCGGGTGAGGGCAACACCTGAAGTGCTTCCATCACCTTCTGGACGGAAGCCAGGTTCCCCCGCACGATTTGACATGGCGTTGTTAACTGATGGTGTCCGAGCATCAAAGTTGCACACTTTGGAAGGTATGTTATTGCTTTTTAACTTACAATGTACGGTGATGGACTCCCAGTCATAGCTGTTCGAGTTGCGCAGGTGCGTGTAATATTCATGCTGCCTCGTCAGTTCAGCTCATACTTGCGACCTCTTGCCTATGTTGAATGGTTCACGCCATTCAGGGAGCCAGACCAGTTCTCAGGTCTGCGTCAAGTCTCGTGTTCGACTCATCACTTGCGTCAGAATGGAGCAGTCATACACGTCAACGAGTTCGTTTGGCCATGTCGCCTTGTTCCGAAAATGGGCCAAAAGGTAGACCCCAGCTGGACGAGCGCAAACGTCTATGAGATGGCAAGCAATTTCTATTTCAACGAATTTATTGACCTTGATACATTTTGCATATCAAGTGCCATTACATAGAGTTGCCGCTACTACAGATAGGTATGTAGGATACTGGTACTATAGGTTTTCGGATGTGATAATGTTATATACGTTGGTCTCTGTACGCATCATGTCAGCTACATCGGGTACATCGACCGACAGATTTAGGCGGGTGCCTACCTGTCAGTATGGTAGCTATGGAGTGCATTATATTGGTGACCAGGACTACCGCCATTCGGGTTTTTCCTGATGGAGTGTATGCATATTAGCCCCACTCAATTCTTATTTTATTCTGCCATTTTATTTTGTGGCCTGTAATATAAATCTTGATCGCATGTGAAATAAAATGATATAGAATTGAGTGCCTCAGTTTATTCTTCCAGTTTATTTGATGCAGGCATCGCTGAGCTTGTAATGTGCCGAGTGGCTTGAAGTACCAGAGCATTTTGTAAGATTCTGAACCATGCCTGGAAGTGACGTTCACTTCCGTTATATACCAGGATATCCAGGAAATCCTCCGATTTTGGCTGGTTATAAGATCCACGTAGACCATACCTGTTGCTTCGTGCACGTTTTTTCTCCGCTAAAGCAAGCACAGCAATGGCAAGGCCGATAAATCTGTCGTCCTCATCTTCAGTACATGCGAGTTGGCAGATAGCAAGAGCTTCGAGTTCCGTAGCTAGTTGTCCATGAAACGAATGACTCCGTTTGCCCGTACGACGAAGCCGTGCCATTGATCTTGATGATATCCAATAGTGCTGCTAGACACGCCTGCGGTGTTGGTAAATTGAATCTCCGAGGATGAGTTATTTTTACGCGCTTGTGCGCAGTTTATTCCAGTTTATTTCTCGGACTCTGTATCAGTGACAGTTTGGTGATGGCTCATAAATTGGAGAAATAAAATGGCAGAATAAAATAAGAATTGAGTGGGGCTATTATCTCAAAGTTCCTCTCCTAGATCTCATATCGACCCAGGTGCACTTCCATTTGTTTTCGGGGAAGCTTTTGACATCCCTTGACTCAGTCAATCCATAGTGATTCACTTGCTTCAATGGCACGAAGTCAAGGATCCGGAAAGTCAGGTTCTTGATGATCTTGGTTGTTAGACTATCTGGGACACCGTCCAACAGCACATCGAGGAATCACGACGAAGTCCCTCCCTGAACCTGCTCAAGCTCGGTGAGACAACTTCGAACATCCCTCTTCGGTGATTGAACACATTGCCATCATAGATGTCTCGTGGACACTTGGGTCGAGCTGACATCTCCTAGCATACACCAGATGCATCCTTTTGGTCTCTCGCATCACTCGGGTTTCCACAAACTCACTCGAAAAGCATGGAATTATCATTAACGAATCGTCCTTCTCCTCAGCACCAGGTTTCCCTTCCCCCAGACGATCACGTATTATGCTTCGATTTCCTTGACTACATAAGCGCTCATCATACATGAGAATGGGAATTAGACTACTATTCTCCTGCATGGAAATTTGTAGGCCAACACATGCGATGGACTGCAAGCATGGAAAAGATTGCCAATGGGCATGCTCGACGCGCCATGAATGTACCAGTAACGGAACCAACTCCTCCGGCGAGTCAAATTTTCGGGGATAGGTTGCTCTACAGATCTAATTTTTGATAGTATATATCGATGCACATACGGCATGGTGACTTCAGCCAACAATACGAAGAGTTTCCAGTGGACCAGTGCTTCGCCCCGTTGTCTGTCATTGCGCGCAGGGTGTCTGAGGTGCAAGAAAAGCTTCGGACACGAAAAGGGATTGAGGCCACGCATGTTATCATGACGAGCGACGAAAGGGACCCGGAATGGTGGTCAGATGTTGGGGCGAACGTGGGTAGATTACGTAGCGGAACAGACAGAGAGATCTATGGAAAACGGTGAGCCGATTAGATGTCATGTTTTCATTCTAACTTAAGTTGTGGCTGTTAACAGGCATCCGGTGTTCGTTGATGCTATCATTCAGTCGAATGGAGCTGGCTTAGTTAGCACTTGTGGTTCTACGATGTCCACCCTAGGGGCCCGCTAGTCGCAGAGTACAGTCGTGGCATGATGGAGCGACTCGGCTCGTTAGATGGGGGTGGCCGGACGCGGACGACCGCTGATGTTGATCGGAATGCTGGAATTGAGACTACTTTGGGCCTCACAAATCAATGGCTACAATGTTCTTATTTATGATGCGCCTAATGGTCGTTCTCCGGCTCGAATTCACTGCAGGCGAAAGCAAGCTTAATCTTCTTGGTGCATAGTACTGGAAACGTTCCCTTCCTGACGGTGATCAACGTTCAACAATCAAGACGCACCATAGACATGCACACACTTTATACTAATCTACAGCGAGCCGCAAGGTGAGCGATCATGAGACGTAAGATTTGAGCTTGAAAGTTTGTTGGAGAGGTGTGATACTCACTTGATGTCTTGGTAGGGCTTGAAACTGTGAAGACAAATGTCGGATGCATGCAGCCAGTGCAGTCGGTCAACAGTCGGTTATGACCGGTTGTGAGCATCCTTGTTGAACCGGTGATGGCGAATGCCGAACTACCTCGTGTCTTGGGCGTCTATAGAAACGAGGAAGGTTAGCGCGTGGTGAGGGTAACATAAAAACGTACAATACACGCACCTCTGTAACTTAGAGAAAGACCCCACAATCCCTCGGCCGTGCTCAACACCATCAACATCCAGTAAAATGTCACAGCTCATTCCAAACACCGCACCCATTCGAACTTTTGAAGATCATGAGCAGAGCATATGTGCAGTCGCAGTGTTTCCCGATAAACGACGAATGATTACGGGTTCGTACGACAAGACACTTCGTCTTTGGGACTTGGAGACAGGCGTTGTGTTGAAGAAGATGGAAGGGCATGACAATGTGGTGCGGGCATTGATGATATCGCGAGATGGTAAAATAATAGCAAGCGGTGATGCAAGTGGAAAGGTCATCGCCTGGCACGGAGAAACTGGCGAATCCATCACCCAACTGATCAACGCCCACCCCAATTGGGTCTATTCTTTGGATTTCTCTCCGGATGGTACGGTGCTGGCTACTGCCGGTGGTTCATGGGACAGCACGGTGAAGTTTTGGAGTACCAAAACGTGGCAGATGCAAGGAGATCCAATCGAGTGTGGATATGTCAACTGTGTTCGATATTCACCTTCTGGTGAACTTCTTGCCATCGCAACCTTCGATATCCAAATTTATAATCCAGGCACAAGGGAACATGTCACATCTTTGAGGGGTTACCAATCATGGAACATGTCACTCGCGTGGACGCCCGATGGCACACGCCTTCTTTCAGGACGCAGTAAATACATATTGGAGTGGGACACATCAACCTGGCAGCAGGTCGGTCGTCCCTGGGAAGGTCACACTAACACCATCAACGCCATTGCCATTCATCCCGCTGGCACCCTCGTCGCTTCTGCATCTAACGAGGGCCATGTCCGTTTCTGGCGGTTCTCAGATCAACGAAACATCGCCATCTTCCAGCATTCATCTGCCGTGACAGGTGTTGCGTTCTCTGTGGACAGCAAGCACATCCTCAGCGGAGGTGCAGATAACAAGATCTCAGAATGGGCAGTATCCAGCGACGTTTATTCAAAGGCGAGTTTCCATTTCCGACTCTCATCACGCAATTCGAGCATCCTTCGTACAGATCCTTGAAATCACAACAGCCCGCGATGCATGTCTGACTGGGGACTTGTCTATCGCTGAAGAGCTCCTCACCCAAGAAATCCACATCAACGCCGACGAATTTACTTCATATGCCAATCGTTCGTTCGTTATGGCCCGGAAGCACAACTGGGACAACGCCCTTGAGGACGCAATCAAGGTGAGGTGAACCCACCCATCGTTGTCATCTTACGGAAGGCTAACATTCATCCGTGATATAGTCGATCGACATTAAAGCATCATTGATTGGGTTTATCTCCAAAGGCATCGCCCTCTGCGGGAAAGCTCGCGTTCAAGAAGCAAGGGTAGCATTCGACGTTGCAACCACATTCACGAACCAAGATTCTGAAACCAACCAATTTCTTCTCTTGATCAAGGTACATTTAATTCGTATCCCATGCTATTTGCTTCATCCGGTATTCCAGGCCATAGCACTCTTCAACGCAGATCAACATGAAGAAGCAATGCTGCTCATCGAAGACCGGGCTGCCGCTTGTCCGAATGTCGATCCTCTCGCGCGTCGTGTCGTGGAAGTGAGTGTCATGTGGCCACACTCGGCCATCAGTCCTAATATTCTCAACTTACACAATAGACATATCTACGTGTTCAACTCGGAATCAAAGCTTTCGATAGCGCGCATCACGACGAGGCCGCTGATCACTTCACTGCCGCTGTTAACTTAGACGCTTTCTCATCGAAATATATTCATTTCGCATACCAAGACTTGACCGTGGTGCGTCGATATGTTGCATACATCATGCTTTCCATAACCTAGTACTTTGTGCAGCTCTTCGGCTGGGATCTCGAGTCCTTGCTGCTCACTACACACCAGAAACGGTGTCAGGCTTTCCTTTCGGCAGGTAAACCCGATGAAGCCCTCAACGCCCACAAATACATGATGGACTCTATTGATGAGACTGCAATGGCTAGCTGTCTCGATTGGTCCAACGGTAAGTCTTTCGTCATGTCACCCACGACCACCATGCTCACCCGCATGTTACTCAGAGTTCGAGGAGAAATGCAGCACGCTCGCTGCGGACAACGACCGTATTCTTGGTGTATGTACCTCGTACCTCACCTCTTTTGCTACTGACTATTATGCAGGCAGAGATCCCCGGGCAAGATCACGATGACTATGATGCAGAACGCAATTTCTATGAAATGCATCAAGTGTGTGCAAAAGCGTATCGTTCTGTTCTCTCTCAAATAGTTCATTACAGTATTCTCAGATTTCCCGGCCAAGACTTCAACAGCGAGCTGGGCGCCTTGGGCGCCTCAAAAGACTGAGGCTCGCTATGACAGGGAAGCCTCAGTCAGCTCCTGCACCTGCACCTGCACCACCCACCACCTCGCCACCAGTCACCCCCACCCCCACCTTCAAAACTCGCCTACGACGCCTAGCTACCCTGCCACTCCATCATGCAACGCCACCTGTTGTCGACGTTCCTTTTGCCCAAGGTCGACAGGTGCGCTCGGTTATTTTGTCAAGACTGTTTCTTGGGTGTCTCATATTCAAATCTACAGCGTAATGCTGCAGCGGGTGCTCCTGGGAGTGAGCACTCCTTGATACGTGATGAAGATGTTCTTCCACAGGATCCCAATACGCAACAGCAACATCAACCAGTAGCAGGTCAGGTAGACACCGGCCAACATGGAGGCGGCCTGTCCTGTTGCTGCGGCTAGCTGCTAGAAGCATTGGTGAATGTCCATAGGTATTTCAGTTTTATCGTTCATCTTGTCATGATATCCACTTAAGCACGAATACATTGCCATCCGATTTGTCCCTCAAGCGGCATACGAACGCGCTGCTTCTTTGATCGTTTCTCCGCAGCCTGACGTCGTGACTCGCGTATGCATGTTGTTCAAAGGTACCTGTAAGGAGCACCTAGCAAATTGGCCTTATGCACAAATGCAAGCAGAGAACGACGTTGCTTGGTGGGTGGACGTAGTTGGAGTTGATCCTACAAGAGCTGGTGATGTGACTTTGTTCAGGATGGGGCGGGGTGGAGGTTCTCATTTGATATTTTATCGGATCACTACCTAATTCGTGTAGGTGTTACCGTGTTTTATCTTGATCAGTTTTTGCTTCCGATGGCTGTGAGCATATGATTAACGGTTCAAAAGTTGGGGGCTAAATATCCAAATTCAGTGTCTCGTGCTAGAGCGTTTTAAAAATCAAATCATTTTCGATCGACTTGTAGGAATAAGAATATGCAGGGTCTCCCCAGTAATTGCAACTGTGTATTACAATGTGCGGGAAGCCTCCAAACAAAAGTTGCTATTAAACCTATGAAACGAAAATGACTACAGTAGTAAGGTTTATAGCCACAAATCGAAATTGCACCCCAAAGATAATGAATACAACGATAAATGATCACGACTGCCCGTGCCGCCCCGCGCCTTCTCGCAAAAAGTCAACATACTCGGTCAAAAACCGCACCTGCTCCAACGTCTCAATGGCCTTGACGCTTCGCCGTCTCCGCACAACAGTGATCGCGCGCTCGACAAGTTGCAAAGTATCCCTCCTCACATAATTCTCCAGGCCATCGGCGCCTTCTGCTGGGTTCGGTGATAGGTCCACATTGATCCACCCGCACAAGCCAATTTTTAGTGCCCAACAGCACGCTACGAGGCCTGCCCTACCCAAACCCCCACGACAGTGCACAAGTATACTTGCACCACGCATGGTGTAATCGTCGATAAGTTTTGTCAGTGACTCGTCTAGTGACTGGGGCGATAGAGGAGCAAGGCCTTCAGGTAGTGGTATTCTGCAAGTATAATGAAAGTGAGCAGCTGAATGACTCAATAGGCGGAGTACTTACCGAAGGATGTCCATTCCTGCCCGGTGCGCAGAGCTCACGTAGTCTGACCAGCATATCCCAAGAAAATCGAGTTCTTCGTCATCGAGACAACTATAAAACAGTCAACTAAGCACATGACACGCCAATACGTCAACTAACCAGACAATGCAGCGTGCTCCGACTTGACTTATACGCCGCAGGTCAGTGTCGAGATCTCGACAAACGGCGCTACGCCCTCTGACCGGACCTGCGAGTCGCACTAGTAACCGTTTTGATGCCAGTCAGCGGATACACTCGTGCCTTGAGTAAAACGTACCTTTTTTTCCGGGACACGAGGACAGCATCAAGTTACCCAGCTTGAAACAGCGCTTGGTGCCATGGATATTTGATGTTGGACGGAGTAACGTGCTGGACACTCTTGTCTTGGTGGCATTCTGGGATGCAGTCGAAAATGCTAGTCTACATCATCAGGTTTACACACAAAGAACAATGACGACATGGACTCACTGTTCACGTTCGCTGGAATTAAGGAAATCGAGCATAGAAGGAAAGACAACCTTCGGCAGAGCAGAAGTCCCTCTTTGTACAGATGAAGACCGGTTGCTCGCCAGATCATCGGATACCATGCGAACTTTGGTAGTGTGTTTTAGAGTAGGAGAAAGTTTTCCTATGAACGGAAGCGAAGGGCGAGTTTTGGTGGCAAGGGTCGTTAAGCGCGTGTCAATGGCAGCCTGAAGAGCCTCCATTATGGACTGCGGTGGCTGGTTCATAAACGCCGGAGGTATTGGAAGGGGAGGATGATGAAGAATAGGTTCTGATGAGGAAGAATGCGTGGGTATTGGGGGTAGTAATGGAATTCGGCTTGACCGACGCGAGTGAGCTTTGCGTGAGATAGCTAGAGAGGTGGGGCTAGTTGGTGATGGCATGTGTTGGGCATAATCCGTGATGCGATGCAGGGTATAGAAGTCGGGTATATGAAAGATAACAGGTGAAGGCTCGGGGTTGGTTATAAGATGCGATGACATTGCGGGTAATAATTCCGGGGGAACGATAGTAGATATGCTGCGTTTATAAAACAAAATTATGAACCACAGTTCTTCAAAAGTGAATTGAAACAAACTTTAATGGATGCGTTGTAGACGTTTTGACAGGGATGCTAGGATGTGAGGTGCCTTCCGGAATAGGTGCGGGTGGCATTTGTGAAGAAAGTGTATCCTCGAGGGCTGCGTTCAACTCTTTCTGGAGAAGCGGGTACAGGCAAGGACAAGCGCTTCCGCTAAGGAGTGCGTTGCGTTGTTCGGAAGCCGGTATGACTTGTGTAGCGGGGCAGGACGCCTCTGGACATGGCCACCACAGTACGCCATTCATATTTGTTGCCTGCCGTGCGCGAAGGTCGCGAAAGGTGTCTGGTGCGTTCAGTAATAGTGGCACATATGGTATGGGACAGCCTGCAGCGCCGGTCAGTGAAAACGGTTTGAATGATGGCAACAGATGACGCACCTCGGTGGCCATGCTTTATACGGTTGTACTCGCTCAGGTGGTACTGCGAGGCAAGGTGCGTAAGCTGGCGTGTGCGAGAGTGAGCTACGTGGTGGTTGAATAGTACACATGACTGACTTGTGCGACCCACGGTTGTATGGCTACTTTAGAGTGAATAAGCGATTTCGAAGGCTGCTTCAGAATGACGCTGGGATGAAACTGGGCAGGAGGCGGGGTAGGAATAGGATCCAGGAGGGTGGGCGTCATGACTGGGGACTATAGCGGGGTAGAGAAGGTGGTTTTGTATTGAACCTTGATGGAGGCGCGCGGCGGCACTATTCGGTACAATCGTAATGGAGACGAGATCAAATCGAACCTGTTTGATTACTTTGATGTTGAGTCATCTATATAAACTTCATATATGATCCGGCTGTAGACAAACACGAAAGGAACATATTTCATTGACGCTCATAACTCGTCATATGTTCAAAAAATACTTACTAAGCAACTCGGACGAGCGTCTTCGACTCTTCCCGATCTTCTAGATCCAGAGAAGCACAGCGGGCCAGGCTTCTTACCGGCGCGTCCGATCCTCTATTCGTGTGCCGTACGGTTAATTATTAGGCTATACCTCAGGCTATCACCAAGGTGCCCCTCTAGTTTTGCCTCCAACTACGACTACCATATATATGTCATCTCCCGAGTCTTTAACTTCTCATGGGGACATCCTGTTTCAAGCTTGCCAATTCGGATCAGGATCAAAACAAGGTACAAATCAATGATGACCTGTTCAGCGTGCGCAGTCGATACAGCAACAGCTCAGGCACATATTCTGTCGTATCATCCGACGACTGCCCGGTGGATACAACGAGAACCATGCCCTAGTACGTCATCCCAACCGAATCTACGAAAACCAAGAACAAGTTCCATCACATCGTGGATCGTGCTGTTGATTGCATCACAGTGATCCTTCAGGTGGGTTAGAATCGTACTCGACATGTTATGTTTCAAATGAACACGGAAAGAAAAAAACTCGTGGGGGGCAGCTCATCCTAGTGCTGTACCTGTGCTGGTGTCAATCAAGGGGGTTCTACCCTTGGCATCAATTCGGTGACGCAATTAGAATGTTTGGTAATTCGTGCCACTTGTGATAACGAGCCTCGTTCTGAGCACCTGAGCAAATGCCAGCACGCTTACAAGCCACGAAATGTCTGAATATTCAACGTTATAATATGTAAATCAAATGTAATATAGAACAAGTGTGACAAACCAATCAAAACTATGTCCTAAGGGAGAAGTTGCGTATGCGAACAAGTCCATAGAGTCATCAGAGGGTAACATGGCCGCAGGTGAGTAGACAGATACTTTCCGAGATAACAAAGGCTGCGATCGTTTGGATCTGGACGAGATGCTGATCGTAGGAGATTTCTGATCGTGTAGATTAACTCTGTTCTTCTGGGCATCCATCAGAATCGAAGAGAAGTTGGAGTGACGTGGTTTGAGTGCTGGTCGACGTTCTGCCAAGGGCGAACTTGGCATTAGATTCTCTTTATCATTTTCTCCACCCCACCAAGAATGATCATTTGCGTCTTCCGCAAAGATTTCGCTTCCCCGCGAGGAAGGTGAAGAAAGACGATCGGAAGCCCTAAATGCGGTAGACCCCGTCGCAGACCTTGCAGATCTTTGTGGAACTGTGACACGAGAGGAACCCTGGGTCACATATCGACGAGTGCCTCTGCGCAACAAACGTTTAATGAAAACCGGGCTCTCGTGCAAAGCAACCTGTGCAATCTTCTTCTTTTTCTTCACATGAGCAGGGGTCTTGCGAATCCAGCAGCCAACCATTTCCTCCCACTCCCATTCTCCACTCGGTCGACGATGGTGCGCGCCACGGGATCTCTTGCTCTGGCCTGGCATCCGAACAGCCGGGCTGCTATCGGGTGGACCAGCTCCAAATAACCGGCGCTCGGCCTCGTCCACACCGTCGATCAAGAGAAGCTTGAATCTCTGGATCTCTTTTGAGGTGCCTTTCGGCGTGCTCTCGAAGACATGAAGAGCACAGGCCCACAGCGAGGCGTCCAACTGTAGTAGCTTGTGCGTTTGTAGAGCCGACGAGAACTGCTGAAGCGATGTCATAAAATCGTGCGCGGAACCTCGATGCATATGCTTAACGAGGCCAGTGAACGTTGTGGGAATAGGTGAAACTTCACGAAGCAGATCCAAGAGACGTGAATCATAGTCTGCCAGTGAATATGTAACATGAAGGTGCGTGGCGAGTATCGTGATTGCGTCAGGAAGTTCGTCTTGGGAAGGTTGAGCTGAATCACCCAGTCGCAGGGTATGCATTCCGTAGCTTCGACACCGGTCGAGTAATATAATGACAGAGTCAATATCGGGACAGCGGGATTCATCTGCAGGTCCTGCAGGGGCGCTAACGGTAACTGCAAACAGCCTGTTCATCCAATCATGCAAGCAGCAACGAATAGCCCCAATATCGATGGTTTCCTTTTCCTTCCCTTTGCCAGACCGCACCGGGTAATGATCATGTATGGTTTCGACTAAAAATCCAGAAGGGTGACAAAAGAGTCGATATCGGTCAACTCGACGCTGCGAGAGAACCTATCGACCGCTTTGCATGTCCATAAAGAGACATTTTGTTGAGCTAGAGCATCTGCAACCGCTTGCGAGAACGTCGAGACCGAGAATAGCGGAACGGCATCAGAAGGCATGGTGTTGCTATTCCCGGATACCCATCGAGCAAGAAGATCGGCAAGGTAGAATGCATGTCCCGGGTGTGTGATTGGAGGGGGAGAGGTGGTGAACAAGAAGGCAATTTCAAGGATGATGCTGAGCAAACAGCGAGATTCGTGAACTAGACCAAAAGACAAGCAGATATCCAAAAGAGCGCTGACAAGCGTATGGTGATGCGGACAAATCGCCAGCACAAGGAAAAGTGCATGGGACGCAATCGAATGTCTGCAGGATGGGACAATGAAACTTCGTAGATAAGTAGCCAGGCCCACTCACCGTCGATAGTAGGTCGGGATAGTGTCATAGATGTCCTCCACAGTTTTCATCAGCTCATCTTCGTCTACAACTTCCTCTTGGCTGTCACGCGTTCCGATGCCACTCAGCGGAACGTTTTCTCCAACTACGAAGCAGCACATGGCTGCCAGGCTGGGGATCGACTCCCCTGGCACCGATCCGTGCGTGACCCGGAGGATACATCTAAAGGCATCACAAACTGCGTATATCAAGCGAGAGAGCTCCAAGTCTTCTGCTCTGTCGAAATAGTTGAACCTCCCTCTAGTGGCAGATGACGGTTGAGGAAGGAGGGCAAGTGGTGGAGGGCAATCAAGTGGCCAGTCTTGACTATGTGATGAGTATGTGCTGCGAGACGCACCGTGTCGAGCGGTGGACAACGACTTGCTCAAACTCAAGCATTTGTTACGCAAAGGTCTCAGCAGTCGGTTGATGCGCGATGTAGTGAGGTGGCTACCACTGGTATCAGTCGCTGAACAAATTATCATGAGTAGCTACCACAGCCTGTAGATGCCAACTTTCGATGAAACCAGGTCTCTTTGTTGAACACTGGTGACTGCGCAGCTTGTCGAAGAGTTTGGGGAGGGGGTACGAGAATGATATGAGCAGACCTAGAATTCACACGCATAAAATCATAGACAAGTAATAATAGAACTTATTCTGCAGTCCTGGACCATACACAACTTATCTTGCTAACCGTGGTACTGGCGCAAATCAGTTGTGAGTAACCCGTATCATACTGAACCTGCCAGTACTTTAGGCTTGCGGAAAGCATCGTTTGCAATGAAAATATCAAGATCGACAACTGTTTTGATTCGGCCCGGGCCACTCAATATCGAAAAGTAGATCCGTTCATTCCTCTTTCACCTTCGGCATCCCTTCTCACATCTACAACGGTCCCTACTGCAGGTGCATCCCTCACTAGCGCTGGTGCTGCCTCTGCGTTGTCTAGCTCTGGAAAATGTACTCTGTCATAAGTGATGTCGCCGCGCTCACTATAATCGCAGAGCTCCGTGGCATTTACTGTTACAGACGGGGTAAGCCTCACATGATCCAGGTCATGTTTCCGATCAATCTTTTCGCACTCAGCTTGTCTATCGTCTTCCACGGATACTAAACCAATTTCCTGTACTCTCAATGTGTGCCCACTCACATCACTCCCTAGTAGCCACTCAGAGCTACCGCAATCTCAGTTCAGTTCGATGGAATTACGGGTCTACGACGTCCACTCAACCCAAGACACACATTTTGAGCCCTGATTCGGAGCGGGCCCAGTTCTCAAACACCGTGCCATATTTTGTGAATGTCCTTGCGACCGAGAAGATGATGCTGGTACGTGTCCTACAAGCAAGTATTCAGGCGTTCGACTCAGACGAAACTTCACTAGTAGCTGTATGCCCTCTCAGATCTCTCCTCTCTCACAACAGGACGCTCACAAATCCCGCATGTAGTCGAAGGCATTGAAATGCTTCGCAGTGTCCCCCCAGACACGACAATCATAGCTGTTTTGAACATCATTGATCGTGAAGGTGGTGAGTAATATGCTACAAATTTTGCAGCTGAATGGTGGGCCTTCAGTCAAAAGTACAAGACCTCTTGGGGCCAGCACCACTGCGAAGTTCTGGGCATCACTTCAACATACACCGTCTTTGCCCACCTGGATGTTGCATCTACAGCCGCGTCTAGTTACTGCACCTGCCTATCATTCACATATGCGGTGCTGGTATCCGAGAGCCGTCTTGGGTGAATTTACATCCCAATGGTAATAGGTGAATGACGCCGCCGGTAGTGCAAACATGTCTTGACGGTGTTCCCCGCAGATATATTGTCTCGTTGTTGATTTACTGTTGAAATTTGCGGGACATGTCTCTGCCTAGAGATTCTGCCTGCACTCCTCGCTGGCAAGCATATTTCAAAGGCCTTGTAGACATAAGGGGCACCTGATTGAACGGCGTGCCAGCGTTCCCTAGTTCTTGCTGGCACGACCATCACCGTGAGGACTGGGGTCCTCGTCGACACCATGACACGTGGCACAAGACTACGACATTTTGGTTCAATCTGAACATGGAAAAAAATGCCTTCATCGAGTTCGATCTTGGTGACTCCATAAGTATTTGCAACATGAAGTCGAACCATCCACGATACCGCAGTATCGGTTTCTGTAACCGGCAAGTGTAGATGGAGCAATTCTTCATTGGAGGCTGTACAACTGATTTTCGACCAGCACTAGCGAAAGCATATAGAATTGAAGGACGGATAATGTCTAGCAGCGTACGTGTCTCTAGTATATATACGAGTCAGATGATATACGCGTTGTCCAATCAGGGAAGGGATGCATCGTCAGACATGTGTCAGTGTCGTGAAACAAACATTCACACTGACGGAAAGAGATGTCCGACTTCAAGGCCTTGAACGTGTCACTAGTTGCATGTTCAATAAGGAACTTCAAATGAATATGTCATTCTTGCGTCACCCAGACCATGAATAATAATATTCAGCGCATAGTATAAAAAGCTGTCTTCCTACCGTCTCATTCAGATCGATTTGACCCCATATCACATCCTCACAAAAATGCATCTCCCCTCTGTCGTCGCCGTCGCTTGCGCTTTGGTAGCATTAGTATCTGCCAGTCCTGCTAACATTGATAGCAGCGGAGAGTGTCCTATAGTGTGCGCGTTTCAAGATTGCTGCCCTGAGGATGAATGTAAGCTGTTCGGCCTCATATGGGTGTGTATATGAGTATTTGCATCTTGGATTTGACCACACGACTCACCGGCGTGGTAGCCCATCTGGGCGTGTCTGGACAGATGAATGCCATGTCAACTACGGTGAGTCGTATTTCTACTTCGATCAGCATCGGTGCAGATGATGGCTGATGGCACAACATAAGAAACACTACTAGTTTGATATTGATTTGATCAATGTTTTGCTTCTGAACAAAATTGACTGCCGCTCGAGCAATGGAGATCTTGGATAGGGGAAATCTCAAATACTTGAATAAATAGAATGCGACAAAAGTACTTGCCAGTTTTGTAGTCTCGTTGTACGCTTGAACATAAAAGCCTCAGTGGCACCATGACTCCTCCCCTCATAGGCACATTTTTAGTCTACACTGGCCCATTGTAATATGTCACAACCCCACTAGATGGTGGTCTACATCGAAAGTTGTCATTGTCAAATTGCGAAAGCTTAAGATCCCGAAATCTGAAATGGCACTAGCCTGGCCGCTGTGAGTGATATTTTCAACCAAGGACGTCTGGACAATGAAAAAAATCATATGTAGATCTGCAAAGGGAAGACTAAGTCTATATGGTAGTCATCAAAGTCATTGATTTGTAAGAAAAAGTATCCGGCACAAAGTGCGTAACCTGGACACGGACACGGACTCATGCATTGACAAGAGTCAGTGTTCCGAGTGCAACTTGATGGACATCCTAGCCTCGGGCCCTCTGCCAGCGCAGAAATCCAATTCTGCTATCTACCATGCAGAACCGGTGCTGCCAAACTGGCTGACAGTACTTATGGGCTCTTTCCAACAATTTCAAGATGACTGTTACGAAAATTGGTGACTATTTCGTCAATTATCATTGGATGGACAGTCTTACGGGCTATAGAAGCTCGGATTGCACCCACTCTGGTGGGCATTGAAATATTGACCAGCAACAATGCCTAAGATCTAGATCTACATGCGCACATCCAAGGACTCAGACACTAGTATCACAGCAACGTCATTCATCCCCAAAAGACTATTCTCGCTGTTTTAGTAAGTATTATACGGCTGAGTGCATTTTCCCCTCAAACCGGTAGAACTGAACCTAGTCAGTGCAGGACCGCAGATCTAGATACATATCGCTCTTCCAAAAAAAAAATCATCAGTGCGTACACTGCAAGATATGAACATAAGGACTGCGAGATGAAATGTGTTGCGAAACATTAGGGTATCAACCTTCGCGTTGATGGAAAGAGATGCCCGAATTCAAGGACCTGAACGTGTCACTAGTTGCATTTTCGATAAGGAACTTCAAATGGATATGTTCTACCTGCGTCACCCGGATCATGAAGAATAGTATTCAGCGCATAGTATAAGAAGCCGTCTTCCTACCGTATCATTCACATCGATTTGACCCCATATCACATCCTCACAAACAATGCATCTCCCCTCTGTCGTCGCCGTTGCTTCCGCTTTGATAGCATTAGTATCTGCTGGTCCCGTTAACATTGATAGGAGCGAAGAGTGTCCTATATCGTGCGAGACACAAGATTGCTGCCCTGGGCAGGAATGTATTCAGGAGGGCATCTTATATGTGAGTATAAGTATTTTGCGTCTTGGATTCAACCACACGACTCACCGGCGTGGTAGCCCAACTGGTCATGCGAATGAATGCCATGTCAACTACGGTGAGTGGTATTTCTACTTCAATCAGCATCGGTGCAGATGATGGCTGATGGCACGACATAAGAATTATTACTAGTTTGATCAATGTCTTGGTTCTGAACAAATTTGACTGCAATGGAGATCTTGGAATAGAGGAAATCTGAATAAATAGAATGATTAAAGTACTTACGAGTTTTGCAGTCTCGTTGTACGCTTGGACATAAAAGCCTCGATGGCACCACGACTCCTCCCCTCATAGGATCCTAAAATCCTTGAAATGGGAAGAAGGATATCTGGGTGTGCAGGACGTGGTGCGGAAGACGGAATATGACAGTTACGCAATCTCCAAAAAATTCAAGCTCGAGAAAAGACAAAAAAGGTAGACGTGATCATCACTCACCGCTGCAGGCGCACCCATACCCCAATTCCACACCACATCCGTCATGAAATATGTAACCGTGCAATCCCTCGTGAGCTTGTACCCATTGGCACATTGATGATCGCGAGCAAAGGCTTCATCGGCCCACGCCTATATCTCGAAGGAAAGACCAATACACGCACAGTGGATGTGTTGATGAAACACGTCGGGCGAGGATTCGCTAGAAGAAGTAAACAATTCAGGTATAAAGTTAAGTAACGGAGCAGACGTAGTAGCTGCATGTACCTCCTGCACAAAAGATTGAATTTGTGAATCAAGAAACTGGGAATGGTTTGAGATTGAGAGAGGCAGGACAAGCATGGAAATGGGTTGAGGGTGAATGCGTCATGAAAAAAGATGATGACGAGTGAGAAAAGGCATCGAAGGTGTCATAAGGAATCTCAAATACCGTAGTGATAATGAATTGCAGGCTCTTGAATTACTGCTAGTAGTCGTTGCAATCCAGATGATGTACGCATGTAGATCGAGATCTTAGGCATTGCTGGTCAACGCCCACCAGAGTGGGTGCAATCCGAGCTTCTATAGCTCGGCGGAGACTCCGTCGAGACAATATTGTCATGGACTGCACGATACAGGCGAAATACAGACGGGTATGGGCTCGGAGCTGCGGTAGCGGCCGGGCCCGTTGACATAATCTAAATAGGAATCACCGTTCACCTTGATTCCTGTACTAGCCTGCAAAGGCACAGCAACGACTACAATATCTCTATGGTCCTGATATCCATCAAGTCTCCAACAGAAACCACGTCCTGGACTTGTCCAATGATATCATGATCCGTCGCAATCCTCTTGTATTCTCCACTGCGCTGCTGCGCCAGCAAAAATGCGCTGAAAGGCTGCCCAAGGCGAACAAGTAACCGCAATGCTCGTGATTCTAGCTCAGACATCCCTGGTTTCATAGAAGAACCACCAGACCGGTCGTCTGATGGAGAAGAAGGCGGCGTCTCATAATCTTCCTCGCTCTCCGTATCATCTCCATGGTCAGATGGTTCTGGAAATTCTGCAAAGTCAGGTAGCTCCAGGAGAGACCGATCCCAGGGACGGACGAGGAGAAATCGTTGCTCGATGGGTCTTGCCGGCCAGAATTGAATCAGGGCCTCTCCGGTGGTGATAAGCAAGTCGTGAAGTCCGTCTGCCTTCACCCCATACGTGAGATGACTTTCCGAGGTTGGACTACCCACACGGCGTCTGACTTCCGTGACATTGAATGCAATACAAGGCAGATGCAGTCTTTGTGCTGCGAAGCGAGGGGCGCTTGTGTTCTGAAGCCGAGTATAAAGGTTTGAAGCGAAATCAGCAACCCCCGTTTTTCGCAGCGAAGAAACCGATGACTGAATCTCATCTTTGGTCAGGGATGGTAGCTGGCATGGTGGAGCTTCGTATGAAGTGATGGACGCTGGCAGACAGCTGTTGAACTCTGATGATGTTCCGACCCAATCAAGGCTACTGATGTCACCCGACCGAGCCACGATCTGCTGCAGAAGCCGCCCGAGAGCCTTATCCTGCTTCTCACCATAATCTACAGGCAGGCGGACGCCAAGGGCGCCAAACAACGAGTATGCGGTGTCTTCCTGACGCGTGGTGACGCGGGTTGACGCCCAATGAAGTTTTTCTCGCGCGTTATGCATGCTGGGACGGAAGGCCACGACAGCTGGTCGGTCTATGCCTGTCGCATCCTTGATCTCCTGCATGATTGCGATGGAATCCTTGTGATTGGGAGTACGATCATTGCGATAAAGAGTCCAATTGTTCTGATAAAAGAGAATAACTTTGGGAGCGATGAATTCCTGAAACGTCCATCCGCGCGTGTTCCAAGCGCTCTTCGCCAGTGCGCCAGACTTTGACGATGGCGGAACATCAGACAGGTAGACGATCGTGAGCGCGGAATGATGATACCATGAGAACATGGAGTTAACTGATTCTTGGACTTCGACATTGTTGCTCTTGTCGATGCAGCATGTATCGCTCCATGCCCAGTTATACCCCGCATCAAGAGCAGTTTTGCAGAACGACCGCAGCTTCGTCATGCCGCCAACTGGATCCAACTCCGAGTCGTACACGGACTTGCCCTGAATATCCTGCAGAAACGGCTCCTTCCCTTCCCACCTGTGTGATAGCATAGAATATTGTAGGTATCTCTTCACCACTTCTTCGATGTGCTCGATGTGCAAGTCTGCATGCGTGATTGTTGATGACACGAGCTCCTTATACTGCATGCTCATTTTGAAGGTGTCTATCTGCGCCTCCCGATCGCATAAGAGACCTGTAGTGGTGTCGAGTACACGCAGCGGAGCGTTGTCGAGTCGGGCATCAATGACCCGTTGGATGGCGTGTTCTACTTCAGAAGGTCTGAGATACTGCTGGCGCAGGTCTGGAGAAAGAGTTAAACATGTCGACGAATGCGTTATCAGAGACTTACTTCGTGTCTGAACATCGGGTGCATTGTCCAATATCGAGAGCATTGTGTTGAAGGTTTCAATCGCTTCATCATAGCGCTCCGCACCGTGAAGCGCTGCATGCTTCAAGTTGTATCCAAGATAAGACAAAGAGTCCAGTTTGATGAGCTATGTATCACCAAGATGAGCATTGGCTATGGAACGATAGCTCCCATCGCACCTTCTGCGCATCGAGAAGGGCTTCCATCCATAGCATTTTGCCCAACTTTGCCTTGCTACGATTTGCAAACACAACATCAGATGCAGAGTTCGAGTTGATTACCGCCGAGTATAGGTCAATAGCCCTGTCATAATCGTTCGCAGCGAGGGCGGAATCTCCGTTGGCAGCACATAGCACACTACATTGTTGTTTGAACTCTGAGTCAAATGCAGGTGAGTATGATGGCGTCGGGTGACATCACTAAAACTCGCCATTGGACCAATCGAGGCAGCTGGCCTTCGCAGTCTCGTCGATGGCGTCCGTCATGTATTTGTGTGCGTGGAGGGCTTGATCGGGTTTATCTGCCGAGTGGAAAGCCTGGCACCGTTTGTGGTGTGTGGTGAGCAGCAAGGACTCGAGATCCCAGCCGAAGAGCTGCACAAAGTACTGGGTTATGGAAAACACTATGTATGCATCATGTCGACGCACCACGGTCAAGTCCTCATATGCCAAATGAATGTCTTTTGACGAGAATGCAGTAGAATTGACAGCAGCAGTAAAATAATCAGCGGCCTCGTCGTAACGCGCACCATCCAAGGCTGTGATTCCGAGATGAACACGTAAATACGTCTAATGTACGAGCGATGAAGGTCAGTATTGAGGACCAAGCGTTGCCAATGATACTGACTTCCACGACACGACGCGCGAGAGGGTCAACATTCGGACAAGCAACAGCCAGGTCTTTGATGAGCAGCATTGCTTCTTCGTGTTGATCTGCGTTGAAGAGTGCGATGGCCTGGAATGCCGGATGAAGCAGACAGCATGGGAGGCAAATTAAATGTACCTTGATCAAGAGCAGAAATTGGTTTGTTTCTGAATCTTGGTTCGTGAACATGGATGCGACGTCGAATGCTACCCTTGCTTCTCGGATGCGACCTTTTCCGCAGAGGGCGATGCCTTTCGAGATAAACCCACTCAATGATGGTTGAATGCTGATTGACTATGTCACGGGTGAATGGTAGCATTCCGTAAGAGGACGATGATGGGTGGGTCCATCTCACCTTGATTGCATCCTCAAGGGCGTTGTCCAAGTCGTGCTTCCGAGCCATAACGAACGAACGATTGGCATATGAAGTATAGTCGTTGGCGTTGGCGTGGATCTCTTGGGTGAGGAGCTCTTCAGCGATAGACAAGTCCCCGGTCAGACATGCATCGCGGGCTGTTGTGATGTAAAGGATCTGGAAGAAGGATGCTCGAATTGCGATTGATGAGAGTCGGAAATGGAAACTTGCCTTTGAATGTTGTACTGCCCATTCTGATATGTTATTGTCTTCACCTCCGCTGAGGATGTGCTTGTCGTCCACGGAGAACGTGACACATCTCGGGATGGATGAATGCTGGAAGATGGCAACGGTTCGTTGATCTGAGAGCCGCCAGAGACGGATTTGGTTGTCAACAGAGGCAGAAGCGACGAGGGTGCCAGTGGGATGAATGGCAATGGCACAAATAGTGTCAGTGTGGCCAATCCAGGGATGACCAACCTGCTCCCAGGTTGATGTGTCCCACTCCAATATGTAGTATTTACTGCGTCCTGAAAGAAGGCGTGTGCCATCAGGCGTCCACACGAGTGATGTGTTCCATGATTCAAAACCTGTCAAAGATGCGACTTCTTCCCTTGTGGCTGGATCATAAATTTGGATATGGAAGTATGTTGCGATGGCAAGAAGTTCACCAGAAGGCGAATATCGAACGCAGGAGACAGGACTGTCACACTCAGTGATTAATATTGGTTCTCCTTGCATCTGCCACGTTTTGGTACTCCAGAACTTCACTGTGCCGCCATCTGAACCAGTGGCCAGCACCATTCCATCCGGAGAAAAATCCACCGAGGTGGTATTTTTGGGGTGGGCTTTGATGGGTTTGGTGATAGATTCGCCAGTTTCACCGTGCCAGGCGATGACCTCTCCACCATAATCACTGCTTGCTATTATTTGACCATTTCGTGATACCGCCAATGCCTGCACCCAACTGCTATGCCCTTCCATCTTCTTCAACACAACACCTGTCTCCAAGTCCCAAAGACGAAGTGTCTTATCGAGTGAACCCGTAATCATTCGTCGTTTATCAGGGAACACTGCGACTGCGGCTATGCCCTTCTTATGATCTTCAAAAGTTCGAATGGGTGTGGTGCTTGGAATCAGCTGTGACATTTTACTGGAGGTTGATGATGTTGAGCACCGTCGAGGGATTGTAGGTGTCTTTCTCCAAGTTACAGAAGTGCGCGTATTGTGCGTTTTTAGGTTACTTCACAGCGCTAACCTTCCTCGTTTGCACAGACGCCTAAGATATGAGGCAGTTCGCCACCACCGTTTCAGCAAGAATGCTCCCAACCGGTCATAACCGACTACACTGGCTACATGCGTCCGACATTTGTCTTCACGGTTTCAAGTCCTACCGAGACATTATCACACCTCTCCAACAAGCTTTCAAGCTCAAGTCTTGTGTCTTGTGTGTCATGGCCGCTCACCTCATGGCTCACTGTAGACTAGTATAAAGTATCTGCGTGTCTATGGTGTGTCTTGTAACTTGTCGCGGTCCCACCCTCTAAGGATTTGGAACCAGGGACCCTTAGACTAGATGGAGGACCCGAACAAGATCCATCAGCAAGGATGAACCGCTCGTGGGCAGAAGGGAGGTGTGGAGCTATCATCGTGAGTCCTGGTGCATATGTATCGACCCTTGTCAAAGCTAAACGCCAGTGTACTATAATGGTGACAGTGTGAGTCGGCCGAATATTATCAGGCCCACTTTGCTTATCTATGTTTCACACAGCCAGGGTGTTTATCCTCTGGGCTATACACAAACTCTGTTCCAGGGGCTTGCCACAGCAGCGGGATATGATCCCGTCGCAGACGCCGGTTCGTCATGCCTTGCAACAACTGCTTCTGGCCAATGTGTATTTCTCTAGGGTAGCAGCACAAAGTCAGTTTCTAGTGTGGTGCTAATCGCGAATGGCATCAGTTTCGCCATAATGTCAGCCATAATCACTACCGTCGGCTCTGTTACTGACTATGGCACGTTCGGATCGTACTTGCTGTCACGGTGGTATGCTGAGCTGCACACTATGACTGCATGGCGCTTACCTGTGCGTTTCCGAATGCACGTCAGTTGAGAGAAAAGTATGGAAGCAGCCAGATTCCTCCTGAATTTTATGAGTAAGAAGAATCCATGGAAAAGAATGAGATCAGTAATATCTCTAGCGTGCGTTGTAAGGGCTGTGTCTTTTGTCGTCAGAAGCTAACAATCTTTCGATACAGGTTCATAGTGATGTCGGGTATATAGCACACGCTGAACGTCATCTCCGGTACTGTTGATCCAGTCCGTGATCTCCGACAAGATTTCCGTACGTGTCCCTGGTAGGCATTGCTTCTAAGTGTCTAGTCCCGCGCCTTCTGCATACGCCATGCCGATGAGGTCCAGCGTATCGCCTGGAGAGGTGTGAATAGATGTCAAGTCAGAAGGAAGGGTAACCCTTACCTATACGGTGGACGAATCGCGAGTGACTTGGTCCCTATCCCTTGGTCATGATCTGTTGGAGCGAGAACTATCTGCAATGATGACGGCTGAGCATGAGAGAAGACTCGGAGTCAAACAATACGTACTTTGGATGCAAAAGACAGTAGGGCCCAGTGCCATCTTTGCGTAAGGGTGCACCTATGCAAAGGAATCAGTTCAGTTCCAACAGAGGAATGGGCCCATACGTTCCGCAAGCTTCTCGATAACGCTGTCGAATATCTTGAGAGGGCGAAGATCAATTTACATGCATCCTCTAGATCTGCTGATGCATTTTGTGCAGCGGAAACTCCAGATGCTCACAGGTCCTGAAAGTAGAGTCATGCCTACTGAGATTGAAATATTGAACGTTGAACCTCAATCTCAATTTACTCACGGTGCGCCTAGTACTCACCGTGACAACCTTGCCAGTCTACTACTTTAAGCTTCCGGAAAGCATCCACTGGCAGCAAGCTGTTTGTAACGAAAAAAATCAAGATTGACAACTCTCTGTACAATAGATACTATTGGACGGATAGTTTCTATTTGGCGGACATGCCTGCAGTCACTGCACTTGGCTGATCCTGAGCCAGGTTCTAGGATTTAGTGATTTAATATCGAGAAGTGGATTCATTTATTCCTCACGATGACCCAGTCGATGGACAGCGGATTATGCAGTAGAACCAAAGTAGAACAGCAGGCAATAAATGACAACAACACTTTCACGGTTTTCCCGAATCAAATTTCACCTTCGGCATCCCTTCTCACATCTACAACGGTCCCTACTGCAGGTGCATCACTCACTAGCACTAGTGCTACCTCTGCGTTGTGCTCTAGCCCTGGAAAATATACTTCCCAAAAAGCCGTCATCAGTGATGCAGTGGGTGGTGCCGCGCTCACTATAATCGCAGTACTCGGTGGCATTTACTGTGACAGATGGCCCGACATGGCGTTTATATTTATGTTTCTGTTCAATTTCTTTGCGCTCAGCTTGTCTATGGAGCGTCTTTCACGGATACTGAACCAAGTTCTTGTACTCTCATTAACAGTGTATGCACACCCACGTGCTCACCTCGTTCCCTAGGAGTCACTCAAAGATACCGCAATTTCAGTTCAATTCGATGAAATAACGAGTTTACAACTGCCACTCTACCCATGACACATATTTTGAGCCCTGGGCGAGCTATCCTCAAACACCGCGCTATACTTTGTGAATGGCAACTTGTCTGAAGCAGAGCCTTGCGACCGAGAAGATGATTCTGGTACGTCGTCCTACAAGCAAGTATTCGACTCAGACGCAGCCTTACTAGTCGTTGTGTGCCCCCTCAGATATCTCCTCTCTCACAACAGGACGCTCACAAATCCCGCATGTAGTCGAAGAACACATTGAAATGCTTCGCAGTGTCCTCCCAGACACGACAATTATAGCTGCTTTGGACATCATTTATCGTGAGGATGGTGAGTAATATGCTACAAATTTTGCAGCTGAATGATGGGCCTTCAGTCATAAAGTACAAGACCTCTTGTAGCCAGCACCACTGCGAAGTTCTTGGCATCACTTCAACATACACCGTCTTTCCCCACCTCGATGACTACATCTACAGCCGTGTCTAGTTACTGCACCTGCCTATCGTTCGTATATGCGGTGCTAGTATCCGAGGACCGTCTCGTGTGTGTTTACGCCCCAATGGTAATAGGTGAATGACGCCGCTGGTAGTGCAAACATGTTTTGACGGTATTCCCTGCAGATAGATTGTCTCGTTGTCTCCATGATGACTTAATGTTGAAATTTGATGTATCTCTCCCTAGAAATTCTACTTGCACTCCTCGATCGCAAGCATATCCTCGTTTCTATCTCTATGAAAGGTCTTGTAGAAATGAGGAGCACCTGATTGAACAACGTGTCAGCGTTCCTTGGTTCTTTGGTTCTTGCTGGCACGACCATCACCGTGAAGACTGAGGTCCGAGGACCTCATCATGATACGTAGCACAAGAATACGACATTTCGGTCTACCTGAACATGGAAAAAATGCCTTCATTGAGTTCAATCTTAATCTTGGTTACTCCATAAGTATTTGCCGCATGAAGTTGAATCATCCACGACACCGCAGTATCGGTCTCTGTAACCGGCAGGTGTAGATGAATCCTTGATCATCCGATCAAGCAATTCTCGATTGCAGCAGGCTGTACAACTGATTTTTTCTACTTTACGAGTAAGTGCAGTTGCTTCGAGTCGATCGTGAATGGTTATTAGTGCTATAGGGTGAAGGAGGTTATCACATAGAACATCTTTCGCTGTGATCCCCTGTAGTTTGACATTCTCCTATGCTTCCGTAGTGTGGTGGCTGGTGAGCGAGAACGAAATGAATTGGATAATGACTTAGATACAGCGACTGACAGTGTCTAAATGATGAGGAAAGGGATGTTCGGGCATGGGCTTTTCAGTCCGGCGCATGTGCACCGCGGGAGAAGGAATTGAGTAGTTTAGTCCGTACCCTGAGAGAGGAAGCAGCGGGTGAGTGTAAATGAATAATAGAGAAAGGCAAAGTAAACGATAGGGGCTATTGCTGGACGACTGAGATATCATGCCATCGTCATGGGTCAGAGCAAGGTGTGCCACCTTGCTCACTCATGCGTAGACTCAATTCTATGCTAACCTCGTGCCTCGGCCAGCGCAGAAATCCAATTCTGCTATCTACCAGGCAAAACCGGTTCTGTCAAACTGGCTGGCAGTATGGGCTCTTCCCAACAATCTTGACTGTTACGAAAATTGGTGACTATTTCGTCAATTATCATTGGATGGACAGTCGTTAGGCTTCATCAGGCCGTTACAATCAGCACCTCTATTGCCGGCCTGGCCAGACCTGAAGACTATCCATCCAATGATGATTGACGAAATAGTCACCAATTTTCGTAACAGCCAAAGTGAGTGAATGTTAAGATCGTCGGGAAGAGCCCATATCTGACATGTTTCAATAGCGAAATCTGATGATAATTCTCCCGACTCAGACACTATCGCAGCAACATTATTCATTCCCCAAGACTAGGCGAATCACTCGCTGTTTTAGTAAGTATCATATGGCTGAGTGCATTTTCCCCTCAGACCGGTAGAACTGGACCTAGTCAGTGCAGTACCGCAAATCTAGAAACATTTCGCTCGTCCAAAAAAATCATGTGCGTACACTGCAAGATATGAAACGTAAGGACTACGGGATGAAATGTGTTGTGAAACATGAGGGCGTCAACCCGCACACTGAAGGAAAGAGATGTCCGAATTCAAGGGTCTGAACGTGTCACTAGTTACATATTCGATAAGAGACTTCAAATGGATATGTTCTTCCTGCGTCACGAATAGTATTCAGCGCATAGTATAAAAAGCCATCTTCCTACCATGTCATTCAGATCGATTTGACCCCATATCACATCCTCACAAACAATGCATCTCCCCTCTGTCGTCGCCGTTGCTTCTGCTTTGATAGCATTGGTATCTGCCAGTCCCGTTAACATTGATAGCAGCGGAAAGTGTCCTATATTGTGCGCGACAGACACTTGCTGCCCTGCGCAGAAATGTACGATGTTGGGCCTCATATATGTGAGTATAAGTATTTGCGTCTTGGATTTAACCACACGACTCACCGGCGTGGTAGCCCGTCTGGACGTGTATGTAAGACGAATGAGTGCCATGTCAGCTACGGTGAGTCGTATTTCTACCTCGATCAGCATCGATACAGATGATGACTGATGGCACGACATAAGAATTATTACTAGTTGATTTGATCAATCTCTTGCTTCTGAACAAATTTGACTGCCGCTCGAGCAATGGGGATATTGGAATAGGGGTCTCAAATGCTTGAATAAATAGAATGACTAAAGTACTTACGAGTTTTGCAGTCTCGTCGTACGCTTGAACATAGAAGCCTCGATGGCACCACAACCCCTCCCCTCATAGGCGCTGTTGACTGCATTTTTAGTCCACTGGAATATGTCATAATCCCACTGAATGGTGGTCTATATCGAAAGTTGTCATTATCAAACTGTGAAAGCTCGAGATCCCGAAGTCTGAAATGGCACTAGGCCGCTGTGAGTGATCCATATACTTTCAACCATGGACGTCTGGACACCGAAATATCGTAGATCTGCAAATGGAGGACTACATGGTAGTCATCGAAGCCATTGATTTGTAAGAAAAAGTATCCGGCACAAAGTGGCGGCTATCAAGAAGGAAGAACAAGCCTCGTTATCACAGGACAAACCTCATGTCATTTTGCGTAAACCAGAAATGAAAATAGGGAGCTGCGTCACATAACGTCGAGAGAGATCGTTCAGGAAATCTGTCGGCAATGCCGATATTTTAATCAACATCATGAAGAACACAGGCAGTGAGCTCGAGGTCAAGTGCTCTAGGCCTCGTACAAGCAGAAACAGCAGGAATAATTGCAAAGACTTGAATGTTTGCACAATGAAGGTAAGATCCTAAAATCCTTGAAATGGGAAGAAGGATATGAGGGCGTGCAGGACGTGGTGCGGAAGACGGAATATGACAGTTACGCGATCTCCAAAATATTCAAGATCGAGAAAGCACAAAAAAGGTAGACATGATCGTCACTCACTGGACCGCTGCAGGCGCACCCATACTCCAATTCCACACCACATCCGTCATGAAATATGTCACCGCGCAATCCCTCGTGAGCTTGTACCCATTGGCACGTTGACGATCGCGAGCAAAGGCTTCATTAGCCTACGCCTATATCTCGAAGGAAAGACCAATCCACGCACAGTGGATGTGCTGATGAAACGTGTCGGGCGAGGATTCCCTTGAAGAAGTAAACGATTCAGGTATAAGGTCAAGTACTTAACAGTAGTGCTGCCGCGGTCCGGTCCAGAACCATGGTTCGAACCGGACTTTTGGTCCGGTTCTCCGCGGTTCGGTCCATGGTTCTCGCGCCAGCCAGAACCGGACCGGAAAACGGTTCTCGGTTCTAGATCTTCCCAAACGGTCCAGTTCTGGTTCGGCCTTCCCGAACCATTCTGAACCCTTATCGACTTCCACTTCGACAACTGTCGTCTTCGGGATTCACGTTGTTGATTAATCAAGCTACATTTAGCCTTTTCGAAGGTAAGCACTAACTAATTAAACTCTCAAGTCTCTCACCCGCTCACCTCTATAACAGGAGGTTCTATTCATTGAGGACCGGCTACAACACTGCGCAAGACTACCTTTTACTGGAGGTGGATGTGTTAGGCGCGGTCAAGGTGGATTTTGGAGGGATTGTGTCTTGCGCTATGCTGCAGAGGTGCGTATTTGTGCTCTGAATGCTGATGGCTCCCTCGAGGGCCAGCACCCATCGCTACCAGCGCACGACCCATCACACGCCACACCACCTGCGCCTATGTTGATGCCCGCCACCTCACCGCATCCCCTCTCACTCGCTTGCTGTTCTTTCTGGCTGGCTTTTGCTGGCTCGCTCGCCGTGTCTCACTCACCCACTGTCTCTTGCTCACTGTCTCACACACCCGCTGGCTGCTCTCGCCCACTGTCTCTCACCCCGCTGTCTCTCACCCTCCGTCTCTCTCACTCACCCACTGTCTCTTGCTCACTGTCTCACACACCCGCTGGCTGCTCTCGCCCACTGTCTCTCACCCCGCTGTCTCTCACCCTCCGTCTCTCTCACTCACCCACTGTCTCTTGCTCACTGTCTCACACACCCGCTGGCTGCTCTCGCCCACTGTCTCTCACCCCGCTGTCTCTCACCCTCCGTCTCTCTCACTCACCCACTGTCTCTTGCTCACTGTCTCACACACCCGCTGGCTGCTCTCGCCCACTGTCTCTCACCCCGCTGTCTCTCACCCTCCGTCTCTCACAGCCTGCCTCGATGACCTACTATCGGATCCAAAGGTGAATCGATATGCATGTTAACAGAGCTGACGTGGTAGCTGCATGTACCTACTGCACAAAAGATTGAATTTGTGAATCAAGAACGGGGAATGGTTTGAGATTGAGAGAGGCAGGACAAGCACGGAAATGGGTTGAGGGTGGACACGTGAATGCGTCATGTGTTGACGAATTAAAAAAGTGTTATAAGGATTAGATACCGTAATGCTAATGAACTGCAGGTTCCTGAATTACTGCTAGTCGCTGCAATCCAGATGACGTGCGCACGTAGACGAGTCTAGATCTTAGGCATTGGTGGTCGACCGGTCACCGGTCAATATTAATGCCCACCAGTGATTCCTGCAAAGGCACAGTACGCGTTCTACACTGACTCGGATAGGCAGTGATACTAGCTACATATATTTCATGCACGTAAACAGTGTCTCAAAGTTTATCTCATTTTCGACGAATCACGCGTCATTGCAAAACGACCGACGGTTCTCCTACATCAGAGCATTCAGAAATGCAGTTATCTGAGGACGAACAAGGGGTTGCATGAATGATGGGAAGTGACGGGACTTCGAGCATAATTTGTACCCGAGCTGCTCACTATGTGCGAAAACCACATCTAACATGCGTGTGTGATACGTATGCTGCAGCTGTATGGTATCATCTTTAAAGTAGTCCAAACACTTTGAAACAACAACACACGACTACAATATCTCCATGGTCCTGATGTTCATCGAGTCTCCAACGGAAACCACGTCCTGGACTTGTCCGATGATATCATAATGCGTCGCGATCCTCTTGCATTCTCCACTGTGCTGCTGCGCCAGCAAAAATGCGCTGAAAGGCTGCCCAAGGCGAACAAGCAGCCGCAATGCTCGTGATTCTAGGTCAGATATCGCCTGTTTTACGAGAGAACCACCAGACCAGGCGTCTGGCGGAGAAGGCGGCGTTCCATAATCCTCCTCACTCTCTGTATCATTTCCATAGTCAGACGGTTCTATAAATTCAGATAGCTCCAGGAGAGACCGATCCCAGGGACGGACAAGGACAAATTTTCGCTCAGTGGGCCTTGCCGGCCAGAACTGAACCAGGGTCTCTGCGGTGGTGATAAGCAAGTCGTGAAGTCCGTCTGCCTTCACTTCATACGTGAAATGAGTTTCCGGGGCCGGACTACGCACTCGTCTGACTTTCCTGACATTGAAGGCAAGACAAGGCAGATGCAGTCTCTGTGCTGCGAAGCGAGGGACGCTCGTGTTCCGAAGTAGGGTATAAAGGTTCGAAGCGAAGTCGGTAGCCACCGTCTTTCGCAGCGAAGAAACCGATGACTGAATTTCTTCCTCGGGTAGGGGTGGTAGCTGGCATGGTGGAGCTTCGTACGAAGTGATGGAGGCTGGTAGACAGCTGTTGAACTCTGATGATTCTCCGACCCAATCGAGGCCAGTGATGTCCCCCGACCGAGCCACGATCTCCTGCAGGAGCCGTCCGAGAGCCTTGTCCTGCTTCTCACCATAATCTACAGGCAGGCGGACGCCAAGGACGCCAAACAACGAGTATGCGATGTCTTCCTGACGCGTGGTAACGCGGATTGACGCCCAATGAAGTTTTTCTCGTGCGTTATGCATACTAGGACGAAAGGCCACAACGGCTGGTCGGTCTATTCCCGTTGCGTCCTTTATCTCCTGCATGATTGCGATGGAATCCTTGTGGTTTAGAGTACGATCATTACGATAAAGAGTCCAATCGTTCTGATAAAAGAGAATGACTTTGGAAGCTATGAACTCCTGAAACGTCCATCCGCGCGTGTTCCAAGCGCTCTTCGCCAGTGCGCCAGACTTTGACGATGGCGGAACATCAGACAGGTAGACGATCGTGAGCGCAGAATGATGATACCATACGAACATGGAGTTGACCGATTCTTGGACTTCGACATTGTTGCTCTTGTCGATGCAGCATGTATCGCTCCATGCCCAGTTATACCCCGCATCACGAGCAGTTTTGCAGAAAGACCGCAGCTTCGTCATGCCGCCGACTGGAACCAACTCCGAGTCGTACACGCACTTGCCCTGAGTATCCTGCAGCAGCGGCTCCTTCCCTTCCCACCTGTGTGATAGCATAGCATATTGCAGGTATGTCTTCACCACTTCTTCGATGTGCTCGATGTGCAAGTTTGCATGCGTGATTGTTGATGACACGAGCTCCTTATACTGCGTGCTCATTTTGAAGGCGTCTATCTGCGTCTCTCGATCGCATAAGAGACCGGTGTTGGTGTCGAGTACACGCAGCGGAGCGTTGTCGAGTTGGGTATCAATGACCCGTCGGATGGCGCGTTCTACTTGAGAAGGTCTGAGATACTGCTGGCGCAGCTCTGGAGAAAGAGTTAAACATGTTGACAAATGCGTTATCAGAGCCTTACTTCGCGTGTGAACATCAGGTGCATTGTCCAATATCGAGAGCATCGTTTGGAAGGTTTCAATCGCTTCATCATAGCGCCGCACACCATGAAGCGCTGCGTGCTTCAAATTGTATCCAAGATAAGACAAAGAGTCGAGTTCGATGACCTATGTATCGCTACAATGAACATTAGTTATAGGACAATAGCTCCGGTCGCACCTTCTGCGCATCGAGAAGTGCTTCCATCCACAGCATTTTGCCTAACTTTGCCTTGCTACGATTTGCAAACACAACATCAGATGCAGAGTTCGAGTTGATTACCGCCGAGTATAGGTAGATAGCCTTGTCATAATCGTTCACAGCGAGGGCGGAATCTCCGTTGGCAGCACATAGCACGCTACATTGTTCCTTGAATTCTGAGTGAAATGCAGGTGAGTATGATGGCCTCGGTGACATCACTAAAACTCGCCATTGGACCAATCGAGGCAGCTGGCCTTCGTAGATTCATCAACGGCGTTCATCATGTATTCGTGTGCTTCAAGTGCCTTATCGAGTTTACCTGCTGAAAGGAAAGCCTGGCACCGTTTCTTGTGTGCAATGAGCAACAAGGATTTGAGGTCCCAGCCAAAGAGCTGGAAAAAGCACTAGGTTATGAAAAGCATTATATATGCATCATCTTGACACACCATGGTCAAGTCCTCATACGTCAAATGAATGTATCTTGACGAGAATGCAGTAGAGTTGACAGCAGCAGTGAAATGATCAGCGGCCTCGTCGTAACGCGCACCATCCAAGGCTGTGATTCCGATATGAACACGCAAATATGTCTAATGTGCGAGCGGCGAAGGTCAGCATTGAGGCCTCAAGGACCAAGCGTAGCCCATGATACTGACTTCCACGACACGACGCGCGAGAGGCTCGACATTTGGACAAGCAGTATCCAGCTCTTTTATAGACAGAATTGCTTCCTCGTGTTGATCTGCGTTGAAGAGTGCGATGGCCTGGAATACCGGATGAAGCAGATAGCATGGGAGACGGATTAAATGTACCTTGATCAAGAGAAGAAATTGCTTGGTTTCTGGATCTTGGTTCGTGAACATAGATACAACGTCGAATGCTACCCTTGCTTCCCGGACATGACCTTTTCCACGGAGGGCGATGCCTTTCGAGATAAAGCCAATCAATGATGGTTTAATGTTGATTGACTATGTCACGCATGAATGTTAGCCTTCTGTATCATGACAATTATGGGTGGGTCCATCTCACCTTGATTGCATCCTCAAGGGCGTTGTCCAAGTTGTGCTTCCGGGCCATAACGAACGAACGATTGGCATATGAAGTAAAGTCGTCGGCGTTGGTGTGGATCTCTTGAGTGAGGAGCTCTTCAGCGAGAGACAAATCCCCAGTTAGACATGCATTGCGGGCTGTTGTGACGTCAAGGATCTGCACGAAGGATGCTCGAATTGGATAATGAGAGTCAGAAATGGAAACTCACCTTTGAATGAGCGTCCTTTGGTATTGCCCACTGTAACATCTTATTGTCTTCACCTCCGCTGAGGATGTGCTTGCCATCCAGAGAGAATGTGACACATGTCGCGGTGAATGAATGCTGGAAGATAGCGATGATTCGTTGATCTGAAAGTCGCCAGAGACGGACATGGTTGTCATCCGATGCAGAAGCAACAAGGGTGCCGGCGGGATGAATGGCAATGGCGTTGATATCATCAGTGTGGCCTTCCCAGGGGATGACCGACCTGCTGCCAAGTTGATGTGTCCCACTCCAGTATATATTTACTGCCTCCTGAAAGAAGGCGTGTGCTATCGGGCGTCCACGCGAGTGGCAACCTGAACTTCCATCTGTCATTGTGACCTGTCAAAGATGCGACGCGTTCCCTTGTGCCAGAATTATAAATTTGGATACTATCTGATGTTGCGATGGCAAGAAGTTCACCAGAAGGCGAATATCGAACGCAGTTGACTTCATCATCGCACTTGATTCGATCTCCTTGCATCTGCCACGTTTTGGTACTCCAAAACTTCACCGTGTAGTCCCATGAACCAGTGGCCAGCACCATTCCATCCAGAGAAAAATCCACCGAGGTGATGACTTTGAAGTGGGCTTTGATGGGTTTGGTGATGGATTTGCCAGTTTCACCGTGCCAGGCGATGACCTCTCCATTTGAATCACCGCTTGCTATGATTTTACCATCTCGCGATATCGTCAATGCCCACACCCTACTGCTATGCGCTTCCATCTTCTTCAACACAACACCTGTCTCCAAGTCCCAAAGACGAAGTGTCCTGTCGTCCGAGCCCGTAATCATTCGTCGTTTGTCAGGGAACACTGCAACTGCGTTTATGTCCTTTTCGTGATTTTCAAAAATTCGAATGGGCGTGGTGCTTGGAATGAGCTGTGACATTTTACTAGTACTGGACGTTGATGGTGTTGAGCACAGCCGAGGGATTGTGGGCGTCTTTCTCTAAGTTACAGAGGTGCGTGTATTGTGCGTTTCTAGGTTGCTTCACAGCGCTAACCTTCCTCGTTTGCATAGACGCCCAAGATATGAGGCAGTTCGCCACCACCGTTTCAGCAAGAATGCTCCCAACCGGTCATAACCGACTACACTGGCTACATGCGTCCGACATTTATCTTCACGGTTTCAAGTCCTACCGAGACATCAAGCGAGTATCACACCTCTCCAACAAACTTTCAAGTTCAAGTCTTGTGTCTTGTGTCTTGTGTCTCATGGCCGCTCACCTCACGGCTCGCTGTAGACTAGTATAAAGTATATGCGTGTCTATGGTGCATCTTGTAACTTGTCGCGGTCCCACCCTCTAAGGATTTGGAACCAGGGACCCTTAGGCTAGATGGAGGACCCGAACAAGATCCATCAGCAAGGATGAATCGCTCGTGGGCAGAAGGGAGTTGTGGAGCTATTATCGTGAGTTCCGGTGCATATGTATCGACCCTTGTCACAGCTAAACTATAATGGTGACAATGTGAGTCGGCCGAATATTATCGGGCCCACTTTGCTTATCTATGTTTCACACAGCCAGGGTGTTTATGTTTATCCTCTGGGCTATACACAAACTCTGTTCCAGGGGCTTGCCACAGCAGCGGGATATGATCCCGTCGCAGACGCCGGCTCGTCATGCCTTGCAACAACTGCTTCTGGCCAATGTGTATTTCTCTGGGGTAGCAGCACAAAGTCAGTTTCTAGTGTGGTGCTAATCGCGAATGGCATCAGTTTCGCCATAATGTCAGCCATATTCACTACCATCGGCTCTGTTACTGACTATGGCACGTTCGGATCGTACTTGCTGTCACGGTGGTATGCTGAGCTGCACACTATGACTGTATGGCGCTTACCTGTGCGTTTACGAATGCACGTCAGTTGAGAGAAAAGTATGGAAGCAGCCATATTCCTCCTGAATTTTATGAGTAAGAAGAATCCATGGAAAAGAATGAGATCAGTAATATCTCTAGCGTGCGTTGTAAGGGCTGTGTCTTTTGTCGTCAGAAGCTAACAATCTTTCGATACAGGTTCATAGTAATGTCGGGTATATAACCTTGATATAAGCACCTTATTGCTCAACTTGACGCTTTTGCTGCCGATGACGAACAACCCCAAGTTGGACAATTATGTCCTCATGCCGTAAGTTTTTTGTCAATCAAGTCTTCGAAGCATTTGTATTGATTGACGTGTAGTCTCACCACGTACTGGGTAGTACTTGGTATCTAGTGGTGTGAGTATATTGTAGCTTATCTCTAGTAGGCTTCTGTTGAGAACCACCGGGTTATCCTCCAGAAACCCAGGCTAGGCCCTAGTTTGCCTGAAGGTGGACACCACATAACGATCGGATGGAAGGAGGTGAGCATTTGGCAAAATCTTCCTTAGAAATCTACTCACGCGAACATCAGATCAGGGCTGCGCTGAAGACATACAAGCATCTTCCCTACAGCTTTGTGTATCTGTTCTCCTTCCTCCTCACAGATGTACTGTTTAGTTGTCTGCCTCTCGAGCCGCACCTGGCATCTTCTCGGACAGGGGCTGAATACCACTGGAACTCTCGTTACCATTTGCCAGAACAGCAAGTTCAGTTTCTCGCTCCTGCAAGATATCCCCTTGGGCTTGTCACAGGCGACTACCTCGACTATGAGTGCCGCTGAGTCACTTATTCTGCAGTTCCTGGACCATACACAACTTATCTTGCTAACCGTGGTACTGGCGCAAATCAGTTGTGAGTAACCCGATACTGAACCTGCCAGTACTTTAGGCTTGCGGAAAGCATTGGAGCGGTGTATCCGCGACTGTGTGCCTGCGTATCGCGAGCAAGGCAAGAAGTGGTGAAGAGCACTACGCTACGACAAAGCCCGAAGGACACTGAGTGGCTGACTAATCTACGGTGCTACCCGGCTGCTGCTCCGCCCCTAACCTAGGGGTCCCCCACTCCAGCATCCAGCAAGCTGTTTGCAATGAGATTGACAACTGTCTTGATTCAATATCGAAAAGTAGATTCGTTCATTCCTCTTTTACCTTCGGCATCCCTTCTCACATCTACAACGGTCCCTACTGCAGGTGCATCCAGGATCCCTCACTAGCACTAGTGCTGCCTCTGCGTTGTCTAGCTCTGGAAAATGTACTTGACAGAAAGCTGTTTCCGAACAACCTTTCCGCACTCAGCTTGTCTAACGTCTTCTACGAATACTGAACCAAGTTCCTGTACTCTTAATGTGTGCACACTCACGTACTCACATCATTCCCTAGTAGCCACTCAGAGATACCGTAATCTCAGTTCAGTTCGATGAAATCACGGGTCTACAACGGCCACTCTATCCATGACACATATTTTGGGCCCTACGTGGGCTGTCCTAAAACACCGCGCTATATTTTGTGAATGGCAGCTTGTTTGAAGCAGAGCGTTGCGACCGAGAAGATGATTCTGGTACGTTGTCCTATAAGCAAGTATTCGACACAGACGAAGCCTTACTAGTCGCTGTATGCCCCCTCAGATCTCTCCTCTCTCACAACAAGACGCTCACAGATCCCACCTGTAGTCGAAGAAGGCATTGAAATGCTTCGCAGTGTCCTCCCAGACACGACAATCATAGCTGCTTTGGACATCATTTATCGTGAGGATGGTGAGTAATATGCTGAAAATTTTGCGGCTGAATGATGGGCCTTGAATCATAAAGTACAAGACTTCTTGGGACCAGCACCACTGCGAAGTTCTAGGCATTACTTCAACATACACCGTCTTTCCCCACCTCGATGTTGCATCTATAGCCGTGTCTGGTTACTGCACCTGCCGATCATTCGCATATGCGGTGCTAGTATCCAAGAGCCGTTTTGTGTGAATTCACATCCCAATGGTCATAGGTGAATGACGCCGCTGGTAGTACACACATATCTTGACGGTGTTCCCTGCAGATAGATTGTCTTGTTGTCTCCATGATGACTTACTGTTGAAATTGACGGGACATGTCTGTCTGCACTCCTCGATCGCAAGCATATCTTCATTTCTATCAAAGGTCTTGTAGAAATAAGGAGCACCTGATTGAACAACGTGTCAGCGTTCCTTAGTTCTTTGCTTCTTGATGGCACGACCATCACCGTGAAGACTGAGGTCCTCGGACCTCTTCATGACACGTAGCACAAGAACACGACATTTCCGTTCTATCCGAACATGGAAGACATCCCTTCATCTTGGTTACTCCATAAGTATTCGCAGCATGGAGTTGAACCATCCACGACACCGCAGTATCGGTCTCTGTAACCGGCAGGTGTAGATGGATCCTTGATCATCTAATCGAGCAATTCTCGAGGCTGTACAACTGATTTTTTTGTCTACTTTACAGGGAAGTGCAGTTGCTTGAGTCTATCGAGAAGGGTGAAGAAGGTTATCACATAGAACATCTTTCACTGTGATCCCCTGCAGTTTGACATTCTACCGGTCTATGCTTTCGTAGCGTGGTGGCTGGTGAGCGAGAACGAACTGAATTGGACAATGACTTAGATACAGCGATTTGACAGGGTCTAAATGATGAGGAAAAGGATGTTTGGGCGTGGGCTTCTCAGTCCAGCGCATGTGCACTGCAGGAGAAGGAATTGAGTAGTTTAGCCCGTACCCTGAGAGAGGAAGCAGCGGGTGGGTGCAAAAGAATAATAGAGTCACTAGATGGAGTAAACGATAGGCAGATCTCAGGCTACTGCTGGACAACTGAGACTCAACTATCATGCCATCCTCGTGGGTCAGAGCAAGGTAGCACACACCTAGGTGTGCCTCACTCATGCGTACACTCGATTCTATGCTACTCCCTTCCCAAAAATCTTGACTCACTTCGGCTGTTACGAAAATTGGTGACTATTTCATTAATCATCATTGGATGGACAGTCTTAAGGCCGTTACAATCAGCACCTCTATTACCGGCCTGACCAAACCTGAAGAATATCCATCCAATGATGATCGACGAAATAGTTATCAATTTTCGTAACAGCCAAAGTGAGTCAAGATTGTCGGGAAGTGCCAATATCTGACATGTTTCGATAGCGAAATCTAATGATGATTCTCCCGACTCAAACACCATCCCAGCACCATCATTCATCCCCAACAATCTTGCTTTTCTAGTAAGTATCATACGGCTGAGTGCATTTTCCCCTCAGACCGGTAGAACTGGTCCTAGTCAGTGCAGTACCGCAGATCTAGAAGCATATCGCTCTTCCAAAAAAAATTTCACGTGCGTACACTGCAAGATATGAACCATAATGATTACGGGATGAAATGTGTCGTGAAGCACGAGGGCGTCAACCTTTACACTGACGGACAGAGATGTCCGAATTTAAGGCCCTGAACGTGTGTCACTAATTGTATGTTCGATAAGGGAACTTCAAATGGATGTTCTTCCTGCGTCACCCAGACCACGAAGAATAATATTCAGCGCATAGTATAAAAAGCCGTCTGCTTACTACCGTCTCATTCAGATCAATTTGACCCCATATCACATCCTCACAAACAATGCATCTCCCCTCTGTCGTCGCCGTTGCTTCCGCTTTGATAGCATTAGTATCTGCCACTCCCGTTAACATTGATAGCAGCGGAAAGTGCCCTATATTGTGCGCGACACAAAGTTGCTGCGCTGGGCACAATTGTCAGATGATGGGCCTCGTATATGTGAGTATAAGTATTTTGCGTCTTGGATTTAACCACACGACTCACCGGCGTGGTAGCCCGTCTGGACGTGTGTTTAAGACGAATGAGTGCATGGCACGTCAACGTTTCAACTACGGTGAGTCGTATTTCTACTTCGATCAGCATCGGTGCACATGATGGCTGATGGCACGACATAAAAATTACTAGTTGATTTGATCAATGTCTTGGTTCCGAACAAATTTGACTGCCGCTCGAGCAATGGAGATCTTGGAATGGAGGAAATCTCAAATACTTGAATAAATAGAATATGACTAAAGTACTTACGGGTTTTGCAGTCTCGTTGTACGCTTGGACATAGAAGCTTCAATGGCACCATGACTCCTCCCCTCATAGGCGCTGTTGACCAGTTATGGATGCATTTTTAGTCTGCACTGGCCCACTGAAATATGTCACAACCCTACTAGATGGTGGTCTATATCGAAAGTTGTCGTTGTCAAACTGCGAAAGCTCGAGATCCCGAAATCTGAAATCATGATGGCACTAGGCCGCGGCGAGTGATCCATGTACTTCCAACCATGGACGTCTGGACAACGAAAATATCGTAGATCTGCAAATGGAAGACTACATGGTAGTCATCAAAGCCATTGATTTGTGAGAAAAAGTATCCGGCACAAAGTGCCGGCTGTCAAGAAGCAAGAACAAGCCTTGTTATCACAGCTGGACAGACCTCATGTCATTTGCGAAAACCAGAAATGAAAACAAAGAGCTACATCACAAAACGTCAAGAGAAGTCGTTCAGGAAATCCGTCGACAATGTCGATGTTTTAATCAACATCATGAAGAACACAGGCAGTGATCTTGAGGTCAAGTGCTCTTAGCCTCGTACAAGCAGAAACAACAGGAATGATTACAAAGACTTGAATATTTGGATGTTTGCACAGTAGAGGTATTTGAAGAAGAGATGCCAAAATCCTTGGATATTGCAATTTGTAAGCTGGACGCTTACCATTTGCTTACGAATCATGGATCACGTGCAACGTTCCCTTTATATTGTGACGCTCGACGTCATATTGCACTCGGGTCTCCTACCTACTATCACCTGCCCACCTGTATAACGTTCTAAAGAATCATAACTTCGTGATCAGCTCAACTTCGTCCTATTAATCCCTCCCGATTCGTCTTAGTGTGACTCGCCGATCCTTGGCGAGTTTCCAGATATCAGGGCCACGTGCAGGACGTGCCAGTGTTTGGCATTTTCCAGGCGCCTTACTACACGTTCTCCCAGACAGTCATAGCTGAGCCCGGTTCTGATAACATGATGTGTATTTTGGCTTTGTGGTACTTCCCATCCCATTGCGTTCGGCTTACATCGACCAGTTCTTCGGTCACTCAAGTTGGTTTATCCAATCGCGCTTTTTCTATGGTAGGACCCAATGTCATATAGGTCATCATCAACAAGACAGAAGTGGTTTTTGTTCTTCTTTGCGTTGTGTATGGCTACTCCGGTGATCTGGTTTGACGTTGATGTGACAAAGGGGCACAGGAGGTGGGCGGCTGGTTACACAGAACAATCGTTATATATATGCATTGCTCTTTGGAATGACTTTGGGCATTTCCGATGTATCCATCATGTCAGGATACAACATTCGATGTACATCTACTAATGAAACAACATTGGCCAAACGACGTAGTATGCACAAGCAGACCCTATATGCATGTGACCGGAAATCCCTATAGTACAAGTCAAGTACAAGTAATGATGCTAGTAACACATAGTTAAGGTGTCTGGGTATGGTAAAATGATTAATTTAAAAAATGGGGAAGGAAAGAAGGCAACAGAAAAACGGTGAGGAAGTCCTAACACATTCCAGATGATTAAGCATCACTGTCACTCGCATTACTGTCGGTCTCATCGTTGCCCCAGACAGCAAATGCGCGGGGTTGATGTTGGTCGTAATCCCTCGAATCTACTCGGTGATAGTTTCTGCGACCCGAGAGCGTATCTGCGATGGTGGGAGTCTGAAGATTGTCATCAAATTCCCTGTCCTTAGGAATACGACTACGACCACTTGAATATTGTTCCCGAGAATGTATATCGTCCCGAGCACCACGCTGCGCAACGTGCATGGTCGACAATGAATCATCCGAAGAGTTTGAAAGTGCAGGGGAGGGCGTCCTTAATTGATGGTCAATGTGGAAGGGATTGATATGAGGCGGACGATGTGCGGGTCCAGCGAACCGTCCTGGAGTATCAACACCAGAACGCAGACCCGACCTTGAACGCGAACGTGATTTGGCCGAACGAGACGATTTGAGATGACGTCCTTGAGTGAGTGCAAGCGCAGCCAACTGCGGTGTCGAGAGCAAATCCTCATCTGTCTGGGAGCCTATTTCCTCACGAGCTTTTGCAAGACCAACTGCAGCATCTGTAGCATTTAACACGTTCGGAACTTGGATACCAGCACGTCCGACGGTCGAAGCCTCAGGCGACGAATCATCAATGTCAAATTTGACATCTTCATCTTCATCGTCAGACGTCTCATCCTCCTCTTCATCCTCCAAAGTTTCATCAAATATGTCATCAAGCTGCATTTTTTCAGCTCTCCTCGGTTTCCCCAGGCTGGATTTCCGTGACGGGCCCTCTTCGACTACAACAAACGATTTTTGACGCTCGCGTTCATTCCATTTTAGGGTTCGTGAGATGGCGTGGAACCAGTCGGTTGACTGTTTGTCCGCGCAAACAGTCGGGAAAGGGTATTTGGAAGCAGTTATTTTGATATGATCACCCTCTGCAAAAGAAGTAAGCGACAGAATGAGAAGTAGCATCTAATGACAAACGTTGCAGTTCCACACGGCCTCGGCCGTCGAAAGACACCCAAGCGGTGCTACGAGAATTATATGGGACACAAATGCGAAGCTCCATACTGTCGGGAAGAAGCATGGGACGGAACGATAGCGTGTGAGGGCAGATGGGACTGATAAGGATTGCAGGTATCTCGGGGTGAACCAAGGACCCTCCGGCAGATAACTACACAGAAAGGAGTTAACATCAGTGACCGATCAGTGAAAGTGAGAAACCTACCGAATAAGCGGTGGAACCGGTGGGCGTGGCTACACAAAGCCCATCAGCTTGCACGGTTGTCATGTGGTGTTCGTCGCCTTCAAAATCATAAATATATATATCCCAAATATCAGAAGAGGTAACACACCAAATAATTCAAGCAAGCTGACATAGGGACTGGGTCCCCGGTCCACCACAAGATCATTGATGACCTCAAACGTCTCAACTGGTCTTGTTGTGAAGCACATGATCTCCTTGTCCTTCGAACACTTGCCGCCCTCCGAGGTGGTAAATCCGCCAGACCAGCCTCCTTCGAGTGCTTCCCATCCTCCTTTGTTTACATCCTTCATCATGATCTCGCCTGTTTCACCCTTTTTCACGGCCTTGCGGCACTTTCTCTTGTCGAATACAGCACGATAGACCGTACAAGTAAATCGCATGCGTAGGTTGACACGAATACCTGTGTCGATGGCTGAGTCTACAACCGCTTGATAGTCAGCGAAGTCGAAATTAGTGAGAAAGCCGAGGGAGCCGAGTGCGAAAGAGAGAACGGGAGGAACAATTCGCTGAAAGAGCCATGATGTGAAAAGAACAGTGCCATCTCCTCCAAGCTAAGTCTCAAAATAAGTGAACTCAACGAGACGTGTGAGATGGATCGCTTACCGTGATGACAAAATCGAACAGATGTGGACTATTTCGGCACATATCACTAGTCCAGTATCGTAGCTGACCCTCCTGGGGCGTGTTGAAATCATCTTGATGAGTGGATGACGATGACAAGGAAGAGAGAGAGTTGCTGCTGGACGACCGTCTTCGTGGGAGAGGCTCAAACAATTCTGGATGATCTCTTTGTAAACCTTCGGCGTCAAACCTCCTCGAACTGCGCAGTTGATGGTCTACATAGCTGATGAAGTCATCGTAAACGCCCTGGATAATATACTAGGCTCAAAACTCACACAATAAGGCCTCGACCCCCTTGACGATGTTTAAGCATCAGATACAATGCAAGTTCACGCGTCAGGTTGATAAGGCGGTTATCCCTGGCCTTGGTTACAATGAGGACGCTCTGGATATTGGATTGTATTCGAGCGCGTCCTGAAGGAGTATAGTTATTGAGTGAATAGAAAGTCTGAGAATAAGAACAGTGCTCACCGAGTTGCTTGCTCATTTCACGAACCCCGACTGCTGTCTCTGCCAGTTGTTTCGTAAGGTTGCCGCCATATGTATCGCTATCATCATCTTCTGAGACTTCATCAGGATAAGAGAATTCAAGGTGGTGTTGAGGCTGATGGTGTTGCTGAAGAGCCTTGGCGACTCCAACGTCTGATCCAGGTACCTCGTTATCCTTAGTATGGACATCAAGCCAGTCCTGTAGCGATGCCCCTTTATCTAGGTGTGAATGTACGAAGCAAGGTGACTTTGCAGATAGACTCCTATGTTCGATGGGCATTGCTAACGATGAACTGGGACTGGAGTTTGAGCTCGAGCTTGAAATTGATTTGGGCGATTCGGTAGATGGAGGTGCCATAAAGAGGTCGTTGTGAATTGGTGTTGTGGGATTATCACCTGGACTTATCCGTTGTGCCACTGCGGCCTTTCCTGAAGGTGGTTGTTGCTCTACCACAACGTCATGATGCCATGTGATGTTTGTATGCAGCGATGATAACGACGATAACAGCGATAGCCGACTGTTTTTTCTCGATAACGAGGGTCGAATCACGTTTTCTGTGGGCATACCGTCCGCTCGTCCGTCTGCTGGCGAGGTTGGTGGAGTGGAATACGTCTCAATCTCTTCAGACATTTCAGGCTGCCAGATATACCGTGGTCGTTCTTGGGTTATTATTGGGAGACGCACAAGAGACGCAGCTGGGAAGTTAGTATCTCCTTTGATTCCCAAATGTCTTTACACTTTATATTTGTTCGCATCAGGTTTTCAAGCCTCGGCTTCGATAGAAGTCTCCCAGACAACTCAGGTGCAGCCGCCACCTTGATGGCTGATACAATACGTCTCTCGATGGCACTGTCTATTGTAATATACCAAAATCTTCATTATCAACACTGTCGAGCACCGCCATTGGACATAAGACATCGTTTACACGACAAACGTGAACTTAATCTTCTCACAACAGCCCTGACCTCTGTGACCCTTCACACCTAAATCTGGCACTGCAGATTAGACGAGGCATCCCTTCCCATCCAAGTATCCTGCAAGGGATACTTCCATCTGCGCAGGTATCCCTACTTGGTGTCCAGAGGTGTCCAGGGACACCGGGGGCTGTCCATTTGATCGTCTCTCGTCACCGTGGTTTGTTTGATGTAAGCACGTTGGCTTGTTAGAATTCCCATAACTTACGCAAATGCTGTAAGCTTTCAGTATCACTGCCTTTTAGCGTAACGGCTAAGTGGATGACTCAGTTACATTTGATCATCAATGCTCATTTGGAAATTGCAGTCTAATCACCATTGCATAGGCGTAACGCCTCACGTACCTGCTTATGCAGAAACTGCGGCCTAGGCGCTCCGTAGATGCCCTAAGGCGGCCTGACTGATATTAATAGCACCAAATTGACTTCCCCGGACAACTCAGCAACGCTCGCCCATCCAGATGACCATATTGCCATGGCAAAGTTACGATTATACCTCTGGATGTTACGTCCTCTCGGAGTCTCAAGATTGTGGGTGAAGAATTACAATTGGCGAACTTCGGAATGGTCCCGCTCATCCACACGAACACACAAGTCCTTAATTGTTATATTGTTATATGATTTCAATGCATGGGTAGTACGTGTATGACAGTGCCATAGTAACCAAGGTGGTTGCTTATACTGCTAGAAAAACTTCAAAAGAATACTGTACCCCGCAGAACAAATCTTTCCAGCTTTCTGTAATCTGGTCGATCTTTGGCTACTGCCCAGAGCCAGATATCTAGTTCGGGCAATGTAATATTTTTCAGCCATGTTTGCTCTTTACTGAGTTGTCCATCGCCCCTTGCATATTGAACAATTCTCTCGCAAGCGTGTACGGCAGCCGCACGCAAAAGATAGGCCTGCTCCGTCGTGAGTACAGGACCATCCTTTGGGGGTGTTTTCTTCGTATCTTGCGCAACTGCTTGTGAAGCCTCAGGAGGTGAAGCCAAGAGTGTGTTAATCTTATCTTCGCTCTCGGCACCAGGGAACAAATCATGAAGTTCGTGAGATGTTGCGCCGGTCAGGTCCAAAACTCCCAAATGGACCAAAAGGGATGGCAAAACATTATCGGTGAACACGGGTGCCTGAGCTGTGCTGGGGATGTGAAACGGTGGCGAAGAACCAAAACGGATCTTCACTGCATGTATAAGAAAAAGTGCCTTTTTGAAGCAGTACACCGCTTCGCAAATTTGATCAGTGTGACGACAGTTTTAGCTATGATCTGCCGCCCACTCACGTTTCCCGTTGACAACTGCCATGTCGCGGAAAGCTGGAATAGCTCTGACCAGCTATTTCAAAAGAGTTGATTATTCGGTGGTTGCGAGGTGTAAAAAATCGCGACCCACCCTCTCTAACACGATTCCAAGACTTGCGCTAGGATCAGCCTTTGCTCCTTCCTTCAAGCTCTCCAAAACAAAGCTCCCTAAGTCCGAATATCCTGAAGCCTCCAGAATCTGACCCGTCTCGATTAGGGTCGAGCTGATCAGTTTCACCAGCTCATATATTGGTCCACCGAGTTCCCCGACCGTGAGACCAGGGATCTTCTCATGAGGTCGCTCGACGTGGATCGTGACGCCCATGTGTTGTGCCACTTGCTGCTCACTCATCGTCTTCATGCCTTTCGCAGAAAGTAAATCTCCCTGCCCTGTCGCAGAGGACAGATAAAGAGAGAATGTAAACGCCCGTATATTATCCCATGCACCTCGTCCGGTCTGTTCGTGAAGTGGCACTCGATATCCGGAAGCGAAATTCAGGAGAGAAAGAACAGACAAAAAGTTTAGCTCTGATAAGAGTGAGGGGAACTTGAGAGGGAATGCAAGCCCGTGAGAACCCGAGACACGATGAAATGAGGATTGAAAAGAGGGAGATTCCAGGAGGCGTCTGATAGCGGCATCTTCAACCTAACGAATCAACCGGTCAAAGGCTGATCGCAGAAAGAAATCCTTGGCAGATCAACACGAAATGTATGCGATAGATTGCAAGGATAACAAACAGACATGGATGGTGCGACACATAAAGACAAGCTGAATGCGGAGAAAAAATAAGTACTCGTCAAAACGCTCACCTTGATATGTGCGGCCACTGTCGCAATTCGGCAAGACTCTTTGATGGATGAGACGAAAGTCCTAGATGAGGGAAAATCAGGTTCCATGGGCCCCAAACCACTGTGCATGTCATGTATATGCAAGACTGTAGTAGTGCAAAGTGACGGAAACTACCGTATATGATGATAGAACCAAAAGATTTAATCCAGTCGCAGTTCAAGTCGCAGTCCGATTTGACACTGTTCCACAGTTGTTTTTCATACGTCGAGAAAATTCTGATGGGTAAAGAGCTATAATGTCAAATATAAGAGAGGCCTGCTGAAGGAGAACAGGCAGGTGGCAGGCAGGGCGTAGGGAGCGGTGGCACGGGTCAGACTCAAGTGTGTGGGGTCTTGAGCAATGACATAATACACTTGCGGTCATTGTTTAGTGAAACAGAATGATGCGATTCCAACCGAGGCCCCAGGGAATCAGGGATGCACAGAGCGCGGGCGACCGACATGCTTCAAACACGCGTACACCATATCGGAGAAAGCGCCATATTGTGCGATCATACAACCATTTCGTACAATTACACTACCACAATAGACCACCACTAAAGAAACGTACATTCACTGCTACGACACGTCAGCTCCGCTTCGGAATGCCATCTACATTGTGTTGCATTGCCTAACATTAGGGTCTTGCTGAAGACAAGCGGATCAGCGGGATTGCTGCCACAACATGACCATGAAACGTACTCAGGCGATGATTTAAAGTGATTTCGAGGACAGCCTTGGTTAACTCCGCCTTCGCCTGACAGCACAAATAGTCTTTCTCCTTCGCGGTAGTGGCTACAGCCTTTTCATAAGCGTGGACGGTAGCGTCCACACCTGTCTTGACAGCAGCTGCATGGGGAGATGTCATGTACTGCTCCAGTGCGACATAAAAAGAGGGATTGGACTCCAGCTCGTCCTGAAGATAGCGCCGCTTGTCGAAAATGTAGAAAGAGTGTTCGAAGATAATGACAACAGCTAAATGGTCAATAATAAGCAGGTTGATCACAACGTAACCTTGAAATTCACAAGAAATGAGCTGAACTATGATCTCCAAGGGTGATGACTCGTTAGAGGGCTGGTAGATTCACAACATGAGAAATGTGTACAATCTGTGACCAATTGGACCTACCACAGAGAGTACCTTGGACTGTATCTCTACAAGGTGATCGTGCTGAAGCGTTTCCTATAAATGGATCAGCATGGCTCGGGCTCGAACAAGGATCGACACACTCACATTCTGCGAACGGTAAGCAACGACTTAGATCAGCATGACTCGAGCTCGAACGAGGATTAACAAACGTACTTCCTGCAAGTAAACACCTAATGTAAATGAGGGCAACCTTTGAGATTTCCAATAAGCTTACCGAAATATGCGGAAACCAGTTGCCCAAGGTCCTTATTATCTTCTGATGACCCTCAGATGTCGTTTTTTCTGCCGAGTCAAGATGTTCTGGGAGTGTTCTGGACAATATCAGTTGCTAACGCTTGCGAGAGGTAGATGAAACCATAGGTAGTTACCTCTCAATTGCATATTTCATGCAGATCTCCAAATTGGTCTGCTGTGTCGAGACGAATAATTGTTTCAGTGCTTCGTCATCCAAGGTTCCAGCCGTGCGTTCGATCAGCGCTCCGCAATCCGCGTTATCCTTGTCCATATCTGATGGATGAACGGTCATCATGTATTGCAACTCGACTATAAACGGGCTTACTAGGAAGGCATGCGTGACCTTTTGGAGGCCATCGGACGCCGTCGAGAAACTTCAATTGTGGTCCATCTTGAAATGTTTCTTCGGCGCGTTTCGGGGCAAGTTCCTTGGCGTCCTTCCGAGATCTTCCTTCCTTTTTCAGTTGTGAGTACGCGACGCCGTAGAGGGCATCAAACTTTGTGAACAATACGATCACTGGAACTGAGGATTGTGATTCTGCGCATCAGTCGAACATCAACGAGCGTGGGATACCAAAACTTACTGCTTCCTGTGTCGCACTGAGAGAAGAATTTATCTTCACTTGCAGTGAATGACCTGCTTGCTTCATCCATTGGAATGCAGTACCTATGTTGAAACCTTGAGATAGCGCATGTCGCGGCAGATAAGTTGCAATTACCATATAGCATGAAGTTGATTTGTTATTTTGGTTTCCTTAGAACGGTCCGCCTGCCTCAAAACCGCGGGAATCGTGAAAAACGAAGCCTGGGTTGCTTCGAAACACCGTTTCGTTCTCGATATCGTGCAGTCCACGCTGAGAACAGAGTCAGTTCATGACATCGACTAAGAGCACACCTTACCTCTCTGGATGGCGCTAAGACTGCAAGATCCACCTGATGTTGATGAGTCAGTACCATCCTCCTACTAGCATTGTGATGTCCACCTTTTCCCCGGCGCTGTTGTGTATTTCGGGATTGTCCCGTGTCTTACAAACTCTCTGCAGGATGGTGGTTTTTCCTGCATTTGCTCTTCCTATAACGAGAATTCGAAAGCGACCGATTTGAAGGATCCATGGGGGAAGGTAAATGTGACTCAACTTGGAGAAGCGTTGGTATAGCCTTATAATCATTTGCAGTGTCAGTGTGTGAACCCGGCAAATATGCCGAACCCGAGACCAGCCTATCTATTCGAATCAGCGGGCAACATATGGGCTTGATATTGATATAGATATCTGATATAACTGTGTATGAACCATATGTGTGCATGGGGCGTACAGGACAAGCTATCAGCATAAGATCCATGTTCGAAATTAGTCTATCGTGGTCAAGCCATAGGCTGAATCAACACTCACTTCGATATATTCGTACCATACATATCTCGTGTACCAATCACAAAACACTAGGCCAAAATCGTAACAAACACAATGACAGCTTTGGGGTCATACCGTATACGTGCCCTGTTACAGCAGCAGCGGTCAATACCTCTAGCACTGCTCGATAAGGATAATTTCTGTCGTGTATAAGGTCAAGTGCCTTGTCCGAATCGTGCCCATCGCGTGTTTATCACTACTCACCACGGGCCCGGCCTGTAGTCTCTCGCTGCCTATCAGGCTACCACACTTAGCCTCCAACCTAACTTCATGAAACCTGGCGCTACCTCAAAGCTTCGAAACATCACGCTGACTCCGACCCCGACCCCCGCACCAGAACGTAACCTCCCGATCCCACTTCCTGCTTTCGCTCAGTCGCACGAGGAAAATGACGAGTGCTTATTGTACTTACTGAAAAGCACTGGACGAAATGCGATTTAGGGAATACAAATAACACTCTAAGAAAGACAACACACAAGACGAGAAGACACGAGAAAAGAGCATGTCCAACAAATGAAGGAGACACGTCTCTATGTTTCTTAAAGCTCATTCAACTTCAACGAAGGATCTCGAAACGGACAGAGTGCCCGAGTTATCATTGCTGTTTGCGAGTGCTAGGATAATAATGGCTGATAGGGGTGGTATACCGGCGCAGGTTCGTGTTTTGGAACACGATGCCAACGAGATACGAGCAATACAATCCTCCATACCTGAAGGAGATTCGGTTGGGGCAGGAAACGTCGATATGAAATAAATTGGTGACAGTGTGTCGGCAGCATGATGTAGGATGAGTTTGGCGGAGGTAAGGCAGGCTTTCGCGGAGAACAACAAGTAGCCATATGAGAGCGTGGGCGCTCAAAGTGCACCCTCAATCACCGAAGAAGGACGAGGGCAGCAAAGACAATGGACGAGTAGAGTTTGGTGCGGTGGAGGGCGCATGCTGCCGCATGCATTGATGAGACTTGACTTGAGAGCTAGATGAGCACAGATGACAGTTATTCTGGACAAAGAGATAGGTAATGAACGACCCGTGTTGTAGGTTGAGTTGATTGAGGTTTAGGTGACGCCTTTCGTGCACACTGCAAACGAATCGTTGGCGTTGGCGAGTGCCAGAAAGTTGACCTGAAAATTTTAACCGCCGCTGTTACTACTAGCAACAAGTAACTTAAATTACTCCAATAAGTCAGAGGCAAATTTGCAGTTTTCGAGGTCTTGTCACTGCACATGCCTTGAATAATTCATATTGATTTTAATTTAGCGCTCACGAGCTGTGCATCATCAGTGATCACTAGCACGTTCGAGTCCGCCTGACACAAAACACGTTGTCCTTTCTCGAACAGGCTACGGTCGTGCCTCCCGAAAATGCTGAGGCAGCGGCATATCAAGAAACAGAGAAATGAGAAGTATCACCGGCACACAAGTTGCACGAACGTGAAGGATCTACCACCATGTGGTGCACAGTACTGCTGGGATGCACTTTGGGAAGGTGAGCAGCTGGGCCCTGGTTGCACCGCACGAAAGCCAGAGCACGAGATTCATCGCTTTGCTCGAATGCGGAGTTCCAAATTGAACTGTCTTCAACGATCATCATCATCATGATCGTAGCACTTCCACTTCGAATTCGTTCCTTGAGACAAACGCATTGCAAAATGCAAATGATGTCGCGCGCTTTTTCTGTCACATCAGGGATAGCCACAGGTCAGTAAAAAAATTAGCCGGTGCCGTCAGGTTCAAACGTTATACAGATATGCGCCAACAACTGTTGTCCGGAGTCAAGACCGCTATGAAGGTAACTGTCCTGTTGAAACAATATCATTCACTTGCCAATAAAGCGCTTAAATAGACCAAGGATTCAGTAACTTCTACAACTATACGCGTGAGCGTTTATCCTTAACAGTGAAGCTAAAGGTTCTAATTTCTGAGGTGCCTAATGACGCAGTCCATTCTCTCGGAAGTCTATGCTGCCGACAAGTCAGCTGGTTCACCAGTGTCATCCTCCGCTATAACCGCGATCCTACGAAAAGCCACCTTACGACGTGTTAGTCCAGAATTTCATTCATTGATATTGCTCATTACTTGATTTGTTTTCTTGTGCAGCGTGATTCAGCCATTCAGTTCATCAGTGCTTCCAGACCGGACTTGGCCCAAAAAGAACATCGCGAAGCCGACATTCTTGCGGCTTTCTTACCCCCTTTGATGTCGGAAGTGGATATCGACCGTATTCTCAACGAGGTGATTGCTGAAACAACACTCGATGGGGATTCACGCAAAATCCTTGGGCAAGTATACAAAATCTTCTACTCTAGGGTAGATAAATCAAATGTGGACGCCAATACTGTGAAGCGTAAGGCTGAAGCACTCCTGTTGAACATTTGAATAAGTATCAATTAATTAATCCAAGTATACAATTTTGCACAGAGTCAGGTTAGGATGATATTCGACGGTGTAACAACGGTACAAATGTGTTACGTGCTAGACTCTTCAGTAGCAGAGGAAGGTGAAGCATCGTGTGATTGGGCAACAGTTGAAGGCGTGTTACTGGAAACTGGCAAGGCGCTTCGTACTCGAGTGAGATCCTCCACACAACGATCGACTGCAACCGAAACTCCTTCGAGTATCCTGAGTCTCTCATCAATGGCTTCTCGAGTAATCTGATCCATGAGCATCAGCTGCTCGTCTGTCAGATTGGGTGGCAGCCCACGTAATGGCGTCTGAACGGCATCCACGTGGACAGAAGCGCCAAGATCTGGCGGAGGTACCACATCACTATTTAAGGATGGTGAGAGTGGCTGCCACATGTGCGTGTGGGACGGGTTAACGCCTTGTGATGTCCCTATTCGGGAGGGAATTTCATGGGCGTGTAATGGAATGAAAGTAGGGATTGCCAATTCTGGATCTGGCATGGCAGAAGAAACACCGGCGTCAGAAGGCGATACGTTCGGCGCCTCACCAGAGTCAGGCTTGATAGCAGGTGTATCATTGGATGATGCAGGTGCCTCATCATGGGGTCTCTGGGTATTCTTGTGTCCAATTCGCTGCAATGCGGCGGCGGCAGCAGCTTCTTGGGGATTTAGCCGCGAGTCACCTGCGACGGCCGAGGGTTGACCTGAGGCGCCCGAAGGCTCGTCACCAAACCATCGGGGATCCATACCCCACTGACGCCATTGTCCATCAAGACCATTGAATCCAGTAAAGCGAGGCACAGGTTGAGGGGTAGCCGTAGTTGTAGCTTGAGATGCATCCCGTGAAGGTGGCGGGCCCTGGTACTGGATGTTATATTGAATAACAATGCCTGGTGCTTGCCCGGGCAACCACCCCTGAGCAACTGCATTTGGCGGGGGTTGTTGGTTATTAACATTGCGAGGTGCTTGGGGTTGGTTTCCTGGAGCCACCGGGTTGCCAAAATTAATTGGCTGTCCAGGTATTACTCCTGCCTGAGCACCCGCAGCACGCTGCTGTTCTTGCGCGGGAGTCTCAAGCACGCTGCGTCGACTGCGAAAAGAATACAACATGAGTGATCTCGAGATTCCGCAACGCGAATTAACGCACCAAGTAGGGCAGCTTTGCTGACGTTCAAGCCAGGATCGAAGACAATAAAAATGGAAAACATGGCCGCAGGGCAGCTTCTTTGGGGTAGTGTTAGGGCCATCAGAATTCTGTTGCGCAGGGTTCGAGTGTGATTCCCCTTCAGGATTCCCAGAGACGCCATGGACGGACATCTCCTCGCGGCAGATAATGCACGTTCTATCTGTCATAGCCGACATTTCTACTTCGCTCGCGTCAGGGTAGCGCTCATCCATGTTGCGGGTGGCAGCTCTATATCGAACAAGCGCGCGTAATCGTGTCACAAATGAGCGCCCGGTAAGATAAACATCTCGGATGATGTTTAGCGGCAACCCATAGAACGCCACGATAAGGAGGAAGAATAAAAGATATGTAGTGAGTTTTAAAAAATCTGAAAAAAGTTCAAAAAGGTTCGGAATCGATATGGATATTGCGTACCGGTGACCAATTCGATATAGAATACCCACATGCTTTTGTTCTGCCATGGAGGTGCATTCTCGCCACCTCTTTGCCTTGCGCGTCTCAAGTCGATGACACAAATGCAGTACTTTGCCGTAGTGTTCATGGCGCTCGCCATCAAGATGGCATACTGGAAGGAACATTAAATATAACTTGATGGGACATGCAGAACACGTGCCTCGCTTGCAAACATCATCATGCCCCCTATACCGTTTTTCAGTGTACTTTCAACCGCAACCGCAAACATCAATAGATCTGTGCACCAAAGTATGACAAAGAGAGTGGTCATTCGAATATGAAAAAGTGTAGGTGGGCCGGGAAATGGGCGTTGGTCCATCTAGATTATAACTCAGCGCATTGCAACATCAGGCGAAGTAGGACACATACCCACTCAATTCTGTCGGAAGCGAGCCAGTGAAATGATCTAACAAACAGCAGAAAGCCGAACATCAAGGCAAACGGAATATCAAAGTCATCCCGGAATATTGTGAACGCCAGTAAAGATTCTGTGATGAAAAACCATAGTCGGTCATAAAGCCGCTAGTGAAAATTAAGCGCGCAGAATCGACCATCGATGTAATAGAAGCTACCTCCACCTCCTGAGGACGAAGAGCACCGAAGAATATCTGTTGCACGAGCTGGCCACATAGCAATGCAATAAGAAGGCCGAAATTCGCAAGTATCTGAAAGCTGTTTGAGTACACTGTGAATCACAATTAATACACCACGCACCAATACACTTCTATTACTCTTTGAAAGATAGATTGCGACAGAATAGAAATTACTGTGATACCGGAGTGCATTTGTGATGGTTGCCGAAACTGCAATTGTAGATACTAGACCATAGAGCAGAACTTTGTGATAATTGAATGAAGCCACAATTGGGTGAGCTCTCTGCCGCAGAAAACCGTTGAGGGGCATTCCCAGGAATGCTGTAAGTGAGGATAGTGAAGCTCAACAGAATATTGTTCGACCGTCGACTCGGATGAGAGTGAGGTGCTGAATGTATTGCGTGTCATGAACTCGACGAGACTTCTCACGGTCACGTCACCAGCGGTTAGTTCATACTACGAGGCTGTACTACGAGCGTAGACGCAGCGGCTAATTAATTTTGAAATTCGAATCTGGAAACTCTACTGTTCTGTACTAGTTTGTCGCGGCCCATCACAAAAGATTCACTTTTATCATGTGGTAGATGTTTCAACAAGAGACTCATACGCTCAACTCTGGCACATCCGCGGGAATGAGGCCTGAGCGCTCAGCATGCTGGCATCTCAGGTAATGAACGTAAGTCGGATCATGTTCCCGACTAAAAATCGAAAAGATTACAGGGTTGCTGCATGCAGGTTTACTAGGGATGCACGAACTTGTGATAAGTAAGTGGGCAATACTGTATCCTGTCAAAGCGCGTCTGTAAAATTACATAAATGAAAAGTAATAATGCTACTGGATCATACTTACCTGTCAAGACTCATCATTCTTCGGAACTCGTGTTTTCTCATGCTAAAGGGTTTATATAAAATGTTGACATTGGTCTCCACCCCCAACACCCCAGACTTCTTGAAATCGCCCCCCTTGCCCAACTAAGACTTAAAGGTGGAGTGGTCCTTGAATATTCCTCATACTTATTACTGAGGGCATCGTGCTAGTCATGTCTGAACTGCGTAAACGCCAGGATCCTGGAAAAATTGCTGATACGGACCCTCAGAATGTTCTACCCAGCAGAAGTACTTCTGTACTGTCTTCGGTGCTGTCTGGATTCGACCGTCCCCGTCTTGTAATCCTGATATGTCTTGCTGCCTTTGCGGCTTGGTTCCTATCCCCCGAGAAAACTTCGTCACTCTCGCATTCATACGCAGTTTGCTCCTCATCGGGTGCTCGTATTTACACTGTGGATCATGCCGTGCCAAACGCCCAGTGCCTTGTTGTGGATGGGTCTTTAATACTGGACATTGGTTCTTTGGGTAAGTATGTCAAAATAGGCCAAAGCCTAACACAAGAAGCCGAATTAGACTTATCTGTTACTAGATGATATTATGGAACGTTGGGTTGCCAGAAATCGCCTCCGTTCTTCGCTTCAAATACGTTATTTGGACGAATCTTCGATCGTGGTTCCGGGACTTAGTGGTAAGCTGCGAGTAAAGAAACAATTGTCTAAAACAACTTTTCAACCCTTCAGATTCACATGCACACATTCTCGAATACGGTGCAAGTAAACAACTTCTTCTTGAAAGTGCCAAGACGATTAAAGGTTTGCATAAGAATGGCTCGTCCCAGAAGCGATCTGAGTAGTGTAACCGCAATTCAGACACAGTTGCACTCGTCCGACAACATATTTTGGACAACGATGACATACTCAATGACCCTTCAAAATTCATTGAAGGTTGGGGGTGGGACCACACTTCCTGGCCAGTGGAAGAATGGCCAACCTCGGTGAGCTTCAATCATGTACCGCACGAATCTAGAGTTCATTATTTTGCAGGACGATCTAGATATGGACCCGATAATCCGCGGCCGGCCAGTCATCCTACAAAGCAAGGATGGCCATGCATTGTGGCTCTCGAATGAGACTTTTGCATTAAACTCTCCGTGGCCATCAGAAATAGAAGGTGGTGTCATTATGAGAGATTCATCTGGCAATCCAAGCGGTTCTGTTCTTTCCTTGCGGAGATATGGCTTGAAAATAGCTTACAACAATCATCAGGTGTTATTCTTGACAAAGCCCAGGACCTTCTACAGAAACCAGCTCCGACTGAACAGGACTTAGTGAGACATTTCGACGCCACGGTCAAAGATGTCTTGTCTCATGGTTTAACCTCCGTCCATGATGCGGGGTTCAAACCTATTTCGCTCGAGTTTTTCACAAGGTCTCCTAACCATCCTGGTATAAAAACACATTTGACGTTATTCATGCAGACAAGCGGCAGCAGGAAATCTTCCCGTAAGTGCTCAAGGATGCCGTCATCATGTAATTCACAACGGCCTATAGTTTCGAATTTATGGGATGAGATACTTCAATGAGAACGATCCATACTGGGGAAATCTCTCAGAACCTATTATCAATGCAGGCGATGGCAGGCTAAATGCTCGCAGTGTCAAGATCTTTGCTGACGGTAAGACGGCGTGGTGATAGCATTAAGCTGTCAAACTGACTAGTTATTCAGGTGCTTTACGCTCTGGTGGAGCAGCGGTGAGGATCTCTTTGGCCGTGTTTGTGTTTTTCTTGATGTCTCTCAGCTCCACGAGCCGTATCACGATAATCCCCACACGAAGGGATTCATGCGTGTGGACCCCAAAGTCCTGACTGATGTTGTACCCAAATTTTTAAGAGATGGATGGCAGGTTGTAAGTGC